TGTTTCCTCAGTAGTGGAGGAAATCTTCGTCATCGGTAAGATTAGGTTTAGCTGTTTGAGTTTCCATAGGGGAGGCATGTGATGTGGAGGGTTGTGTAGGTGTTTGCGGGATGGGTGTAGCTGTGGATTTCTTAGTGTTTGTGTTTTGTTGTTGTGCTTGCTTGTGGGGGAGTGTTGTTGCCATGTGGGCTGTAGGGTGCTTGGATGAGGGTCGTGTTGTGGCGGTCGTTTTGTGGCAGTATCCTCAGCCCCACCCTCTTCAATATAATGATAAACGATCTATTCGATGGCCTATCCCCTAAACTAAACACATCAAAATTCGCGGATGATCTGCACTAAAAGCATTAAAATGGCCCAAAAATCTCTAAATAAAATACAACAATGGGCTGACAAATGGGGCTTCTCCCTTAACTCAGAAAAAACAACAGGAATAGTATTCAAACTCCCCAGTTAGAGCCAGTTAGGCATCTTAGGGTGTTTAGGTCTTTACTGCATTTAGTTAGGTTTTGGATGTGAGCATCCCAGGTGAGATGTTCATCGAAAATAAGTCCTAAGAATTTGTTTTGTTTTTGAAATTTGATTGTTTGGTTGTTTAGCTGGCTTCTGATAGACTGACTGACTGATATAGAAGATTTAACGTGCGCTTTCCGACTGCAGCGTATTTCGCACACGGGCCTGGCCAGGCCATTTAGTGTATTCCGAGAAGGGTGAAAGTGGTGTGTGCAACCCAAGAGGGGGCTTTTAGGGGTTGCTTATATCGATTTTTTTGAAATTCTAAAATTTGGAATAAATGCCGAGGTGGGTGGAGGAGGGAACTAAGGGAGCCGGGTGAGGTGGGTGTTTGTATGTTTATTGGATTTTGGATTGGTAGATTAATTAGTTTTTAGATGCGCTTAATTAGGCCTGTTTTGATTAGGAATACGCCTAGGGCCTTGAAGTTTTCTAGTTTATTTTGAGGGTTTAGTATATCATCTAGAGTAGGAACCTTATTTAGATTGAGGTTGGTTTGTAGTGTGGTTCTGTGTGTTTGGTAGTGGGTGCAGTGGATGAGTGCGTGTTCTGTGGTTTCGGGTTGTTTGCAGTGGGGGCAGTTGCCCGTGGTGTGTCTTTTAAGTTGTTTTAGGTGGTTATTTAGGTTCGTGTGTCCTGTTTGGAGTTTTGTAATTAATCTGTCAATTTTTTTAGAGGGGTGTAGGATTTTAGGTTTGGCTAGTGGTTTTCTGAGCACTTTTTTGATTTGGCTATTTGAGTTTTGATATTGATTATGCCATTTTTTGGTTATTTTTTGTTTGTTTACACTTTTAATTTCTGATTTTGAGATGGGTAGGTTTAGGCTTATTTCTGGTATTTTGAGAGATAATTTAGCTGCTTTATCGGCGTTTTCGTTGCCGTAAATTCCTACGTGGGCGGGGATCCACAAGAAGGTTATTTGTTTGCCTGCTTTTGTTAGGTCGTTGGAGCTTTTAAGTATTTGGTTTATTAATTTAGGTCGTTTTTTGGTATTTTTGTTTTGGAGGGCTTGTAGCCCACTAAGCGAGTCTGATAGAGACGATGTTTAGTTTATATGCTAGTCGTTAGGTATAAAGATTGTTTAGTAACTTTAGAAGTTCTAGGACAGTTATTAACACGTGTCGTGTCAGCCCTATGGCATTCGCGATTGTCCACTTCCAGAAAACATCCTGTGTTGGTTTAACATGAATTAGTAAAGGGTAATTAGGGATGTCCAACACGTTAATTAATGTCAAAACACTGTCATTTCCTGCCCAGGATATCACACCCCTACACGCTAAGGTCGGTGAGAAACATTCTCATCAAAGAAAACACACAGTCAAGACTGTAGATTCCCGTCGTCTAGCTACAAATCCTGTGATGTATTAAAGGTTGAAGAATTTTGAACTGAACTGTCCGAAAGTTTATATCTATTTTGGGATTGGATACAGTGATAAAGTCTTATATCAATATGTAGATTCATAAATATTAGTTTTATGTTTTAACGGAGATATGATGTTTTCTTATGAAATATCGTGTATTAGTGTAATTTGCATGCTTTACCATTCATTGTACCGTTCTAAACCATGTGAATGTTGTAATATCAGTCAATCGGGTGGGAAAACAGCCCAATCCTCGCTCTATAAAGGGGTATGTCAATAATTTTGCAAGTTGAAATGACCCCTGATACTTTATGAATACTTTATGACAGTTTATGGAGTCAAAATCAATGCTGATTATTCATAAACTTAATGCTTCGTACTATAGGCCTGTGGCCTCTTCAGTGCTGAATAAAGATTGAAAATACATCAGTCAATCAAAGATGAAGGTAACTTTATACATCAGAGTTCTTGAGAATTAGTTCATGTTTTGTTCTTAGACTTACATTTCAACCATCGATTGTGTTCACACGTAGACTCAAACTGGTATATTAAAAAAATGTATACAGACAACAAAAACTGTATTAGAAACAACAAACTCTGTAAACTTTTAAGCATAGTTTTTGTATAGCATTTCAAAAGCCTGGTTTGTTTGCATTAAAATCAAAACATAGGAATCTGTAATTAAAATGTGTAAGGTGAAAAAGCTTTTACATAAAAGAGCAAAATACATGGGGGAGAGTAAATATATAATTCTATATAACTTTTCTTGAATGGAGCACATTTGAAAAAAAAGATAATCCAAGCATATTCGATATTACCGTGTTTAAAGAATTTATATCAGTCATATATTTCTAACTTAGATCACCCGTATGTAATCCAGGTAAAGCATGCATAACGGGGAACATTGTAATGTTGGTACAGTTTATCGTGTCTTCGTGCTTTAGCATTACACATTTTCATATTCCTCTAGGTTTTAATGTTTATTTGTTTATGTATTTTTTATTTATTTTTTTCTCTCCTTTATTTTTTCTGGGTTATATATTAATCTAAATATACATTTAGTTACTTGTGTGTGTGGTTGTTTGTTTTTATTTGTTTATTTTTATTTTTATTGATTTTGCGGGGGGGTTTTCTTTTCAGGTGTGGGAGGGCACTTTTCCTTTCGTTTTTCATAATCATATTTTTTTTAAGTTGTATATAACGTATGAATCCCTTCTCAGATTCACCGCCAGCCCGATTGTAACAATTACATGATCACTTTGCTTTGTCGATGCCGGTTGATGTTGTTCAATACAGGCTGATAGTGGGTGTTTTTGAATCTATTCTACATGCTAATCATTTCGGGAAGATGATACACATTTCATTATTTTTTGGGTTACTTTGCTTATATAATTTCCGATTATCATTCTTAGTTTTACTTTTTCTCTTCTGCTGCGATGATATCCATCCGAATCCAGGACCTTTGCATAGTCCAGATTTAAAGATTATATATCTAAACGTACGCAGTCTTAAAGACAAAGTAGATTTTATCAGTGCTGAATTAGATAGTTATGATGTTGTATGTTTAACAGAAACCTGCTTGCACCATGATATTCTAGCCACTGATATTACACTGATACCATTTTCATATCGTAGCCTGTATTAAGGAATATATTTTAGATCTAAAATCAGAGTATTAACGGACAGCCTGGGCTGGAGGCGCGCGTGGATATATTGACAGTTTTTACGTAGTTAGTGTTAAAACCGAATGTTTGCGAGGATTTAAAGGTTTCTGAATTCTGTTACAACAGTAAGCGTACATGTATTTGTTACATTAAGTCATTTCATTCAAATTTGTTTGGTATGATTATGTCTTATAATTATTTTAGGATGGAAGGTACATTTACCAAATAAAATATGCTGAAATATCAATTCATTATGACCATATTTCATAATCTATTTTTTAAAGTAACCCTCCTTACATTAAAGATAACTATTTAAAGAATATAGTACTTAAAGACATTGCAACAAACCGAATAATCAGGGGGGAGACTTTATACTGAGGGGGGCGCGAAACATATCCGCCCGGGGGAGATTTTATTTCAGAACAGATTCTCCGGGGGAGAATCTGTACCGGTATAAAATCTCCGGGGGGAGAATTTGTACGGGGGAGAGTTTATACCGGGACACCGGAATCCACAAAAGAACTCCCTATGTTGACGTTATTTTATGTCAACGTATTCGACTTCAGCCACTGAAGTGGTTTCGATTACATCATCAGTGACTTCCTCGACGTTTGCTTATCATTTATTTTGATGACGTTCCTTCTTCGATGAGAGATGGGCGGATCCGTGTGTATCGGAGGCAGTCGGGTAGCCTCGTGGTTAAAGCGTTCGCTCGTCACACCGAAGACCCGGGTTCGATTCCCGACATGGGTACAATGTTACACTCACTCACTCAGTGTGTATCGGCGACAGAATAAGCATTGTACTGGATGATGCGTAGAAGTCGAGAAATTCTGTGGAGGAAGTATCATGATATTGGGGGCGCCATCTCTTCAAGTTCAAATCTGGAGTTCAAATCTGTTAAAAGAAATGTCACGTGTTTGGCGCAACCATTATTTTCGATGTAATAGTCGCCATCACCCTTATAATGCACCACAGTCAATAGAAGAAAGAAAAACAGGAACTGAAACACAGACTTCCAATTGTGGGGTTTTTCCAACTTGTATTGAGTAGTATATCTGTATGGGATATGAAAATGCCATAAACATAATATAAAGAAAGTTCGAGTTGTATTGACAATGCACACACTTGTATTAAAAATAGTCCTCATCCGTATGGAACAATGAATCGCATTACACATAATAATAATAATAATAATAATAATAATAATAATAATAATTCTGGTTTTCCTTAACTTATTTATCATTATCATGACATTACAACTGAAATGTGGTTCGAAGTGGCGTTAAATCCACTCGCTTGCCACTCGAGTTCGCTAATGTGGAATTTCTCGTGCTGAGGCAGCAATACGGCAGACAACTCGTAAGTAATTGTTTGTTAGCTTTTATAGTGTCTCAGTCTTTATCTTTTATCTTGATGTACGGGTGTTGACATGACTTGATGCTTGTTTGATCGTGTGGAGCGGATTAATCAAACTGACCTGTCACATGAACAGTAAGATTAAGGTGACGATACAAAATCTTAAATTTACATTCAATGCTGTGCATTTCTACACCCGACACGGCGTTACATTCTTGAATCAAGACATGGATGGGACCAGCATCAGGTTAATTTGTATATCAACTTTGGTTTCCTTGTCCGGTAAGAACAACGTATTAATTCACCAAGATATACATCCTAATCGTAATGTCATCACGTTTAGACTTATCATTATGTACTGTTTACTTCTACTTACATATTCTTCATTTCGTGTTATCTGCATATCGACAACACTGCTAGTGTTGTTGTTAAAGATACGTCTATCTCTCTACCCTAAATGCCCAGGCTATATAATACATGTCATGATCTTTCGGGGGCTGGGATTCCTTTAAGAAACATTTTAGTTTTCCTTCACTACTTTAAGACCTTTCGTCTCAGAAAGGAAATCAATTTGGGGAAAAGGTGAAATAAATTTTCAAGGACATCTGGCATGGCAGAACCTAACGCCAAAATATGTTTCCCAGATAATCCCAGCCCCCTGCTCAATAACAATTATTATTTTCTTAATTTATCTACATATAAACTGACCTACACAGAAAATACAGTACGCTTAATTCTGAATTGCTATTTTAAGTGATCGATTACTTCTAATTGCTGGTATAGCCAAAGTTACTTATCAAACATATTTTTTATCAATCGTAGTTTCAGTAAACACGACAAGTCCCCATAATTGCGGAAACACTACACTTACAGCGACAGACATTCACCAATACCTGCAGAGCCCGGGCTACCCTGGTGGGTATAGGAAGTAAGTCACTCATGACACATTGTACTGTTGCTGTGATTATTGCCTTATACCAGTAAAGCTGAAAACTAAATCTGTAATGGTAATAGAATAGAAATGTCGACGGTTGTTTACACCCTGTATTCCTGTTGACATTCGGTAATCCTCCTGTTGCACGAGTGAATCTGTCTTTCAGCAACGATTCGTGTGTCTGGACAATAACTACAGAACTGGATTATATGAGGGTTCAGCTGATTGTTGAAGATGACGGAGTTGAATATGGCCTGACGTGTAACCACGACTTTGGAAAGGCATTTGATGGTACAATAAATATATACATTTGTATAAAGTGAAAAGTTATAATTGGAACAGCAAGTATACAAAACACATTGGTGCAGACCAACATATGAAAAACATCTTAAGTATTATGCATTAAAACTAACAAATGAAATTGCAACACACATTTAAGTTTCTTAAACTGTATATATAATATATTATGTGTTCTAAGTAGACGAAAACAGAACTTCTACATCCATTATTAGATATATCTGTTTACACCAAGGTCCCTCCATCAAGGCTCCCCTACTAGCAGCTTGGTGTAACGAAAAAACACCAGACGTCAAGAGCAGTGGACAAGTTATGACCGTACAGTTTTACGCTGATGCTTATGGAACTTTCAGAGGATTCAAAGCACAGTTCTTTCAAACTAACGGTACGTCCAGCATTACCAATATGTATGGTTATCATTTTTTAAAGCTTTTGACAAACATCTGAAATACATTGTAAAACATTTCAGACGTGCGTGTGCGAGTATAGTTTTCATGCTGCTATGAACAATATGCCAGCAAAATCCGGTCTGAAGATGCCATAAAGGGGTTTCATGTTGTACCAACATGGACATGTATGTTGGGAATCGAATCCGAGAATGCTTTATTAACTAGCCTCTCCAGCTGCCCTAAAGTGTCATTGGCTTAAGAACGAAAATAACCTAATTATAACTTATTATGAAATTACCGAAATTTATAAATATATATTACAATTAGGTATATTGCATTTTTACCAACGAAAAACATCCATAAATAATCATTGGAAGCAAAATGAGAGAATTAAGTCGTTAAGAAATGTGAGTATTTCAGAGATTGACACGTGTGGCGGGAATGTCGACGTCATGAGTTTCCTTCCCAGAATCCAAACACTGATATCTCCACGTTATCCTCATGGTTACGAAAGGTAACACTATTTTAATTATGTAAGATGTGATTTCAATTGCCTGTGCATTTAATCGTAAATAGATACACATATTACACCTGTACCCCACACGATAACCCGTCATACACCTGGTGATCATAGATTTCGTTACATCTCTATCTTCAAGGCTTCATGTCAAAAACGAAAGCAAAATCTGATATTTACTGAGAATGCGATATGTGAAATAAAGTTGAACAACATACATCATATACGCCCCAGTGTATCACGTGTAGCCAAGCAATAACATTCAAACAAAGTGATTTAAATCGATTAGAATATTCAGTTCATTATGGAATTCCATGAGTGAGAGGATGAATTGGAGTCATTCTGTCAGTTTGTAAGTATTCAATGTTCATTCTGAAATGTACGTATTTAAAGACATCGTATGTAACGTGAGTCGGGGCGTATAAGATAGCAAAATGTACTCAAAAATCTGTTAAATTAAACTATAGTGAGGCCTGGTCGATCATTGCGTATGGTCTTATTTGAGCTCTACCCCTTTGCGGTGAAAGTCAATCTTAGCAGAGCGAGATCGTGTCTGATTTTCAAGGGATTTTATTCTAATTTGAATAACAATAAGATAAGTTGTTATTTGTTTTTTATGTATCATGTTTTTGCAGATTTGTTAATTAGATGCATAGGCTTCGGTATACTTTTCATCTAAAACCGGTTGTGCAGGGCACGCTCACGGAACACACGTACGAGGTATCATCACTATTTGATAGCGATTCACAAACATGCTTCTTACAGGTACTCTGCTTATAGAAGATATTTCTTATGACTATGGAAATGTTATGGTATATCTTTATTCCTTTGTAGCTTAATACGTAATAATATTTCTTCTTTTGGCAGCGACATGGAATGTGTCTGGATTCTCCAAGCAATGGGTGGTACTAAAATTCGGATCCAAGTACTCAACACTAGTTTAGAGGCAACATCCAGATCTTCACCGAAATGCCATGACTTTGTGACGATACAGGATGGTATGAAAAACTTCATTAGTAGTCTTTTATTATATCGTCGCATTAATTGGTCTTATATGTGTTTTCGTCTTGGAATCTAGCACTCATTTAAGTTTAAGACTATGTTCAGGGCAAACAAAGTGTTCCAGTGAGCTTGGCCGGTTCTGTGGATCAGATACTCCCACCTTCATCAGCACAGGGCCCTATGTTAGGATCGTCTTCCACTCGGACAAAAGCATTGAACACCATGGCTTCAGACTCCAATTTGATTCAGGCCTATTTTATTGTAAGTGTCTGTATGGTTATTTATGTTGATATTACTTATAAGGGCCGTATGAGTTTAAAATGTCGACGTAATATTGCATACATCAAGTGACATACATATTGTGTTATATTGGCAATTGTCTATTTTTGTGTCTTCTTTTCACCTTACCACATGTATCATAGTTTCTTTTGATACTGCCTTCATTACATCCTCCTCCTTCTTTCACATGAAATTGAATAATTGTATTTTTATTTTTTCATGATCAACTTTTACAGGTACGCACGTCATTGTATATTGCATACATTTCTAATTGGTTGCATGGCTGTATATTACATTATGCTATTGCACATTACATTACATTACATAATATGCATGCATGCTTGTCGTATGGGGAGACTAATGGGTTCGGTGGTCAGGCTCACTGATTTTGTTGATGCATGACAACGCATACCATTTACGTAGATTGATGCACATGATGTCAATCACTACATTGTTTGGAACTCCCATGATATAGCTGTAATATTGCTGAGTGCGGCGTTAAACAACAAACAAATAAAACAGTTTTCTTCAGTGAATGATTTTGCAATCAGAATTGTGAAATTTGTTTCGCCATTGATTACTTTTCTGATGTTTAATCACCATGTAATCAGAAATTATTGCAGGCATTGTAAAAGTACCAAATTAAGGTGTCCTCATAATTACATCGGACAGGTAAGAATCTTGTGTCTTTCATAAATTGACAAAATATAGCTTTCAATGGAATAATTCAAGTCATGTAATATCTGAGAGCAATACGTCTTCTTACTCCACATTGTTTTTCTATTGTAAATGTTCTATCTGTAAATCATACATGTCATAAGTTAAGCGAGAATGTATATATATGTTATATATATATGTTATATTTAGCATATCATACAATTTACACTACTTGGCAACCTCATCATCCGTATGTTGTTACTTGGAATGGCCCAATGCTAGCAACACAGACAGCCTGAGTAAACTTAAAGATAACGGTGATTCAGAACATTTAGGTCACCATGTTCTGTACACTTGATTGTGACAGAAGTGTGTCACACGCGCACCTAGATACCATTTAACCTATGGATATAACGTTATGTTAGTACACACATGAACAGAAAAAGTATTAGATACACCGTAATTTCATGACGGTGTGGATGCACCATTTGGTTTTTAAGACTATCAAATGATTACAGGTACACATTCAAAGACAACATGTTTCTCAGGAAATACGCAATGATAGGACTTCTTCTCGTCACTCTGGTTTATCTATCAGGTAGGCCTCGATGTATATTACTTTAAAAAAACGGTTTGCGTCAGTTATTCCCAACTGACATAGCACATGATGTGGTCTACGGTTAGAAATGTTCGTCAATCATGTTAACGGTATGATAGTTACATTAATGCATGTGTTCCTTAATAGGCATTTAATCAAGTTTTGTTGAAATCATCATTTTTATATTTTGCGGACGTTTACATAATTGTAAATGAGGACATATTATAACAATGTTGTGGTTACCTCAAGTTGTTGAGGGAGTCAGGTTACAGAATATCTACCTTGTACGCAGCAAACGTAATTCAAAATTACAATATTGTTTTTAGTTGAAACAAAATCAGTAAATGCGCTATCGTGGGACTGGATTTCTGGTCCATCACCTGATTGTCTGGTTTGTTTACATTAGGCTGTCGTATGGCAGGATTACTGATGTGTGATGTCAGGCAACTAACACACAGTGATAACACTTTTTTGTGCAAATTGGACGGGCGATATCGGTAGGGCAGGACATGCTTACCGTACACCTGGTGTCATCACTGATTTTCAGTGTTCCATTCACATACTTTTTAGCTCTATTTTATCTATTACGCCCAAAGGAATCTGTTTTGTCGGGTAATCTATGGAGTTGACGTTTTATATTTACATGTACAAATGTCTTATCGCTTTTATATTGCAATGTAAAACTTGAATTAATAGAACAGACCTTTCAAGAAAATATAGCGATAGTGAAAAGAAGAGAAAAAGTACAATCTACACTGAAATCTACATTCACATACTTCTGTATGTTTGGTTCCTGGTCTATTCCAGATGCAGGTACATGCAATTGGGAAATCGACGCTACTGAGGCCGTACGAAACCTTACCATACCAGGTCTATTGCAGCAAAACGAAAGGTGTGTACATGTAAGAGATGCCATGCTAGGAAATATATACTATACACTTTACATATTGAGAACCAGCAATATACTGGACTTACGGATTATCTGTTCCGAATCAATTGCATGTATATGTCCCAAGCATTGGTGAGCCCGTGACGATCCGGGCCTAGAATTGGTCTTCAGCAACGCACGCTTGATGTAAGAGGCGTCTAACTGGATCGGGTGGTCAGGCTTGTGCAGATCGATGCTCATGGTGTCAATCACTGGACTGTTATGTCATTACTCGATTATGTACAGATCCACGTCATATAGCTGGAATATTGCACAAAGGAGAGTTAAGAAACAATCAACCTTGGCGAGTAACTTTCAACCTTATCCACCAGGGATATGTATTTCGAGGACACAAAGTTTCGAGTTACTCGTAGATTATTCTTTAAATTACCCATGGTCATTGTCCTGAGAAACCTGAGGTTTTAATGTCCTGGGTCCCGATCCACAAGCTATCGTAACTACAATCGTAATGACTTAAGTCCATTTTAAAAACGTCTTAGCACGCCAGTTCCACACAGCGATCTTAGGCGATTGTAACTTTACAAGTTCTTAATTTCATAAGTGGCCGATATAAAATGAGACCGGAATCTTCAGCCATGACTACGCGATAGGTTCCCTTAGAGTGGCCTTCCTTGGTCAGACGACTCATTATCGAAAAATGGCCGAATCGCAGACTTCTGTCGGCGTCAAACGCGTTCGTCGCAGCAACTTTACAGAAAGCGAAATTGCTGTCCTGGTTGAGATGGTGTTCACCAGAGGACATACTACGCTAAATTCATCGATTAACTCTACCGTAACCAAGAAGCTAAAGGCAGCATATAGAAGGATATTACTAGCAGGTAAGTGAGCCCTGAACTATCAGAATATTTTCTGATATAATATTAAGTCAACATACGTGCTCCAACATTTATTTGATAGATGTTTACAAATACTTGATCTAAGTACTATAGAAGACCGGAGAAAGAATGAATAAATTCTAACACAAATATCAAATTCAGATAAATTGGATAACGAAACATAGAATTGTCATTTATGCCAACTACAAAAACTATAACTGCAGTTTGTCCAGTCAGTAAACTGTTCAGCAAGGTGGAATTATTATTGACCATTGATGTACATGGTGTGTTTGAAAATATATATTATTTGTGATCACACAGCACACATGTTTGAGGATCTTTGTATTTATTATCTTAACTGGACTTACTGTTTTAAACATAACACATACAAATCGTGGGATCCCATAAGTCAAACTCTGATTATCCTCATTAACATTTTCAGGATCAATGCAAATACGGATTGTGCCGATCCGCAACAGATGTTTCCCAGAAGTGGAATGACCTGAAGTAAATCCAACACACATTAATCGTTGGATATCACCCCAAATATGCATATTGGTACTGTGAATTTACAAGTACTCGACAGTCATGTAACTTCGACACAGTGTACTGACTAACTTTGATGTGAAAATCTGTTCACATTTTTTACTGACTAATAATGACAACTGAGTAAAGGCCCAAAATGTACTGACAACAGACTAAGGGCATGTAAGACTGGAGGAGGTCCATGTCAAAACAAAAGGAACATGGACCATGGAACAAAAAGGCATGTATTTAATGTAAACATAATAACAATGATATCATTGATAATTTGATTATATTCAAAATGCATTTTTGACATATGTATCTAGTAACATATATTTGAAGTATTGGCTTAACATACATATTCATACTGAAAGTGTCAACATGATGATGTTTCAATGGAGGATATGCAAATCAAGTAATGGGTGTTATAACTGATTTAGTATTGAATGCCATTATACATATGTGGAAATACCACATTTTCTTATAAACAACACTGATACCTATGATTACACAAAAATACTTCCTTGGAGTGAGTGAGTGAGTGTGGTTTTACGCCGCGTTTAGCTATATTCCAGCAATATCACGGCGGGGGACACCAGAAATGGGCTTCACACATTATACCCATGTCGGGAATCGAACCCGGGACTTCGGCGTGACGAGAGAACGCTTTAACCACTAGGCTTCCCGACCGCCCTCTTCCTTGGAATCACAGTTACTTTCATTGATTTCAAACTGTCAGGTTGATGGCATCCAGGAAGGTTTGGAAACAGTTGTTAGGGATTTAATTCTTACAGTGAATAAAATAACATAATGTTGAAAGCTGCTTGTATGCTATTGTTATATCCTCTTAAACAAGACACGTATATTCACATATACTTTGCATATACATTCCCATGCATTAATTTATAAAATAGTATGAATATTTGAAATATTTCATTTGAATGTTTTATTATTAACAATAATCTTTAAGTGTCTAGTGAGACAAGTAGGGTCACCATGCCAACCGAATCCACATTGGCAGATGACCCTAGCCTTCCTAAAATAAAACAATGGAGTATCATTTAGAATTAAGTTTAAATGTTATTGATAATACGCCAAAGGAGAAAATATGAAAACCCCAAAGTAGAGCATTACAGATGTAGTTTTGAAACTTGGTTAATTGTGAATATTTTGATGAGTATTTAGCAAATGTGTAATTGTGTGATGATGTTATTTAGATTGGAATAGCCTTTACTATTGACATATTTGAGTGTAATATACCACTAGACACTGATGTCATGAGACCAACTATTTTTATGATTGAGTACTGTTTGAGCCCATGCTGTAATACAAATCAAGTGCTACAATGGCCTGATGAGAATAATTTTTGATGCATAAAGTTTATATTCATTTATAAAACAGTACATTCTATTGTCGACAACGCGACTTAACTTTCTATCGTAAAACTCTCGGCCCACAGGGGGGCAGAGTTTTTGACCATAATTTTCACGACCAGATCATTTTTAGGGTCCTTTTGGCACAAAAATGCCTCCAAACGGAGTTATGGAAACCGTCCAAGCGGGGACTCATATACAGCAATTGACCCCGTCATGAGAAAACTTCAACTTCATCACAAATGATTTTAAACTATTAGAAAAATGAAAATAGTTAAAAGTGTACGTGAAGTTATTCACAACTGGAGACATATAGAGATTGAATTGATAAATATTTTTGCAACCTGAACCTAGACTTTAGAAGTCCGAATGCTCTCTCAATGGTGTTTCTTGTTCTGCAGTGTGAATAGTCGTATCGCTCTTCATGTCTTGTTTTAGGGTCAACTACAGGTGTCAGAAGCCATGGTCTGCATCAACAACTTCAATAAATAACATGACTCAAACATATTACTCACATTGCTGATGTGGTGACCTAGCTCAAAAATACATTTTCACGATCACGATTTTGAATGAATGCCCTCAATTGTATAACATGCAGAAATATAATCGCATACACTTACCCAGAGTCTCCAAAAAGAAATCAATCCGGGTATTCCTGTTATACTGGTCTGCACCATGAAGTGATGCATCATGTGCTGAGTCTGGCCATTTTGCAACAACATTAACAAATCTTAAAAAATAATAAACAAACTGAGATGACAAGTTTTCAACAAACATAAATTATGAAAAGTTTGTACTATGGATAAGTAGTTACATCATTTTTACAGTAATGTGATGTGCCACATCAAAATTTGCTTGAATGTAAGATAATATTTTGTGTAATTATTTTTGAATATAAATATAACTTTTATTAAATGTTTTATTGAATGTTTAACGCTGAAAAATCATAAATGAACTGTTTTACACAACAATGTGTGACTTTTACACGTTTGATATCTTTAAGTAACCCAGGAAGTACTACTCTAAGACAATGCTTATAGCCTATTAGTTTACAGATATCAAGGGCGCGTCTACTGATAGGTTCAATGTCAAGGTTTTTATCTAATGTAAACAGGAAGTAAATAAGTAGAAATAAGGTAAGATTTGATCGCCACAATTGTCTTAATTCTTATACATTTGCGTGGTTTTACTTAATACTTTGTGTTCAAGGGAGCACTGCGTGATTAACCTCAAATTTGCATCGCAAATGGTTTGAACATCAATGACGTAGAAACCAATGTGTATGCAGCTTCCACATCGGCAGGTGGTCTCCTGATCGTCACAAGTATCCCATCTATAGCTCAGATGACACGGGGGATCCAGCAAGTCGATAGTGCTTGACGTCACGTAAATGGTCAAGATCAAAGCGCATATTTGTCGTCTACCGTCTGGTGAAAACCCCGGGACACAGTGGACTTCACAGTCCCTTGGAGGTCGCCCAACTCAACGAAACAAGAACCCCTTGCCTTAATATCTCTGTGTCAGGAGTAACCTCGTTTCCGGGGCAGAGAATGCGAACTCTGGGTTGCTGGTGTAACTGATGGAGAGACTGCCTCTGGCAGTTTTAAAAGGGCCTGCGATCTCTGAAAAACCTCTCCTTCTTTTATACGCGATCCATTTTCTCGCACATCATAATAAAAGTCGCCGTCTTTGTTGTTATGGTAAAATCTAAGATAAATTTTAGCTATCCTAAGTTGGTCCGCAGCAACTTAGCATTTCGTTCTTATCTTACAACTCTATTAGTTAAGATTGACTTGTGGAACGGGTGGCAGAATGTAACAAAACTTTATGATCGCGTACTTAGTGAGTTACAATTAACTTAGCCCAAAGGTCGCTTTGTGGAACGGGGCTCTGAAGTTGAGGTCGTAACATTAAATCGGTTTTGACGTCATGAACAATGGATGACGTCACGTTGCTTTTGGAAACAATGGAACAGTTGCTACAAACATGCCAAATAGCATAAAACATAAATTATGCTGCTCAGTGAGAGTAAATGAAAATATATTTATCTATATCCGTGCCCCTGCGGGTAATATCATACATGTTTCGAAAACAACTTTATGACATTGTAGGGTAAACAAACTGCACTTTATCCCAATTAATTATGTGCAAACAACATTCAAAGCGTGGCTGCAGATGTTGGTATTGTAATGCAGGATACAATCACTTAATTGCCCTTGAACGGTATTCAAATTAATCTGTAAGGTAGCTTTCCAGTTTCTACGTCGAATAAAAGTCACTACTTCATATTTCAGCTGTTGGTGGAGAGTACATGCTGCTGAAGAAGGACATCATGTCGTGATTGAGGTTATGAACCCGTTCAATGTCACCGGGTGCCTGACTGCAACATTATCAATATATGATGGTGTGTTGTTAAATGTTGATGTTTTCATAAAGGAAGTTTCACTGAGACAATACTACACGTAATTTGATGAAACCTAGGATTGAATTCTGAGAAATGGAATACGTGTAAATTGATATATTTACTAGTACAAAACACATGTTGTACAGGAGAATGGATACAGATGGTTAATTAATACACTTTTAGTAATGAAACCAAATAATGAAAAGATATACAAACGCATGGCAAGTTTCATTTTATATGATATGATATTGTGTATATGAGAATAACAAAACGTGTCATATTCTTAATTCTAGGATTCCATTGCTCGTTGTTTAAGCATGGTGGGTATTATACTTTTATGGCCAAGATTTCCCAAACGTTATAACACCGGAACGTTTTTAATATTTTCTAAGGATGGAACAGCTCCGACGCACTGCTGGCGGAAATATGTGCGAATGAAAGGACGTCTATCATCAGTAGTGGCCGGACATTGTATCTGTACTTGGACAAGGGTTATACAGTGACAAGGATCCTGATACAGGTGTATGCAGTACCACGTACGTAGTTGCAATAATTTAGTATATAATGCAGTCTTAGTTACAATTAATATTATACATGATGTTTGAAGGCAGGGTCTCTTAGGAAGGTCAAGGTATATATGTTGATAGTTTGATTTATTTGTTTTGACTGTTGTTTTTACGCCACAGTCAGCAATATTCCAGCTATATAACGACTGCCTGTAAATAACTCCATGTCAGGTTAACACCGGCTGGTTACGGTAATATGCAATACACCCAGTCATTGAGCCTGACCGTCGGATCTTATCTAACCACCTGCTACCACTGTGTTGTGGGCACGCCGGGGTTACCATTATGTAAGCCCAAAGTCACCATAGACATTTATACACTTGTGAATACTGAAAAAACAGAAAACGATGAAACGTGAATGCTTCGTTAATACGAAATTCAAACTAGGTTATGCACAGCGACAAAATATTATTCTCACTCTCACTTCTCACTTTTCACAAAGAATGCGGTGGACAACTTAAGGCGATGCATGCACCAACCAATCTGACGTCCCCAGGATACCCTCAACATTATTCCAGGTACTCGGGATATGCTCTCATGATATTGGAATTCTTTCAAGTGGCACAAACCTAAAGGCAAACACGCTATTTTGAAGAACACATTTTTACACATTTCATCGGATCACATTATTTGATTTTTCGAATGTAATCATGAAAGGCAAATGCCTTCGTGTTGGCATAGACTTATATGTATGGAAGCTGTGGTCAAATGTGTTTTGAAACATGTTTGTGACGGGTGCTACCGATAGGGCACATTACGATCACCTTTTCACGAACACCTGGTATCATCACTATGTCCTTGTGATTCGTAAACACACGTTCATGGCAGGATTAATAAACTCTGCATTTGTCCGATTTCTTATGCTTATGGAGAGGCATTTAATTTGTTGCTTTTATTTATTCCAAGGAACTTCAAATGTTCATGGACCATCACTACGGAACATGAAGATGAAACAGTGATACTACAGATGATGGACGTGGACATAGAGCAGAGTGAAGGATGTGAGAACGCATCAATTACAATGTACAACTCGAACTCGTCCGATGGTAAGTTACGTTCTCTTTGTTGGAGAGATCGTGAATGGGTGAGTTGTGTTTTACGCCGCCTTTGTTCCAGCAGTATCTTGTTTGGCAAAACCAGAAATGGAATTCAGACATTGTACCCATGTCGGAAACAAAAGCACTGCCGGTGTGACGAGCGAACGCTTTGACCTCAAGGTTACCCTCCCGCCCCTTGCCTCCCGAAGAGGTAATAAACGTATAACATATAATTGGTAAAAAAACGCACCACCAAAACAAATGAAATGGGAGTAGGATTAGCTGAACTCTACAGCATCTGGTCCATGTACGAGCATGACACGGTTTGATATGTCACACAGTAATTACACACATACATATTCTTAAAATAGGAAACATACTATGTGACCAGTTTCGAAAATATGTTACACTCTACAATGCCAATGAGCAGAATCGACAGAACAATGTGAGTGTATATTTATTACAAATGTTTTATTTCTGGATATCAATTTTGATTTGATCTGATATAACATAAAATCTTTTGATTTACTTTTTTGCGAGACAGAAAGCCTTCTTCTTGGACGCCTCTGTGGAAGAGAGCCTTATGGACGTTTTCTTCAGAGTTCTAAGAACACACTAAAAATTGAATTCATCACAAAAGTCTTTGGTTCTGGAATGTACAAAGGCTTCAAGCTACAGTATCACTCCGTGTCAGGTACCTACTGCTTCGTTACCGTAAACAATTTCATTTCCAAATATGAAATTACGGTCACTTCCCCCTTACTCTTTCTTTAACCATTGTGTGTCGTTTTCCAGAAACAAACTGCAACTTCACCAACGTAATCCAGGGGAGTATGCCTTCGTATATATACTCACCAGGATATCCGAGTACGTATTACAAGTAAGTCTACTCCCATCCTGTTTAAAATAAGGTGACTAGGAGTGGGGCGCATCATATGGACACGTCAGCTTTATAATAACTAGACAGATGGTACATGTCTGTTGCAACAGGTAACTGCGCATGCAGTTTAATACACTATAACGTACTATTATAATTTTACATCAGTTAACAATATCATTAATTTTACAATTGGTCGGTACAATAAAGGTTGAGATGACGATATTTAACGTATATTAAAATAACTCAGGTGTCAATATACGTCGCCGTTGGGTTCCAAGGCAGAATAAATTCGCAATACCCCATTCTTGTTGTGAGCCCCTGATACTGTGAATCAGGTGGTTGAAGTGAGTGTCCTGATTGATTGTATGTCACCATGTCCTGACGATATGGATTATTGTGGTATTATTTCATATGAACATTTCAGTGATCTCGACTGTGTTTGGAAAATAGTTACGATTTCAAGGGATGCTGTTCTCGAGGTTGTTGACTCTGAACTTGAAGGCTCACCTCCTTCTTGCAGTAAAGATTCAGTAACGGTGTATGAAGGTATGTATCTCAGGACAGTGAGTGACTGACTTAGTTTCGCTTTGAGAAAGTTGTTTATCTTAGCTATATATTAGCATATCAGCTTTTCAATATAGTATTGGCAGGTCTTACATGTTTACCACCGATACAAGTAGTATTCTGACAGGCCTAAGATGAGACATGTACTTAAGGTAAACCTTGGGACTAAGATCAACGGACCCTGGTACGGTAAAGGAACGCTATTCTCCATAGTAAGGCCCCTTTGACAACATAAGCAATGCAACACATGTACTGTCTGCATGTATATGAAATGATTATGTTATACTACTGTCTGTACCGCTTGGCCACCCGGAATTCTCACCCCAGTCTCGGTAGAATGCAGATACACAAATAGTCATATTTGCCTGTGTAGATTCCCCATTCATCACACGGGAATGGTATGAGGGCTATACCAGGTCCCTGTTTTTATGAACCAGTTCATTGATGTTGATATAACTAAACATATTTAATTAGATTAAAACAGCGACTGGGGAACGTTAGAATTGGTATCGCCGATAATTTCATCATGTGTTCATTGAATGGAAAGGTTTGCTGTCGTGTTTTGCACTAACGTTCACAGGAAGTACATGCTTTTGAATAATCTGCGGATACATTGCGAATAATTCGAGAATATTAGTGAGTGAGTATGGTGTTACGTCACTTTTTGCAATATTTAAGCAATATCACAGCGGGGGACACCGGAAATGGGCTTGACACATTGTACCCATGTTGGGAATCGAACCCGGATCTTCAGCGTGACGAGCGAACGCTTCAACTACTAGGCTACTCCACCCCCTCGATAATATTAAGCTGATAATGTATGTGATACTTGTCAGGTTGTAATTATATATAATCCGTTTACATATTTGTAATCGTATCCAGTGATGTTATTAGAAGGATTTCAATTTCTGAAGGTATCCTCACACAAAGACTTTGAAGTTAAAAAGATTTGAATAAAGGAATCATTAAGTGTCTTATATTCACGTGTAGAAGAACCAAACTTGATAATATTGTGTCTTCTTGTGTGTCAGGAATGGATCCGGCAATGAATCAAGTTGGAAAGTTTTGTGGCTCGTTAACACCAAACTTCACGACTTATTTGCTTACGACAGTAAAGTTTAAAACGAACACCGCTGTTGTCAAGAAAGGGTTCAGGATGAAGTATTATGCAATAAAACATTATAGTAAGTATAGAAACATAATTTAACGAATTCGGGATGCATGTGCATAATGTTAAAAACACATGTATGGACATTCTGGCGAGATGAACAATGTCAAAAAATTTCCAAATATATAGTGAATGAGTGAGTGGCAACAAAGTAACGCCGTATTTTCATGGCTGAATGGCGGAAATGGACGGCGAATTGAGGCCCCTTGGCCATAATGTACCCCTTCCAATATCTGAAAGTAAAGAAATAAATAGACCATTATTTGTCTAGTCCCAACCACACCTGCACCAGACTGTGGTCCGCAGAACCTGACAGCTGTTCGATCAGATCAACACCTTGTATCGCCAGGATACCCAGTGGCATCTCCAAGGTAAGTCTGGTCACGGATATGTTCAGTGTAAATATGCTTTGTAAACAAAATCAAAAGATCACTTCAACTTGTACTGTGCACATGATCTATTATCCGGATGCCATGTATACGTAAAACATTAATAACGAGAAGACATTCTTGGGAATATTATTAAACACGCTTTAACATGTTTAACATTGTGTTGTAGTAATCTAGATTGCCAGTGGACGATAACATCATCCTCTCTTGACATGATGGTTCGCATAGAGATCCTCGACTCTGAATTACAAAACAACTGGTCCTGCGATTATGGCGACAAGGTCTATGTGTATGATGGAAAGTATTGTATTCTATTTTTTGGGTATGTGGTTTTTGCCCTGTCTAACCTTATGTTGGACAAGGCTCAATTAACTGTCATTTTCTTAAAGCCAATTTCTGATGACAGTGCTGGATCAGGGATCTTTGTAAAAGCGGCGCAAAACCATACTCACTTTATTCTTTGTGACATTTTTAAGCAAGCATTTTAAGAAAGTGGCAATCATGTTTACAGGTCCTGACAACACAGCAACTGTTATACAGATTTGGTGTGGACATATGAAACCAGTGGTTCAGAGTTCTGATACAAGCCTCACGCTCAGGTTTGTCACAGGTGTCGGACATGGCAAGGGATTTAAGCTGAAATATACAGAAACACGAGGTGCGTACTTGTGTTGCTTTCTGGCTGTGGAACTTTCACAAATGATAAAAGCTGTCGTCGTCATATGTCCAGCTTGGTACACCTTTAAAAATCTTTCAGTTAAATGTAAGCATATTAATGTGATAGGCGACTGGAATAAAAGTTAAAGAAAACGACGTTCACCGTCTTTGAATAATTTTAATGGATCAGTGATATACCCATTTGTGGTTTCTGTATGTGTATGTTGACAAAGATAGTACATACGTCCTGTACCAACTCAATATTCCAAATTCCCTTTGTCTAGAGTCTTTGCCATGTGGCGGTCAAGTCAGCGTTACAAACTCTAGTGGCCAGTATCTGTACTCTCCTGGATACCCTGCTAATTACCGTAGGCAAGTAGATATCAATTAAAGTTAGTGAAGCGAGTGAGTGTGTGTTTTTATGGCGCATTTAGCAATATTCCAGCAATACCACGGCGGAAGATCCATCAGAAACGGGCTATCAACCACGGGATTGTTTGGTCGAGACTCGATTGTTTAGAGATCTTCGCAATATAGCTGGAATGTTGCTGTGTGCTAAACAAGAAACTGAAAAATCAAACAAATCATATATTTAGTATTCATGCATATATTATTTTATTATACAAACATAACTAATTTACACCATAATCTGGAATTACCACTACCTTTACATGCCATCTTAAATGTACTTCATATTTGCTACATTTGTACACTTGTACCCTTTTGGTAAATTCCCGATCGAGTGAATTATATATAATTAGTGAGTGGAATGAAAAACGAGTACATGATGTCATTTCATGGCCATGCGACATTCCAGGAACATGAAATGCGTATGGGTTTTGAGGAGCCAACAGGACACCAGCATCAAGATACATGTACAAGAATCTTCCGTCGGTGACGGAGATAACTGCGCTGACAGTTATGTGAGTGTCAGTGATGGTGAGTGGCCTTTGTTCAATTCACTTACTCTTCGTTTACCTTCATTTTCACAGAAACGTGAATTTCTGCTCTGCCGACTTAAATTAATAAATATACATGAACTTACTTGATAAAAAGGATATCCACAGTAGGTGAAGTGGTCTGATGTTTTCATGTGATTGTAATTAATATTACCAGGTGTCGGCCTACGTGTGTACCCTTTTCACCACTGATTTTCAGTTATCTGTTCACATAATTTTGCATTTTACGCCCAGTGGAATCTGTTCAGTCTGATAATCGAGAGTGGTTGTTCTCTGGCGTTGAAGTTTTGTATTTTATATTTAATTGGAATACTGTTCACAACGGGGTTCTATTTTTTTATATCCTTTACAAATACACGTGTCAGTTGGATTATGTCCACACGTTAGAAATATACTGTACACATTTATATTTATGTTTCGATTAAGGTGCCAACGATTCTTCCAAACGAATTGGCGTCTTTTGCGGCAAAAAACAACCAACGTTCATCAGCTCTGGACATGTTATGTCGATAACTCTCAATACTGGAGCAGGATCTGTCAAGAAGGGTTTCGTAATCAAATATACCTCAGGGTCATTTCACAGTAAGTCTATATGTTTTCAGTTTCGGTTTAGTTAAATGTTTGGCACGGCTTATAAGTATGCACCAACGTATAAAACTCCTTTCACAGATTTAATTTTAAAAGCGACAGAACAATTTCATAATCATGAGATATATCTGCTAAAAGAAATATTGATGTAGTATTGCGTAATGCTCAAAACACTAAAAATAAGAGTGTCGTGGAGGTGATTGTGTACTTAGACAATAATGTAATACGGTTAACGAGCATTGATTATAATGCATGACTGCATTTTCACATGTTAATACACCCAAGTGTTTAGTGTAAGTCTGTTATAGTTCATGTTGTAATGGTTATCTTTTCTTCAGATCCTTATGATTGTGGTGGACGCTTACTGTTAAATTCCTCCTTTTACCGTTTACGCCCGCCGGGATACTACACAAACTATTATTTGTAAGTGTATAGAAAACAGCAACAGTTTTTTTATAAAAGTGATTAATTTTTAATAACAGATGATAGTTATGCGGATATTTATATTCGTGTTTTAGTATGTATAAACTATACGAAGTAAAAGTTCTTGCAAAATATAATATTTTACAGGGTGTAGTTACCGTATGCTGTAGTTATGGATATGTAAAAAAGTTAATTGGTCAGATGTGCTACATATATTATATGTATCATGTGTAAATAATACAATTCTATGTGTAAATTCGTCCAAAAATATTCAATTAATCTTCACCCTGTATAACATCATAATAAGCATCTGAATGTGGGTCTGTCCTTCTTTTGATTTACTTATACACAATGTGCTCTGAACTATAGGTGATGGTAAGTTAACAATGCATTGACCATTTTCAGTGATATGAAGTGTGTTTGGGTGATAGAATCAAACCACCAAAACATTAGGTTTTCCATTGATTCGACGGGGCTCATGCTTTCGCCTTCGTGTAAAGAAGAGTATATCACAATCAATGACGGTGAGTAAAGCTGCAATGAAACAGGCTCTTCCACTGGGCTAGTGAGTTTTCATTCTGAAACTTACGACTCATCCAATCCTGGAGATCACCATCTTTCAATAATGTCTAATGACATACACTAGAAATGTATCGTATCAATCCCATGGAATAATTATATATTTATTTTATTTCACCCTCTACTTATTGCATATATCTAGTATGTATTTTCTGTTCAGGGACATTGTCACAGCCGAGTTTAATCGGGAGGTTTTGCGGATATGAACGGTTGCTGCAATATTACGTTACCTCCGGAAAAGTCATGGTGGTCACATTCCAAAGCCGGGAGCCAAATAATGTCCAATTGCAAAGCGGTTTCGACATATCTTTGTATGGCGGTGATTTTGAGAGTAGGCACACGCTTTTCTATACGCTAACGAGTAGTTACATTTTGACAAAAGTTGTATATATGGTTATGAGGTTTACTCTAGATCTGGTTTACGCGAAAAACAATAACAGCGAAACGTTAATGTATATTTTCAATATATAAAACATTTTAAATGGCATGAGAAAATTGATTTCATTAATGAGTGAAATGGAAATTAACCGTATCACATAATGCATTTTGCTTTACTTAATGTGTTCATTTGTTTTTTTTCTGAAGCTGAAAACACCACACAAAGATAAAAAAATGAAATGATGTCCATGCCATCGTAATGTTCTATTGTGTGTTTGCTTTTCAGTCTGTAAATTACAGGAACAGAAGGCCTGGGACTCTCTAAGTTACATAACATCTCCCAACTTTCCATTTAACTACCCAAGGTGTGTGTGTAGCCCGTATCCAAGTACTGTCTTATGAAATTGATAATTATAACAATTCCACGTGCTATTCTTTGAGTAAATTATAGACAATGTATTGCGACACTACATTTGAGAATAATCACTTCTGAAATGTTGAAGTTAAAGAACTGGTTAAAGAAATGTTACTATTGTTTTTGTAGAAATGCCCACTGCTCATGGAGAATAGACACTGTTGACGATTCAAATGACGTTGTCATGTTAACGGTGATATCGTTTAATATAACAAAGACGTCATCGTCCTGCGATTCAAATTACCTAGAAGCATTTGATGGTACTGTATAAAGATTTGTTTGTTTGTTTGTTTGTTTGGTGTTTAACGCCGCACTCAGCAATATTCCAGATATGTGACGGTGGTCTGTAAATAATCGAGTCTTGACCAGACAATCCATTGATTGACGTCATGAGCATCGATCCACGCAATTGGGATCGATGACATGCATCAACCAAGTCAGCGAGCCTGACCACCCGATCCCGTTAGTCGCCTCTTATGGCAAGCACAGTCGCCTTTTACGGCAAGCATGGGTTGCTGAAGACCTATTCTACCCCGGATCTTCACGGGTCGACTGTAGAAAGAGGCAAACCTGTGCTGAGATCATCTTTGGACTTTTGTCTGTTACATAATTATTCTTTCGATTTGGCCAGCTACATTTTCCGTTCCCATCGTCAGTACAAACAGCTTCTCAATATGAATAACAGTCGAACCCCGTTGTGACGAACATAAATGTGTCGATATCCCGGTTGTCTCGAACTTATATTGGAGCCCCAAGTATCCAAATTGAGCATAAAATTCCCCTGATGTTTCTAACCCCGGACCCGAGCGCTTTTCCACGTTCCCAAGAGTTCGACACAGCGAGGTTTGACTGTACTTCCTTAATCCCAAATATAAACTGTGAATGAGCTATATATATATTTGTGATTGAGGAAGTCCTTTTTATTAAGAAGCCCGTAAGACCTACAATGCACACTGTATATGTAGCTGGTCAAGTTGAAATAACCAAATTTTAGCACATGGGACGCTTTTAGGCAAAACATGTCAGCGGTTGAAATATCGTAATATTGTTAAGTAATTTGGAGTGAGAAATAATAATTTTTAAGTAACACTGTTTTCGCGTGTTATCTGGACTTGACAAATCATTTGAGTTGAGTTGGATTCCACTGAGTGGGCTGAGTGTAATTGTTCCTGATTGGCAGCACACACACAATTCGTGAAATAAAAATGAAAATCTGTTTTTAAGGCTATGATGCTGGCAGTCCGTCTTTAAGGCGATGGTGTGGTACGGCTCATGATAACCCAGTCATATACAGCACAGGGAGATACCTCTTCATAAAGTTTGATACCAGTAATGACACACCTAATACAGGTTTCAACATCTCCATCCATCGATCGTGGCGATCCTCTGGTATGGTTACTTCTACCTTCACGCCTGAAATAATGTTTCGCTGCTCAAACTATCGTTGGTATTTTGATACAAGAGAAGTTATTATTATCATCAGCTGACCTCGGGGTTATTCTGCTACAATCAAAACGCTTTGACCTCGGGGTTATTCTGCTACAATCAAAACTGTTTAGAAGTTAAGTCGCCATTATGGTACTAGTAGATAATTTAAATTTATAAAAACGATTCATTTCAAAATGAAGAAACAGGTAAAATAGTTATTTGAACTGTACGAACTAATACAGAATGGTGCAACAATGAATCACTTCATCGTCTAAAATGTCCTAAACATTCCGTTCATTGAAAAGATATGACACTTATAGATAATACTTACGAAACGAATTAAATTGTAAAGGAAGCATATGTGCATCGAAACATTTTAGGAATTTGGAAAAAAATCATTCTCATTCGCCACATTACAGTTCATAATCTTAAACATTGCTTGTAGTTTCAGAATCCCGGAACCACCTTATCATAGGACTCGCTGTTGGTGTTCCTGCTGGTGTGTTTTTGGTCGTTGCTGTCAGTTACTACGCTGTCAGGAAGGCTGCATGTTTTAACAGTGGCACAATATCCCACAGAACAAACCTTCGCCCTGTCTCTTACAAACACAGTTGAACAAACAAGAATAAATAACCAATGAATGGATAAGGATGAGGACATAGAGCCAACAATATACCCGGAATAAAGAACTAGAGGCAAAGAAGCTTGAACAAAGAATGTATCGTGCGGATCTAATTGAAGAGAGTTCAGTGATGTCATGTTGCTATGATCAGCTCTAAAAGATACTTCAAGTGGAATAAATAGTAAACACACTTACTGTGGTATTTTGTATAGTGTTCCTCACGACTGGGTAGCATAACAAGTCATAAATGCTTTCTGGATTGAAGAGCCCCGATATTATTTAAATATTGCTTAGACCAGCAAGTGTATCTTGGTATGTACTCCGAATCATGAGGACGTCCACGATTGTTCACGATTATGTAATAATTTGAGTGAGTGAGGTTGCTTAAACGCCACTTACCTTTACGTGTAATTCATCAAGCAATAAATACTTTACTTTTTATGCAAATTGTGTGAATGGCGAGTGCTACTGTTAGAGCAGGATATGCTGCTTACACATTTTGCGAACAGCTGGTGTCATCACTGATTTTCGGTGGTGCAGTCACATAGAATTCACGGGTATTTTGACTTCTACGCCAATCAAGGTTATCCCTTACATTGCCGTTTCATATTTATACATCTATTACGGCGTGTCCGCTTATTGTGTGTGTGTGTGTGTGGGGGGGGGGGGGGGGGGGGGGAGTAGCTCGTCATAAGAAGTAAATCTGTTCAGCGAATCCCTGTGCCTTACACGATTGGGAAAGTAGCGGTTTCAGTTACATGTTCGACTGAATACATTTACAATGCATTTGATAGAAGTGTAAACACACAATAGACAATCCAACTGTTGTACGCTAACTGTGTCAGTATATTTCACCTAACTTTCGACTTTCGAACGAAACAGTTTGGTCACTAATTCTCTAACGAAGATTCCAATGACACAGTACGACCGCCGGACTATGCCGAACGGTGTCGGAATTAAAAAGGAGGAGCGGTCACTATACCGTGACACGCGTAGTTTTCGACTTGGTTATAAGTAATTGAACACAATGAGAAGACAGAATCAATGTTTATTGTGAAACTAAACATGTAATTTCAAGAAGCAAGTGACGCTCATTAACGAGACGCAGACCCTGGGCACGAATTCAGACCAAATCGCTGGAGGCGTAATTAAGTGACCGGACATAAGATAAAAATGAATTTCAAGAAACGGCAGTTACCATATCGATAGCAGTGTACGTATTGATCACACGGTTAAATTTCAATTAACAGCAACTCAAAGCTGTGGAAAACCTAAACAGTTTCGTCTTTGTTTCTTCCAGTCTCCGAACATACCAGCTGGCCGCTCAGTCTCAGGAAGATGTTTCTCAATATCTTTACTGGTTACACCATATCGAGAAGATGTAGTATTTTCGTTGTTTCCTCCCTCTCTTCCTTCTTGAGGAGGAGACCTGTAGATCATAATACTATTTTATCCAAACTGTATTTCGCAGGTTCTACTGGTCTACGTCAAACGTTTCCACGGCCTTTAAAATTGCAAAATGTCACGTATGATCGATCATACGACTTATCACGATCTTCTTCCGATTTGAAATAACTTTCTGCCACCCATATCATTTGCCTAGTGACGATAATTAAATGACTGTACGGCATGGTGTAAATCAGTCACCATCTTCAATACTCGCTGTATCTCTAGACCACGAACAATGTCCGGGGCGCTAACATGACAGCGTCGTCGTAGCCGCTTCGTGTTATACACCTGTACCACACAACGACTTGTCCACAACTATGGTCTACACGATGTATCTAGGGATATCTCTCATATGTGAATATGGTACCTACAAATTAATTACAACTTAAATTCAACTTTATACATTGTTTGATTCCAGTTCGGACGTAACCGAAATAAAACGACGCGAAGCATAACGCTAGTACCCAAAACCCTCCCTAATTAATGTGGCTTTAATATGGTTATGTATTGCAAAGACTGCCTCTTACTGTATGCCATACAAAGCAGCACAAATGATAACTCAATCAACTGTAGTTATTGTACCGTCTTTAGCGGAGGAGAACAGATGTATTTCTATATCTCTGCCAGTAAAAGCCAACAAAACAGTTTATATCTACTCCTTAACATCGAGTGGGTGTATGAAGATAACAATATCTGGTCAACCGACCAGGTGTACCATGAACCTCTCATCACGAATATTTGACTGCAGCCAATCATCTGCTAAAGTTTTCACGTGACACAATTCCATCATCAACTATTTCATGAGAGATGACAACATAGTCAGCATAACTTGAAGAAGCAAAATCGAGGACAACTCCATTTTATGGAGCTATGAAACGAAATATAAACAAGAAATGCTTTATACATATACATACATGTACTGATTTATTTGCCCCCAAAATGGAGGAAAACAACTTTTGGAGGTACACTTGAAAAAGAAGGTTGTATGAGTATTGATAAGGCTGGTTTGAACCATAAAATCTAATTTATCGTGTGTGCCAAAAACCAGAACAAAACGTAATGTAATTTATTCACGAAAATTATGAATACTTATTGTGTTTTTTCGTGTTAAGTGTCAACTATGACATACGTGTACTTACAAGCAGTGTTATCTTAAATTTCAATGCAGTTTCAATGTTTTACATGTGTACATTCTGTAAGTTGTTTGTAACAGTAATATCACATCACGGTCACTTCTTGCAAGCGCACCATGCTACGTACACTGTGGATTTATTACTACCACAGTTTCGTCTTAAATTCATGTTTGGCTAAATAATGTAAGTATCCGGTTGATTCAGGTTAAAAGAGAATTTCTAATGTTAAACATTTTAACGATTAATTTGAATATATATTTGTTTCGAGGATGATATTTCTTCTCTTGTTAGTAGATGTTAACACATTGGAAATTAGTTTGGGAAAGGGGGTCACGGGTGGCCAGTCGTCTAAGGCGCCGCGAATCGCTGTGCAGAACGCCAGAAAACCTATGATTGTGGGTTCGAATCCCGGTTCGCCCCGATTATGTTTCTAGGTTCGTCAGCACCATACCCGTGCTCGTGGGTTTCACCGAAGTGGTAAACGTCTGCGACCTCAATCCCACATTAAGCTGACACACCGTGGTATAACTGCAATAATGTTAAAAAGCGGCGTTAAACCCAACTCACTCTATCACTGACTAGTTTGGGAAAGACTGAGTTACGCTAACATCTTATCGAGGTGACTGCGCAGTTGTTTTTACACACACTGACACCGACACTGAGCTGACCTGTTGTGAAATGTAAATACACAAACCGAACGTCAGATGCATCAGTGTATTTTTCGTGTTCGCTGTTTACCGTGGTCATTCGGTACAGGAGTGGTGGGCACATGTATAAGCTTAATGGCACAAATGTTAACTCTTCACACCAAAGACTGGATCCCATGCTCTTAATTGGCACAATGTGTGGAGCCCATGACTGGTCAAAGCGGGATACTCACTCTCTCATGATCACTCACTTATTTGGCACAACCCTCTACCCTCACGTGGGGGCACGGGTGGCCCAGTCGTCTAAGGCGCCGCGATTCGCTGTGCAGAATTGCGTCCCCTGGACACGCCAGAAACCTATGATTTTGGGTTCGAATCCCGGTTCACCCCGATTATGTTACCATACCCGTGCTCGTGGGTTTCTCCGAAGTGGTAAACGTCTAAGACCTGCACAACTTCGGGCTTTCCTCCCACATTAAGCTGACAAGCCGTGGTATAACTGGAATAATGTTAAAAGCGGCGTTAAACCCAACTCACTCACTCACTCACTCTACCCTCACGTTCTCCAAAGCTGAAAAAGGATGGAAGAAAAGTGTCGTTGCGTTATATTTTTCGCAATAATCATTCTGGAGATTTCATAAATAAATTAAAATAAATTGTGTACATAACAGGCTTCTCCACTCCAGTATAACTTCATCTGATATCTACTCTACTGTATAAACATTACCTCCTACCTGTATATATACTTGTCAACCATACTCTGTATATCACTTGCTTGATAACGGTGTTAGAACCTACACCGAAACGTCGCTCATAATTGTAATAAAGACGATGTATACATAAATCATATCCTTACTTATTACTCCAACTTCTATATGCTAATCAAAGGATTTTAAAGCACAAAACAAATTCGCTGAACATTCTGTATGCCCGAACAATAATGTTGTCGTAAATCAAGAAAAATCTTCCGCGTCTCTTTTCATAGAAAGAATGCGTATTTTGAATCAGTGACCGAAAACACCTACAGTTTCCAATTTTATCAGTTGTTGATCCTTGAACAGTTAACGGCTTTGATCCACTGGGTGTTGGTCATTTGGGTTACGCGTAGTGAAATAAATTGATGAATATATACACTTTATAAAACAATGCCCTTCGAGCTGCATGTATATGAGATTTACACATTACTCGTACACTGATTTGTTGAGATGCTATTCGTGAAACTCGTGTACATTTGTATTTGGCCATGCATTGAGGCTTTTTTATCGCACAAATTTACAATATGTCAAGTTCATTTCTTACCCCAGTCTTCATTGAACCAATATATGTTTACACAAAATTACCCAGCCACAGACAACCTTTTACAAATTGTTGAAGGGATAAGTAATGTTTAAATAGACATGATAGAATTTAGCAACTGTTTATTCAATTTTCAATTACATAAAAGCGAATTTGGGATACTTTGTTCTTTAATAAGAACACGTTATGTCTGTGACAGGCTATTGCGACACTCCGTAGTAATGCCAGGAGGACAGGGCATACTCACTTATTTTGGGGACATTAAAATGTGGATAAGAGTAACACAATACTATTTCGAAAAGTTAGTAGATTGAGGTAATGTGAAAAGTTCACTCTGAAAGTAAATTCCATTGATACTTTGTAATAAAATATTTATTTCTCTTCTACAGATAGTTGGTTTAACACCCAAAATACACAGCAGTACATACATTGTATTATTCTCTCTCCCTCTCCCTCTCTGTGTGTGTATATGTATGTATGTATGTATGTGTGTGTGTGTGTGTGTGTGTGTGTGTGTGTGTGTGTGTGTGTGTGTGTGTGTGTGTGTGTGTGTGTGTGTGTGTGTGTGTGTGTGTGTGTGTGTGTATGTATGTATATACCGGTTATATTCACGAATATAGTGAGTCACAGTTTGATCATTGATGAATGGAGCAAACTTAATATTCCACCCGAAGAGAGGTTATGTCCACCATGTATAACACACATTCAGTAATCTGATTACAATTTCATATCACAATGTCCTTCATATTCTGAGCTAAGTAAGCATATTGTACCAGCATATTATTTTACATATCCAGAACATGTACTCGTATATGCTGTTAAATACATATACACTGTTACACTGTAACTGTCTCGCGACATATTTTCGTTGGGTTGAAAAAGTGTGCAAGTGCTGTGAATTACTAATTTTAATAATATGTATTATGAGTAATATGGACTTTAGGTGTATATATCTGTAATATATGAATTGATAAAACTAGCCCATTGTACGTCACATTCATCATCATGAATGCACCCACACACCTCTTGTTAAGCCGTATTAAATTACGAAATGTAGCATGGTGTTATTGATAGTGTGTTGATCGCAATAAACAATGTTCATCTGACTGTATTGATTTAAGGCGTTGCATACTATATGATCAAGAAGTGCCTGGTTCACAGGTTGATGATAACAAATCACGTGACAACGCATCATGTGTCAGTATCATTCCGATTTCGCAATCTTAGATTATATGTATATAGACAAAGGCAGTTGAGTCAGTTGGCTGAAAGGAGAACAAAGTTTGACGAAGGGATGGGCGTTCGTTTATTCCTCTCGGCCGTTCTGGTCTCTGTGGTGTTGTTCGCCACTGCAGGTAGGCATTGTTCTGTTATTGTACATATAATAAAATAATGTGATATATAAAATATCTTTGTGAGGAATACATATATGTCATTAAGTTGGTTACGTATTATTTGAAACGTAATTTAATTAATGTTAGTAAATCAGCATTTCTGATGCATCCATTAAAGTGGAAATATGCTCTCGGACCTCGTGCCCATTTCAGTATCTGGACGTTGTACTTAGGACCCCGAGTACAAGTGAGACATTGCGCAATTGTAAACAATGTATTTCATTGCTATATTGATCTACGTTGCCTTGACAGACACCCATAGCGGTGTTTGAACGACTTGAAAAAAATATTGCTTTGACTTAAATTCCCTGTTCCTAGTCCCGCTTTGACAGGAGGATATTTCTATTTCTATATTTGATATTGATATATTTGATATTTCGTACGGAAGCACGTAGAGGTAAAGAAACGTCAAAGTGTCAAAAGAGCTCAAATTTTGAAGGGATTCAGATTGATTCACAAGCAATTTATTCATTGAATACAGGGTGTGAATACTGTTTCGTGGGGAGAACGTCAGTGAGTCGAATCTTACTGCATTAAACCACAATGGACGGGTTGTTACCGTTTAAAGGTATCTAACCTGCGCGTATAAGCAACGGTATTAGATGTGCAGAATTTACGACATCCCCTAGTAGTATAAGGATCAGCTTGTCACCGGTTCGAATCCCACATACACCGATTACGATCCCCGATCAGTAATTGTTTGTGGGTTCGCCAAAGTGTTATACTTGTACATGTAGGTGTTTTAGGTGTAATCATTAGCTGACAGACTGTAATAAAATGAAACTCTGTTCAATGTGGCTATAAAGAGCGATCCCTCACTTATTGTATATGTATACCCGTCAAACATGTCCGTTTTCTTTTAGATTCGTGCAATGTGACACTGATAGCAAGAGGATCACCATCCAACCTAACCTCTCCAGGATATCCCTACAAGAACTATCCGAGGCAAGTGGATACTGTCACTAAGGGCTCAGGGTTCTTACTGACGTCCTTGATAGGACCATTCCCGATAAAAATTTGTCAAAAGTCTGATCAAGATCCTATGATTCGTAGCGGGAAATTCACAAATTTGTAAAAAACATTTATTTAATCACGACATCAATCAGATATTGTTCAGGAAGCGTCCCGATTCAGCCGTTTCCAGCCGAATTCCTCCCGATTCTTCCGTTCTCAATCCGAATCTGATCCGATTTGTATCTTCTGGATGGTAAAAAACGATCGGATCTGTCCCGACAGCGTCCCGATTCTCCCGAATGCGATCCGACAGAGATCAGACAGTGAACGGACAGTGAACCGACAAAGACGGGTCGCATTCGGCAAGATCTGAACGCATTCTGGACTCAATCGACAAGAAACGGCAATGAACAATATCTCCAAATCATGCCCGTTCATCACGACAGCGTCCCGATCCAGGGGACAACGTCCACACAACACAGGACACTGTTACGATTTTGATCCGATACAGCAGAATCTGTCACGACATAGTCACGTTTGTAATCCGACTAGACAAAATCGGCTGAGTTTCCCGAATGTTACGTGACTCACCATACTGTGGAGAGTGCTTGGCCGACCTCTCTGGACCTTTCCCGATCCGTCGGACTTTGTTACGAACGTATACGACTGCGTTCAGCCAATGATAGATCATTGAGGATAGTAATCCGACTTTTTCACTTTTCGTGTCGTACCGCTGTCTGATCTCAAACGGGAGCCATAATCGGCACTGTGTGAACGTAGCCTAACTCGACATGTCGGTGCAGCCCGCCTCCGTGGTCTAGTGGTAGAGCGTTCGCCCGAAGAGCGGAAGGTCCTGGGTGTGATCCCCGGCCGCGTCATACCAAAAAGACGTTAAAATATGGTACTTTTTGTTACCCTGCCTGGTGCTCGGCATTAAGGTGCTAAAACAATGACTGGTCGGCTCGGAGTCAGTATTCTTTGTCTGAGTGGGGTATTCATGTTCGGCATGGTATCTCAGTGGGCTAGCACTATAAAACAGCATCACTCCGAATTAGTACAAGCACACACACACACATACACACATACACACGCACGCACGCACGCACGCACACACACACACACACACACATACACACACGCGCGAATTTTGGTGATCCAGTCATGCAGTTTATTTCTAAGAAGGCTTTAAGCGGTCGATTACTTCAAAAATGTCGAACAAATTACTTAGATGATGGTGAGATATAATATTGCAGGCTCTTCAATAATTGTGTTCCCTGTTCTTAGCGAAAAGGTGATCGAAGCTGCCATACTTTAACATTGGCTTACGATTATCGTAGTGCTAAGATCGCTTTGTGGAACTGGCCCTAGATTATCATAGAAACAGCTACCGTGCGTAGCCGTTATCAAACGATGGCCATGTGTGATAAAGCAGAGTTGTGAAATATGTCACAAAAGATAGAACATAGATTATTAACGATAGGGATGAACTTTATTATGGTATTTGTTTGCCAAATAAACATGGCACGATAGAGATATAACACTGGTATCTTACATCTATAGTAATCTGGACTGCTGGTGGAGGATCGACGCCAGTAACAAAGACAGCAGCATCTTCGTGAAGGTTCTGGATTCTGTCATAGAAACATCGAAAGCTTGCGTTTATGATAGTCTGTCCTTTTACGATGGTAAGAGCGCACGAACTACAATTATTTATTGACACTTAATAATGTATTTACTGAACTGGTATGCAAATAAATAAAATAACATTGTTGATTGTCGATTTCAGAAGTACTGACGCCTTAATCCAGATGAGGTCACACTAGTATAACCTGAGTATTGATATGCCGGTTGGACCTAGTTTCTATTTTGAATATTCTCAAACGTTTTCATTTACCTCCCAATGGAATTAAAATATTTCTCAAGCTGATATACCAGGAACCATGAAAGACGGTATAATAAGTATTTGCCACATAAACAATTGTGTATCATGATGGACAAATAATCATCCTGCATATATTGTATGATGTATTGCTGTAGAAGACAGTGATGGCTTTGGAAGGGCTATTGGAATCCTTCAACTGCCAGGAACTGCTAGTCTTTTAGTACGACGTGTCTCCAAGATTATGATCATAATTTGTCAGCACTGTACCCGTTCACGTTGGTTACACCAAAACGGCATACATCTTGTGCCGTTAAACCCCGATTATTACTCTTGCACCGGATGTCAAAATGTCATTCATGTTATGTCAAGTGTGTATATTACATCAATACCATGTACACATGTACATGTAGGTATGGTCGTCGATTATGATAACCTTGGCTAGTATTGTGCCGGCCAATAGGCAATCCAGTGTATCTGTCATATACTTTTTTTTTATCAAACGAGTGCTGATGTATCTATTTTGTAGGACCAAACTCTACAGACCGCTCTCTTGGGCGACTTTGTGGAAACGGACGTACTACGTTTATAAGCACCGGAAGTTCCATCTATATCTTGTTCAAGACTGACGGCGATCACGAGTTAAAGGGCTTCAATCTGGAGTTTTATGAATCAACAAGTACGCAGTGATATACTATATCGTCACAATAGTAGTTGAAAAGAAGCTAGAAAAACATAACTATGAGAAATCTCTGGTAAAATCTCTGCTAAACGAAAGACAACCAGTGACCTGTCTGACATTTTATATACTCAATTCGTATATTAATTGTTCAGCAGTCAAGTGTACTTTCCAGTGCACAGGCATGCGTTCCTCTCTTAGTGTCTGATTAGAAATTCTGGGATGGAAAATGTTACCGTAATCAAAGGATGATAGTGATATCTCTCTGTGCAATGTATATTCATTACAAAATATTTAATCATCGTTTACATGACTCATTTCACTAAACTTGATTTTACTTTCAAATTGTTAAAAATACAATTATAACAATGTTCGCAGAATGTGGAGGGGATTTGATTGCAACACCTGACAAAACGACGTTTCAATCACCTGGCTACCCTAATCAGTACTTTAAGTAAGTACATGGTAGTTGGGTGTATCTCATTTTCACATCAGTAAAGAGGCCTTTACATTAATAGGATATGAAGATTAAGCAAATAAATAAATAAAATGACTTAAAGCGATAATAAATGAAAACAACTGTGTTTCCTGGTAATCGATACAAGATATGTCTGCAAAAAGTGCTTTAGTATTTCAAAATACCTGCATATATACTGATTCCACAAGATGTGCATTCCTACTGGTAGGAGTGAAGGTAACGCCTATTTATGACTGTGTTACAGAAATATGAATTGCTCCTGGTTCCTTACTGCGAAGGACCCAAATGACACAATAGTTGTGCAATTCGACCACATGGACGTGCAGTCGTCAAGCGGATGTGTCGACGATTCTGTGACTGTATATAATGATCACCAAGGCGATGGTAAGTTTAACGGGGTGCAGTTCCTGACTTGCCGATGAATATTTGATTAACAGCCATTTAGAAATATCCAGATTGGAAGACGTGAAGTTACACAAGACTTAAATACATCACAATGGCATTCCCATTTAACATTTGTCTTTTCGTATTGTTTGTAAACACCTCGTGCAGGGACCTACCAGCAGAAAACCCAGTACGAAATATAAGCCTTATGTTCAAATGATGCAGCGCTTGCAGTGAGCCAGCCCCAGCTGCTACCATTAGGTCATGCATAGTTCCAACCAACGAGTGCAGCACAATAGACCGAAGCGAATATACAAGATAAAGCTCATTGAAAGGTTTTAGCAACCACTAACCTTTTATATGCTCAGGGAACCAGTTCCTCGGTACGTTCTGCGGATATTCTACACCTCGCTTCCAAAGTTCTAAAACCAAATTACGGATAGATTTCAAGACTCATGGCTCTCAAGTTGGAAGCGGCTTTACATTCCATTACAGGACGGTTGAAGGTGAGCGTCTCAAATATTTTGTTAATAGAATGCTACGAACATCCGTTAAACACAGAACAGAATAGGCTTTAACTCAGCGGAAAGGCCAGACCAGGGTATAATTTCTTGAACACAGGCATCAAACATTTCAATCGATTATAATGCATCTAAGGAACGCACATCTTGTCACCCAACAATGACTTTGTACTCGGTGAATGCATTGGCAATTGTAATTGTAAGTGATTAAAAATATGTTTCAATGACTTGATCATTATGTTCTATCTGTAGCTGGTGTCTGCAATCTGACAATGGTTTCCGACGTCAACCCATTGTACATCGTATCCCCAGGATACCCGGATGCATATGAAAAGTATGTTCGAAGTAAAACCCGAAAGAAAATCTCATAACTTGTGGAATTCACAAATTTCTACATACATTAATTATTGCATGTAATACATATGATTGAATATAATTATAATTAACATAATTATATATATGTATATATCCAGGTTGAGACTGGAATTTCATCGTGCGTTAACTCCCTTGCTTCGGGAAGATCTTTACACGAGGGCGATCGAGAAGTGTACACGTACACGCCCACGCTGATTATAACCTTTTCTTATTTTTCTAGTGACTTGCAATGTGTGTGGCAGATTTACTCAGTACACATTCGAAGAAATGTTGAAATTGACGTGATCGATTCATACATTGAGGGTGACTACCCACAGTGTGACAATGATTCCTTAACAATATACTCAGGTATGATCGTACAATGTATAATATAAACGTAAAATACATCATTCATATTACTGCCAACATAGTAATATTGATAAAGGTCAGTTTCTTAACTGTTTCTCTTTACTTGTGAATACGCTTTTGTACGCAGCAGACGTAATTAGAAAGTAACATGTCATTATTAGTTTCAACGATTCAGTAAACTCACTACCGTGTTAGTCACTCGGTTGTGTGGTCAAGATGGTTTAGAGGCCCCTGTCGTATGACAAGAGTACTGCTGTACCGTGCAAGCCAACAAACACTTACATCTATAACCAAATTGTGTGAGTGACGGGTGCTACCGGTTGAAAGGACATTTAGTGATCCATGATCCATATGGAATATGTTCAACACAGTTTGCGCCCAATAATAGTGTCATCAAAAAGTGATCATGCCAGGTGTTTGCGAAACGTCGAGCGTATCCTGCCCAACCGATGACATTCGTCACAAACATGTGAAAGGCAAGTCCCCTGAACAATACACAATACACTTCTGTTGTATAGGTTTGTCCCAGAAGGCCACGAAGCTAGGAACGGTTTGTGGCAATAAGACACAAACGTACACATCGGCAGGCATTGGCATGGCGGTTGAATTTAAGACGGATGATGCGGTTGTAAACAAGGGCTTCCGAATCAGATACAGTCAGACACTCGATGCTCCAGGTAAGGATTTACTATATCATCGGTGTTGTAGTGGCATTAATAGGTACAAAATATATATTGTTTTGATACCTTTTTATATGAATGCTTTTCTTATTGTTGAATCTGTCAAAAGTTCTTCGACGCTTTCTTATATTACAGTTCGAATATGCCATTTCGAAACCTGATTACAATTTCTGAATTTTATTATATTTGTCAATATGTGCCTGTCATGGAGTTGTGCTTACTTACTTACTTATATTGGCGATTTAACGTGCGCTTTCCGACTGCAAGCGTATGTCGCACACGGAAGAGTTGTGCTACTGAGAATAGGGCTTTATTAAAGAATAAAGTAATAATTTAAATCGTGGTAAAAGTTTTATTGTCAGCTAATTGTAACTATAAATGACGATTTATGTGATCAAGATCCTTCTCTGCACTGAGACTGATAACGGATTAATCAAACCACAAAAAATACACAAGCTGATTAGCTGATCAACTGTATAACAGTCATAGCAAAGGTTCCTATATAAATTAACATTTTGACAAGATAATATGACACGACACACAGAGATCCAATTGTGTCAACTGCGACCAATTTACATCTGAGAGATACTTAACTCAACACTCTAAAGAATGAATAACTTCAACTGGGTTAGATAGGGAGAAATAAACAATGAGGGCTTATCCCTAAAGTAAGACTCTAGGATCAAAGACGAAAACGCCTGAATAACAATAATAGTCTTATTGATAAAAGTCACCTAGACTGAGCAAGGACATTCTTACCAAACATACAAGGTACTTGGCCCTCGTAGCATCTAGATTCACAATTATAAAATATTACTCGCCCGAAAGAGTAACTTGACTCTCAATCGTAAATAGGTACTTGACCTAAACTAGGCAGTCACGGGAAAATTGGTTATCCACGGATTACTAGAAAAACGGGGTAGGACATGTTACAGAATCGCTAATAAATGTATCTAAATACCACCAGAGTCCGTACTAGAGTGAAAACCTCTCCATATCTTACTTACCCGCGAACCCTTAGTTTCGACCTGCCCAGCCAGTAACAAAACGACCCGTAAACGGTCTAACGAATCCTGGCGGTGCGTACACTTGATATCGCCAAGGGCTTTAACCTGGGTGGACGTCGGAGAGGGAAATCTTTCCTTGCTCGTCGGGAGAATACTATAGCCTCGAGAGCCGATAAAGATTTTAGGAAACACGCGATATGGCCTAAATATTGCCGATTTAACGTTAAATTTCACTCACACATTTTAGGAAATAGAGGAAAAACACGAATAGCAAACGATTCCCTAGACCAATTAGGGAGATTTAGATACCAATATATAGCTCTGAACACACGCTATCCAAGTGTACCATAAATGGTCACAGGAATTATGTACAATTAATGATGTGGTAAAAATGACTATTTTAAAATTTTTCTAAAAAGGTTTCCATACTAGAATAAGCAAGCAAACATATATGAGATAACATATAACAAATCAATGCTTGATAAAAGTATGAGATTCAACAGCTAGAGAATAACATTTACGGTAACGAACGCGAAGACACCGGACGGTGACGACCGCCGGACTTCGCCGAACTGTGCCGAACGCTGGATAACTACGAGAGGATGAAGCGCAACGGTTACTAGACCGCGCCAAACTGGGTTTTACGACTATAGAGTGTCATTTTATAAAACCGTGTAATGCTCACGTCATCCATGAATTTCTTTAAAATAGGAGGGAATAACTTTTTCTATGGCCTACTGTACATGTTTAGTAAAGTTGACGTTCACTGACGACATGTACAGGTGTTATGTATACACGTCCGGTTGTTTGGCCATCAACGTAGAAGGTATTACTATTGTTTCAGCTATTCCAACGTCCCTTCAATGCGGCACCGGTACTCTGACAGCCCACTTATCTCCCAACTTCATTCAGTCACCAAGATACCCCCTTAATTATCGAGAGTAAGTAGAAGTGTTTAAAAACTATATTTATATCATTGAATTGCATTTTCGTATTTAATGACGTCAAACTGAAATCGCGAACAAAAATATTTACTCGTAACAATCATACGTGCAGTATCACAAATAACACAATCACAAATACAGTGGGTCGGTGGGTGGTTGAGTGGTTAAAACGTTCAATTCCCTACTTGGGTACAATGCGTGAAGCCCATGCGGATGTGCCCCGCCGTGATATGGCTGAAAACGGCACAAAACCACACTCACTCACATATTACACTTCAACGTATTGTGTAGAAGAAATTGAATAGCATAATACTTCCAGCTTCTTAAAAATTCGTATCACCAAACAACGTGCATCATGTTGAATTATGGTTACTGTTAATGCTACACTTCCTGGTAAACATGTACATGTTCACGTGGTGCTGTTTTATGAAGACAACGTTGGTTTCATAATTGAAAAGAGTTTCCACATGACAGCAAGGTTTATACATGTATACTAGTACATGATTCGGTCACCATTTTCCGACGCTTGTCTTAAGCGTCGGTCCCAATGTTGACTAACTGATGCCTTTAGTCACTGTTGTATCCATCCTAGACGTGATTATTCACAGGCAGTTAATTTAGGGGCAAATTATTTACTGCGGGTATAAACGACATTCCCTTACTCACTCTTATAGACAGTAACTACAATTGTTCTCGAGAAGCGCCAGTGATAACTTACAAAAATGCGTGCTCGGTTTCAGCAATTCCCTATGCATTTGGACATTGACGACAGTCCTGGCAAACTACATGATCAGACTAGAGGCAGTAGATTCCCAAATGGAGAGTGAAGTCGGGTGTGCCTATGATTCCGTTACAGTTTACGATGGTTTGTATATGAGAAGTGCATGGTAATATACTATACTGTTCAGTTGTTATGCAACATGATAATGCTGTTTCGTAGATATTTTATTATGTGGTTTCTCACTGGATGTGGTCTGTTTTATATCTATGCCCCAAATTCAGAATCTTGTCAATTTTTCATAGAGATGTTACGTGAAATCCATTTGATAAGTGGTACGATTTCATGTACAAAGCAGCCTCATGGCATATGCAGGCTTTGGCAGTACATGTTACTTTATTGTTGCTAGGTGTTGGAAGCAGCACTTCGTGGATGTTGAAACCTCGTGGCATATGCAGGCTTTGGCAGTACATGTTGCTTTGTTGTTGCTAGGTGTTGGAAGCAGCACTTCGTGTATGTTGAAACCTCGTGGCATATGCAGGCTTTGGCAGTACATGTTGCTTTGTTGTTGCTAGGTGTTGGAAGCAGCACTTCGATGATGTTGAAAAGGTGGTGTGGTAACACGCAACCGACAGTTCAGAGTAGTGGCCAGTCAATGACAGTGGTGTTCAAAAGCGACAATTCAGTTACTGGGAAAGGCTTCCGGCTCAAGTACACTGCAACATCAGGTATGAGGACCTACATTTTATACACATGAATAAAGGCCCCACGAACTTTATGTTTCTGTATAAAAAGCCATTAAAATATTGTGTCCTGTATCATGTTTCAGATGACATACTTGTTTTTGTTTGCATGGTGGCATATTGGAATACAAAAACAAAAAACGTTATCTAGTGACATGTTTTGAAACAGATCAAGGCTTGCACGTTTATACACTTGATCTGCGTCATCATATATGATATGAAGAAGTTATTGTCTCGATCTTGCGAAACATACATTGTTCAGCAGGTATCAATGATATATCCAAAACTTTAAAAAAAATGAAATCAATATCGGATGTATCCACAACTAGCATGGAACTGTTTGGTATATGAACATTAGGAAGGGGCGGTACTTAACCTTTTTAAGGGGTGTATATTAACCACCGCATCCCACTCCATGTATTTTTAGTTTTAAATAGTCAATGTTGAAAATAGAAGCGACAAAACCCTTTCCATACTCATTAGAAACTCATGCCAAAACATAGTCGATTTATGATTTATATCATGAGCATGTGGTTATGAATCACTATCAAATAGAGATGATACCAGGTGTTCGCGAAAAGGTGAGCACAAGTCACAAGTCACCAACACATGCCATACGATCAGTAACTCTACATACCAAATTGAACAAAGCTCGCACAAATGGTGATGTTGCCCAGTGTATAGTGTGGATGCGAGTTGATTTTTATGATTGAAATCCGTGTGTAGTGTACAGTGCAAAATGTTCGTTCGTTTCGCAAACGCCCGATAACAACTGGTTAATTATAAACGATTCGAGATACATGAATATGACTAAAAGTATGGATTTGACGGTTTCAATCAATGTGTATCCTGTTTGTGTTTGCAGCTCCCCTGACCTGTGGAAGTCACCTGATCGCTTCTGGGTCGACCCAGTACTTAACATCACCTGGATATCCAGAGAATTATCCGATGTAGGTGTATGTTGCTCATTTAATAATTTAACTTTATAAACGATTTAAATATAATGGCTAATAACATTTTGATCAACTCGAATACACAAACTCTCTCAGTTGTAATGCAATGAGATATGACGTGAGTTTGAAATGTTATGACGTCATCCTTGAATGCAATGACATCATGCCTTTATGATCTGCCAAGTAAATGGCACGTGTTGTTTTCATATTTGGGGTTGAGAAATATATACTCAAGAAAAGTGAAAACGTTCGAAACTTTTCCCTGATTTACAAAACTGTTTAACAAATATGATTGTAGTACATAAGCACATTCATTTTACAGCATGTGTGTGTGTGCGAGAGTGTTTGGGTGCGTGTGTGTTTTTATATGTGTGTGTGTGTGTGTGTGTGTGTTTAATGTTTTACGCTGCACTCTGCAATATCCCATGGCCAGCTATATACATATACAAATCATGGTCCCTGCCGTCGGGATAAGATGATACGCAATCACCAAGTCACCGAACCTGATATTGTTATGTATAGAAGAAATAGATGTATATATACATTATCACTTCAGTATTATCAGGGGGGCACGGGTGGCCCAGTCGTCTCAGGGGCCGCGATTCGCTGTGCAGAGTTGCGTCCCTTGGGCACGCCAGAAACCTATGATTGTGGGTTTGAATCCCGGTTCGCCCCAATTATGTTTCTAGGTTTGTCAGCACCATACCCGTGCTTGTGGGTTTCACCGAGGTGGTAAACGTCTGAGACCTGCATCACTTCAGGCTTTCCTCCCACATTAAGCTGACACGCCGCGATATAACTGGAATACTGTTAAAAGCGGCGTTAAACCCAACTCACTCACTCACTCAGTATTATCATCCTCGTTTATCGAGTTTATTGTATCTGCATTCTTATACTATCAATACCATGTAATCATTCGCCACCAATGCACTGGATAATGGAGGATGAAATAACATATTAGTGGTTCAGATCTCACTGTTTTGTATTTATGGTGGCATTCGGTTTTGTGCGCAGCGTACCTGTCACAAATCAGGTGAAGTTAAGCAGAACCAATCGAGGAGGTTTGTGTGGTGATCGCGTTCGGCAGGTTGACCCCTGTTTCTATGGTTTCGACCATGCCACAACACTGAAGTACATGTGCACGATGTAGCACATGTGGTGTATCCTTAGCGCCTCACGGGCACCTTGGGTGCAGAGAACTGAGAATGAAAATCGTGTGTACACTGAAACATTGACCGTCGTAATAACGTAGCGCTTGAGTGAATGAGTGAGTGTGTATTGTTTTCACGCCGCTTTTAACAATGTTCCAGCAATATCACGGCGGGGAACACCAGAAATGGTCTTCGGCGTGACGAGCGAACGCTTAAATCACAAGGCTACCCGACCGCCCCGTAGCACTTTGAGCATGAAATCGGTTGTGGAAATGGCATTACATATTTGCACATTATTTTGTGTGTGAAATAACGATATCCGAAGAAAGTCTTGTATAAAGCGGGATATATTTCTATAATCAACTCTTTAAATTTTTCAACAGAAATAAGGACTGTGTGTGGACCATCACCACAAATTTGAGAAACATCAAGATTGGTGTCATCGATTTCCACCTTGAGGGTTCCACTAATTGCAAATATGACTACCTCACACTTACTGCTGGTACGAAATTAAACTTATATCAATCTTGTACTCGTCGCATTTGTTATAACTTTTGTATTCTTTTATGAATATGATACGAATTATTACACATAATCGAACGTGTAGCCGTTTGAAATTAGATATTCGTGATATGCTCATTATAATTAGAGTGTAACTCACGACTAACTTAGTTAACCATGTCTCACTTTGATCGTGTCAACCATGTATGAATAAAAAATGTTTCAGTTTATTGTTTATGTATCATCAGGTCGCAGCACGGATTCCTTTCCACTTCAGAAGTTGTGTGGATCTCACACAAGCAGCTACATCACCACAGGTCCCACTGTTACCATTAAGTTCCATTCAGACGCCTCGAACACGGGTCAAGGCTTCCGCCTCTCTTATACGGCCGGATCGTTCATTTGTGAGTAATTCACAACGAACCAACAGGTGTACCATTAACAATTACAACAAAAACACAGGTCCACCTTCTGTCATTTCATTTCAATTACATAAATCTGAGACCTTACTTCTCTGACCTCATGAGGTACATGCATGTTTTTCTAGGTTTAAGATGATCATTGTGAAACAGCAAGGCCAATACGGCTAGTAACATATTTATTTCAGTAGGGGTCTTATTAATTCATATTTTTCATATTCATGTATCCAGCTACGTCATGTGGTGGGCAACTGACTGCTCTTTACACGGATCAGGTGTTAACGTCCCCTGGGTTCCCTACGGCTTACCAAAAGTAGGTGCATGTACATGTATTCAAATCAATATTACCTCGTCATGAATCAATAGATACATAATATTATTGAACGTTCATTCTATCAGCGATTGACCGCCTCCGTGGTCTAGTGGTAGAGCGTCCGCCCGGAGAGCGGAAGGTCCGGGGTTCGATCCCTGGCCGCGTCATACCAAAAGACGTTAAAAGATGGTACTTGTTGTTACCCTGTCTGGCGCTCGGCATTAAAGGGCTAAAACAAGGACTGGTCGCCTCGGGGTCAGTATACTGTGTCTGAGTGGGATATTCATGTTAAACTGCGGCATGGTATCTCAGTGAGCTAGCACTATAAATCGGCATCAGTCCGGACTAGTACAAGCACCCACACACACACGTGCATGCACGCCGCTATATAAGTGGAATAATCTTGGACGCGACGTTAAACCCAATTTCACCTCACCTCTATCAGCGATTACTTTATTGATGTTGAAGGGTGGACGAAACTTACATACAATTCAGTTAAAAAGACAACACAATCGTATACCTTTGACACAAAACGAAGAAACACATATAGATACAATATTATGTAAGGATTATGTAGCGCAAGGAAAATATATTGTAATTGTCCACACGTTTTGTCTCACAGCAACTTAGACTGTGTATGGACCATCACCACGGATCTTTCACGGATAAAGATTAGTGTTACTTCCCTGAACATGGAGTCCAGCAGCAACTGCGGTTATGACTTCCTCAAAGTTTTCGATGGTACGTAATGTTACTGATAATAATTTAGATACTGATGGAAATGAAAAGGGAACACTCAGATCTAGACACGGTAACATGATACACAAATTATTCCTTACTTGTATCAGTGATGTAAGTGATGGCACGTAATAAAACGGATATGTATGAATCAGTTTGAAGTATGAAGACTATGTTGTGTTTGTAATGCTGGGTATGTGGAGGACGAGTATCATTTCTTGTTAGCTTGCTCCGGTTATAACAAGCTACCCGTGGATCACTTACCACAGACATTTTGTGAATATCCGACCAAACAAAAATTTAATATCATTATGTCTACAACTGATTGTAAATTAATTGAACGTCCAGCTATCTATATCTATCAAGCGATGTCACTTCGTAGTACATTATTGTCACAATAATAACAGCTGTGTACATCACGTCCATTTTAATACAAATGTAACTATGGGCCGATGGCCTACACTTACGAAAATAAACCGAATTGATAATTGATGTACATATAAGGATTTCTCCTCTTAAATCCCATTAATGTTTTAATAACCAATCAATTGAATATACAGTAAAATGTATAGAGTGTAGTTCAACACTTTGCCTCTTAAGATGCCGCGACGAATGCTTCTGAGTACTCTCTATTTACAAATGCATTATCTACGTTTCTTACGAAAAAATTGGTTTACGTTGTACATACTCCTTAACGCATATGCTCTTTAGGGTCCAGCATATATTCCTCTACACTTGGGACATTGTGCGGGTCCCAGACTTCAACCTACTACAGTTCGAGTTCAACTGCCGCCATTAAGTTCCACACTGACGGCTCTAACACGGGAAGAGGGTTCCGACTCACTTACGCGGGGGTAATGACGAGCCGTGAGTACTCTACAAGTGAACAAAATCTATACAAAGATGATTATACCAACATATTGTCATAATTTCCATAACCGTAAAAGTTGTTCGTGTACTTCAGAAAACTCTTGAAGCATACTAATATCTGTTTAGATTTGTACAGGGGTCATTTTCAATTTTAGTAAGTTCATGTGCATCAAAGTAGGAATCATACGTTCAAAGTTCGTAAATCCAGCAGGGATCGTGTCCAAAACGTTATAGCGTCATATTGCTAAATACATCGAAAGAACTCTGTGTACTCGTCTTTTTCCTAGAGTGTGGTGACAGAAGTCTCGTGGCCGATACGTCAACTGGCTACCTGACGTCACCAAATTACCCCGCAGATTACTCAAAGTAAGTTGTGTACCTTTAACCGTGTAGGTAAATTCTACAAATGAGGTGTATCTTATGAGACGAAATTCGCCCACCATTAGCTGTAACGATACGATTTAGTGGTAAATCCGAGGTTTCAAATCACAATAGTATACCTCTAATTATTTGATGGCCGCGTTCCTCATTTACCTTTTCAAAAATGATTTCAATCATTAAATGCATAAAAAAAGGTAGACGATACAGAAAAAAGGATATATTTAAAATATATATTTCTTTGTGAATGATGTGAGTGAGTGAGTTGGGTTTAACGCCGCTTTTAACAGTATTCCAGTTATGTCACGGCGTGTCGGCTGATTGTGGGAGGAAAGCCCGAAGTGATGCAGGTCTCGGACGTTTACCACTTCGGTGAAACCCACGAGCACGGGTATGGTGCTGACAAACCTAGAAACATAATCGGGGCGAACCGGGATTCGAACCCACAATCATAGGTTTCTGGTGTGCCCAAGGGACGCAACTCTGCACAGCGAATCGAGGCGCCTTAGACGACTGGGCCAACCGTGCCCCCTTGTCAATGATGGATATATGATTGACTTAATGATTTTATATACTTCACTTCAAAGTATATACCACACTGTTTTCCTTTTTATGTGAGATTGAGGAAAAATGTACTCTATTCCGATGGTAGAGCCATGCTGTTTCTTCATTAGTGTATTAATTATTAACGGATACCAACTAACATGCATGTGAAAGAGCCTTTTGACTGACATATTATTTGGGCGACACTTTTGTTCGCTTTGAGGAATCCTAAGTTAAAACACCATTGAGTAGAAACAAATGTTCTAAGGAGAAAATAAACATACTTTATTTTCAATGTAGAGCTTAGTTTATACTTTTTATGGTGAAGTTTCACAAGGGGCCATGATTTGCATAAGGTTCAATATTAGTTAAGTTTTGTTTATAACCTTGTTTTCAATGTAGACCTAAGTTGTCTAGATGTAACCACACTAACTTAATTTTAAAAACAAGCCGTAGTTTGAAGTTTCAAATGTTAAATTTAGCACGGCTACTTTAACAAAACGAAAAATAATAACTCAGGAGTTTAGTGGAGTCTTTTGCGTTGGTTGTCGTGGGTTCAAAGCCGTCATTGGTACAGGTTACACGAAAACTCAACTGTTTAAACACCTAAGTTTATTCGCTGAACAATGCGGTGAAGGAAATCGCATAATTCAATAACTATGTATGTGCCAACAGCAATATGGACTGCACGTGGACCATCACCACATCCCTAACAAACATCAAGATTCATGTCCTTAACACCCACTTGGAGTCCAACACTGGCTGTACTTATGATTACGTGAAAGTTTATGATGGTAAGTTCATTACATTTACACTACAGGGTATTGTTATGTAAATGAAACAGTATCCTTTATTTTGAAGATACAATGCATAAAAGGTCAAGAAAGATTTGGTTACATTCTCTTCAGGCAACTGATGCAAACAGCAATGATCTCCCGTCTTCCCTTGTTATTGCTTTGTGACGTCAATGTTTCTTTAACGTGACGTACGCAAGAAATCGTAATGCATGGTCTGAATAAGCTGGTTTGAGCTGAAAGCGCGCGCATAAAAATTGTTTAAGTACACTCAGACTTGTTATTGTAACTAAATATATATAGCTATATATAAGAAATGTCCATACTATCTGGATGCATGCTCATAAAATATTAAAACAACATATCAACTACTATCTTAAAATGAGTCTTCTTTATATGTGAAGTATTTAGAATTCCGCTAAGTTCATCAACACATAACTAACATCAAGTTGCCATCATACTGATGACATTTTGATATTGCAGTGATAATTCATGACCAAGGAATTATCAGCGGCAGATTATAACATCTATGAAATAAACGCGACAAAAACGTTTCCAGAATCATAAAAAATCTCTACAATATGCAGTGTTCTTTCTACGATTCCGACTGAATTATGAGGATGTGTTTATTTAATCACTGTACAATAGTGATGACACCAGATGTTCGGAAAAGGTGTGCGTAACCTGCCCGACGGCGGCACCCGCCACAGACACAAACAGTGAGTGAGTTGGGTTTAACACGCCGCTTTTAACAGTATTCCAGTTATATCGCGGCGTGTCAGCTGATTGTGGGAGGAAACCCCGAAGTGATGCAGGTCTCAGACGTTTACCACTTCGGTGAAACCCACGAGCACGGGTATGGTGCAGACAAACCTACACAGCGAATTGCGGCGCCTTAAACGACAGGGCAACACGTGCCCCCCCTAGACATAAACAAACGATGCAATTATAAATAACAATTAATACATATCTTACATCTCATGAAATATTTACATGCTTTCGCGAACACCAGGTACCATAACCGATTTCAGTGACCTTTTTCAAATAATTTTACACCACCCTTGTGCCTTTAACGTCGAAAGGAATATGTTATATTCAGTTTGTATTGGTTAAAATATGTGAAGGAATGAAGGTTCTCCGCATATAAAGCATACTCATTTTTTAGATCGTAGTTACTTTACTATTTTGTTCAGCGTTCACCGGGTGGGTTTAAACTCTGACACACATACTGTTTAGGGTCAACAACGTATGCCACCGTACTTGGGACATTCTGCGGAACCGTTACCCATAACTATGTCAGTTCGGGTACAAGCGTCAGCATCAAGTTCCACTCAGATACTTCAAACACATTTCGAGGCTTCCGACTCGCTTACACAGCGGGAACTTTCGTCCGTGAGTATCCCTCAGCTTTGGAAATGTTATGACAAGTTAGTAACTCTAATTATCAACAGGCACATGCTCGAAAGTAATGTACAATTTTCATTTTTAAATATTGATATATGTGAGATCTTTGAGTATTGCTCAATCTGATTGCTCAGATGTCAAAGAAACAGTGCCGTTTTCACAATTTCTAAGACACACACGTCGACTTTGAATGATATACTTATGCAATGACACTGCTAATTGTTTTCAGAATGTGGTGATAACAATCTTGTAGCCAACTCGGTGGGCAGCTACATACAGTCACCTAACTATCCTCTTGATTATCCAAAGTGAGTATCCTAACTGACAGCTGATGTATGTATGTATGTATGTATGTATGTATGTATGTATGTATGTATGTATGTATGTATGTATGTATGTATGTATGTATGTATGTTTGTAATAAAATAATAAAATTCACGTTATTCCAACATCTTCTTTATAATTATCAGTTTCATAGACATAGTACTTTCACTTAAGGATTGACTGTGTATTGTTTTCTGTTCATTGAGGTAAGAATCGAAAAACCGATGTGCAAACTGTATGAATCCGCGGATTCTTACAAAAGTCAATGCTTACAATTTCATTCGAAAACGAAAACATGTTTTATCTATAATAGTTTAACCAAAAAAAGCTGTATGTATCAAAGCAGACAAAAATGACGAAATTGACAAACATTTCAGGAGTAGGAATACATATTGTGGCGTGACATGAATCAGGTGATTGTTCAAATTAAACACATAACTTGACACGCCCACAAAGTCAGTAGTCAATCAACGGGGGATAGGATCAAAACAAAGTTCATAGGACCTTTCAATCAAGGCAGGAGGTGAGAACTGTAACAGTCAGACTGTAACGACCCGGAACAAAATTAGATATGTCCGGAGAAGACGGCTGTTTCAAATGACAGTTCCCGCCATATTTAAACATTAGTTCCCTGAGGACGGGAAGACACAGTTGGATAAATGCTAGTTATAAATGAAACCCAATGACATGAAAGTTGTGGAACCGAGGCGAGCTGGAAAAAACAGGCAAGCGAGCCTGCACGTTTGCTGTTTCATTCCTTCTCGGCTTCGGTCTGAAAGGGTTGTTGGGACAATGACTATGCATGGATTTCGCTAACTGTCCTGTGTATGACGATACATGTGAGCAGAAAGGGAATTCCCTCGACTGTAATATATTATTCCGTAGTAATAAAAGTAGTCCGCCTCGGTGGGCACGGCCTATTTTTTTACATTCATTCGGAATTGAATGCAATAACATGTGACCAATTCAGCTAATCTGAAAGCAGGAATCACAATGAACACAACGAAAATTTAATTATTGTCTCAAGACAGCTCTTCAGTGTAACTGACAATAACATATGAATGACGTCATACTTATGATGACGTCATAAATTACAACTGTGACGTGATAATGTATTTACACACTCCAGCGACGACACCACGTAATTTAACAATTGTAGCGAGATATTTGAATTAAAATCTACAGTATGTGTAAAATAGCAGTGTAACATTTACGATTGAAATGACAAATGTATTAATGCATTCAAGAGTTCAATTTGGGTTTCATGAATCGGATAAACATCTGTTCTTTTCCAGTCTCTGCTGCTTATTACTGCTATACAATTTATAAAACGGAAACATAATAAATGTCACGTTTCCGCAATAGTCAATGTGTTTGCTGACACTTTGACATCGAATAATTTGCTTTTTGTGTCCAGTGACTCTATCTTTCAATTCCATGCAGGTTTCATGAGACAGTGAAAGTACTATGTCTGAAACTGATATAAAGATGATGTTGGACTTATGTGGACTTTATTATTTACCGCTATTTTGTTTTTTACACCCAATGGAATCTGTTTCGGCGGAAACCGAGACTGGTAATTTTCTGGCGTTGACGTTTTATTATTCATGATTATGGAAATGGTTTTGTAGTTTTTATTTTTAAGATAAGGATATCGTGTAAACTGTGATAGAGTTTGAGTTGTGCTTTAAGGTAGTGCTTTCATTTCTTTCAGTAACGCTGACTGTTCCTGGACAATTGACACTCAAGACTCCGATTTCATCGTCTCCCTTGACGTCATCTCCTCGGATCTAGAGGATAATAGCGGTTGTACATACGACTACTATGAGATATATGATGGTAAGTGACGTCACGGTTGCTTACCCCCTGGTTGCCAGAGGCACATCACGCACACAGATACACTTCACAGTTTTGAATACTGAGGGGAATTCCCTGTTTGATGATATCCACTGGCATTTTAGGCCAAGCAAAATGACTGAAAACAGCCTCTGAAAATATGGTACATCGTAAATGTCGCCATTTTTACACACTTCTTAATCACCACTAATGGCGTTATTTGCAGCATGTTTTGAAATTTAAATTTAAATATTTACTCGGAGAAATGAATTTCAAAAGTAGCACATTAGTAATCACGGGTATCTGCCTTTTATCAAATCCCCAATGCTCATTCCAAAACTTCGTCGATAACCCTAGAATCGTTAAGAATGTTTTGGAAAATACGCAAACACGAACGCCGAAGTGAACTTTCCGCCATATTGGATAGTGTTAACAAAATCACGTTTCACTTATACAGTATGTATACTGGTTATGAGACGCCTATAACATAACGTATATTTACAACTCAGCTACGATACGTACATCCTTGAATTCCCCATACAGAGTAGAATCAAATGAGACATGGTCTTTGTCGCCCTTACAAAGTGTCTAGATGAAATCAAGCAAAATATATTAGGTGCGGAAACGAACGCTGTGCTGGAAAAACTCCACTTGTTTGAAATGTAAACAAAGAAAAATTCAGATTTTACACACAGTGTAGCATTTTCTCCTATTTTGAACTATCCATTCGTCAATTCGTTGAATACATTGGCTCAACAATTTCAGAATATGCATGGGAAGAGAATCGAAGGAAACAGGGAATTAAAAATAGGTACATTGCAATGATTTGATATTTTCAACAGAAATTGTCAAAGTTTCCGTCCTGTTTGACGTCATGATTGACGCAAAATCACGCACTACGACAACGGTATTTGTCGGAATTTTCGTTGGCTTCAATCACATATATAACAACAAATAACAGTACAATGATTGTCAAAATGTTTCTGATTAATTACATGTAACATTTATGTGTATACGATGCCTGAATCAACGTAAAATCCTACTTTTTTTATGAAGTACGATTTCATCATTTCTTATGGGTTTTTTAATACCTAAACGTATAGAGTTTCAATATCGATATTTGTGTTGGAATAGTTGGTTCCTCGTGAATAAAACACCACGAAAAATATATTGTTCTTACTCACAGCTAATTCTCACCAAGTGACCTGAGTTACAATAAACTAGTGTTGAAGATAGAGGAGTTGTGTCCCCTTTTATTTGTCCGTGTCACCTCTCTGTCGCCTTTTGACATCATAGAAGAAAATCAGTTTTCATCATTTACGGCAGGCTATTTTTTGCATTGAATTTATGTCGTTAAACATACGCATATAACTCCATTTGTTATCCATATATATATTTATGTCGTTCAGATATTGGGCAATATTTTGTTCTCTCACATTTTCCGCAAAGCTGCTATTTAAAAAAAATCGTCGCACAGTACCTTTATCGCTGTACTGTAAAAAGCGGAGAAAGTTCCTGTTTTTCAACGCAGAATATTTTCTCGGACAATACTTAGGAGTGTCGGTTAAAACTTGGGTGAACTCGTCACTTGCCTGTGAGACGGCCGCTATAATCTTCTTTTGTTGTTTGCCCACCTTAATCAATAGATGCAGGCATTTAGGGGATACCCCATTTTTATGAACGAAATACATGCACGCACATACGCATGCACAGAAATACACACATACGTACCCAAACATACATTTTCAAAAGTACAAGTATTTTTATTCAGAGGGAGAATGAGAATGAAAATCTCAAAAGGTGTTATCAATAACAGTTATATGTTCTCAAACAAAGGGCATCTAGTTACATCTACACCTATAATAATGTGTGTTGTCTATACCCCAATAGAAATATCGTGTTCTCGTGTTTTTCTCCTAGGAGTGGATGACTCATACTCCTCACTTGGACGATATTGCGGCAGCAGTGTCCCTTTAAAGTACAGCACCGGACAATTCATGTTCATCAAGTTCAAATCCGATGGTTCCAATGTTTTTACAGGGTTTCAGATGTTGTACACATCCATGTTGAAGGACACTGGTGAGTGCTGAGATGTATTTTGGGTTATATGTTGGTGTAGTTAATGTTCAGCAAATGTCTTTTAAGTACATGCGATATGCATGTTGCTAAAAATAAGCACGTGTCACATTGACTTGTATAATTGCTAATCTGTAAACTATAGGTTGAATACATTATGATGCAAGACCCATTGTTTAGTTCCAGATATTCCAGATCCAGTTTTCCCCAACTTCAACACTGACACCGACGACTATGATTATGATACTGGGCCCATTGCCGGGGGGACCGTCGGTGGAATCTTCTTCGTTATTTTCCTAATTGCAGTGGTTGTAGGTGCCAACAGGAGACGAAATCGTCCATTCGTCTCAATGGCAACTCCCACACATACATCCGCCCAAATGACAAAGTGGTAACTTCTATCCCAAGCCCAAAGAGCCATCTCCAATCCCAGAACAACATTTCCCAACTTTATATATTGATAACGTTATATATTGATAACGTTATAATCATGTACATGTTAGTACATGCTTTGCTGACACAGTTGCAAATCTTTTGAAGAATAAAGTAGAAAAATTCAGAGAAAAGTGTTTGTTTCTTAACATATGTTTATGTAGATGACTTTATCTCTCAATTGTAACAACGAGGACGCCCTGAGATGCCCTCGAACTATGGTTTTTGCGCAGGTTGGTGACTCATTAAAATCGTCAAAAATATTAAGCACATTATAATTATCTATCGCCTTCATTTTCCGTCTTGATTGTTGCAACTTTACACTCTCTAACATCCATTCCATTTCATTTGTGCAGTTACGCCAATCATATTTTCAACCAAAAAAACCAGTTTCTCCCGTGCAGCTTAATGCGCTTGATGGCATACAAAATTTAAAATATAATTCTACATTTTATTTCGTATATATCGGTATCATATGTCATTGTTTCAATAATGCAGCAAAATGTCAAATTACATCTACACGCTACATGTACTCAGGATCATCCACATTTGAGTAGGTTCAATTTACATTCCATGAACAAATACTATGTTCATCATCGCCATTTGATAATGTTTCATAAACACATCCTTGTGACATGGTACAATGGAATATTTTATGAAAGAGACACTGGAATACACATGTACACATGCCCTCTGTTTCAGTTGTATGAATAACTTACATTTGACAATTGATGGTATTGATGGCGTACTGATCACCCAATAGCTGAATGTGCTTTTGGCGGTGCATAGTATATGATCAACGGGCAGTTCATAGATTGTTGGTAACAAATCACGTTATAATGCATCACGTGTCCGTATCAGTCCCTTTCGGAATTCTTAGATTATATGTATATTGACATTGGTCAATTGTCTCCGACCGAAACATGAGACTTCGTGTATTCATCTCGGTTGTGCTAGCTATAGTCTCTGTGGTGCTGTTCGCTAAACCAACATTAGCCCACTCATAACCTCATGAATAGGTAACCATATAACAATGTACATGTTAGTTCTGGCTAACAAATTTGAATATCGGAGCAAATCCAAAGCAGAATAAAGCGGAGAAGTTCGGAGAGGATTATTTGTTTATTTACATATGTTAATTCAGTTTACTTCATCTCCAAGTTGCGACAATGAGATCGCCATATGAACGGAGGAATACCATCGAACTATGATCTTTGCGCAGGTTGATGATTTGTTTGACCGTACTATATTATATGTATCCATTTCGCGGACATGTGCAATCCATTGTAATCAAGAATAAATTACCTGTGTGCATTCAATACCTCTCTTTTCTTCTTTAGTTTCTCACCACCATGCTATAAGTCAGTTACATTGTTTCCCAAAACATCATGTCATCCAAAGAACACAGCATTTCACTTTGATTTCAACTTATTCATTCTTGAATAAAAGTGTTTGATAAAAGTATTAGTATTTGTACCGAAACGTAGTATTGAATTGGTTGGTTGGTTTGTTGTTTAACGCCGGACTCAGCAATATTCGAGCTATATGACGGCGGTCTGTAAATAATCGAGTCTGGACCAGACAATCCAGTGATTAATATCATGAGCACCGATCCACGCAATTGGGATCGATGACATGCATCAACCAAGTCAGCGAGTCTGACCACCCGATCCCGTTAGTCGCCTTTTACGACAAGCAGAGTCACCTCTTACGGCAAGCATGGGTTGCTGAAGACCTATTCTATTTTGAAAGGAATTTAATAAAGAAGTGGTAATGCATGTTAAGTTTATTTTCATTGACTACAGCTTCAAACTGCCGAAATGATAATGAAATGCATCATCGATTTGTCAATAAAGCAATCAGGATGCTGCATCGTCAGTATATTGTATAAATAAAGTGAATATATCGTTTAAAATATGTCACTCGCATATATAATCAGTGATCCTCACTAGGATAACACAGAGAAAATTATAAATACATTGTATCTCTGAATCTGTACCCATTCATATATTTGATGTTTATCTTTACATCTTGCTGACAAATATCTGGTATATAATTACAATTGGACAATTATAAACACGGCGCTTCAGTTCGTCTGTTTTTTCTGTACTGCGTACGGTAGTTGTGTGGAGGGTTTTAAACAAGATGATTGGTAATAATATTTTATTGAGTGAGTGAGTGAATGAGTATGGTCTCACGTCGCTTTTCGAAATACAGTAAAGTACGGTTATAACGAACTCAAAGGGACTACTAATTTTAGTTCGTTTTAACCGTAGTTCGTTATAAGCATATGTACAGCATAACTACAGCAAATAGTCGGGACCAAAATTTTTAGTTCGCTATATCCGTCAGTTCGTTATAAGCGTGTTCGTTATAACCGTAGTTTACTGTAGTCAATCCATATCACGACAGGATACACCAGAATCGGCTTCACCCATTGCATCCATGTGGGAATTCGGGCCTTCAGCGTGTCGAGCAAACGCTTTCACAACGAGACTCCCCCATCAGCATTTATTTAAATAGGAAAACATACAACATATTCAAAATCAATTGGACATGTTCTTACTTTATATCAAAGGGTGACTTCCTCTTTGTCCCCAATAGGCATTACATCGAGAATCTTCCCTGCACAATTGACAAGTAGATTTATGTTGACACAGTTGGAATAATTATGTATGTAAAGGAAATTCAGACACTAATGTGTTAATTAGAGGGATGAAGGGTTTACTCATTGATGCTCAGTGATTTCATATTCAGGAAAGATTTGCTTTGGAATCACCTGTAGATGAATAAAGGTGTTCATAACCAAATTGGTAAAATTGTCGAAATTAAGAATTAACCCGTGACGATCAGGGTTAGAAAAGATCTTCAGCAACCCATGCTAGCCGTAAGAGACGACTAACGGGTTCGGATGGCCAGGTTTGCTGACTTGGCTAATGCCTGTCATCGTATCCCATCTGAGCGAGACTCGTACGAGTGACATTAGATCACTAAATGTAGGTTTGCCGAAACGAGACACCATACAAATGTATTGTTTCAAAGGTATATATGACTGTGTTGCTCCCAAGAGACAAAAAGAGAGATGATGTTCAATGTTTTACTTCATCACCAATATTTGTTTAAACAGTTTATACTAGGCATGTAAATGATTCGACATGAATACGATTTACAAATCACACAAACACAAGAAGGATCAAACAAGGAACTCACATTTTATTTATATAACATCAGCAAAACAAGCATCATTATGTGCATGTTTGCAAGACAACTTTCTTTTTCTTCATATCAACGAAAATGAACCCAAATTTTACATAGATAACATAATCATTACAACTATTTCAGTATGCTTCCCAAAGTAAGACAACATCCTTTATTAATCTTCATTTCATCGAAAATAACCTTTTACGAAATAACTTTCACTTGGATCTGTATATATTGCTGTTCAATGATTATTCAATGTTATGTATCTCAATCGTGTACTTGGGTTACGATTGGTGCTCTGTCACTCGCAGCAACAGGCTCGGGGTAGGGAGGGGGGCTGACCACCTGAGCATATGGAGGGGGTGGCTGAAAGGTGGCTGGAGCAACTGTAGTTTCATAGGGACCCTGACTGACACTGTAAATGTTTTCGTTGCGAATTTGGTTGACAGTTGGCCGAGATTTCTTCTTGGTGGCTGCTGCTATAATACTGCAGATAATAATGATGAAGGCGAACCCACCGATGGATCCTCCAACAATGGCAGCGATATCAGGGGAGTCAAGATCTGAAACTAGACAAACAGTGTACGTGTATTTTTAGAATACTTTTTGCATTTCATAACTCCGATTGATGCACTTGTAAGCCAAAAGGTAAATGTACCTTGCAGGAAGTATTACTCATAGGTGTTGTTGCCGTCGAACTGTATGTTATAACAGTGGCATCGTGTAATGATTGACCAAGAAGCCACAGTGCCTAAATTAGATCATTTTAATCATACGATCAAGAATGCACACATTACCTTAGTGTCATACTGATCCTTCAAACATAAAATATGATAACTTGACTCAAGTGATATCAGTCAATTAGTGAAATTATATTGATTGTTGTTAAGACATTTCATGAAGCCCATACATATTTTAGGCATTTCATAAAAGGCGTGACCACAAATCCATTTCTTTGGAACAACGATTCCTACATTTCACGAAGTTAAGTAATGTTCCAAATTGCTTGTAATATGATTCAGGAGATGTATTTGTAGGATATATTATATTTTGTAGTAATAGTAAGATGAACTGAAGTCAGCATTTTGGTTATCTAAGTATATATTAGATATTCGAAAATACAACCTTCTTTAGATGTTCAGGAATACCTTTTGCTGTACAGTCTGAACATAATATCGGTACGCATATAATATCAAGTACTCACAGTCGTCACGGTCCTCGGCTTGGTACGAAATTATAAATCCTGTTCCTGTGTTGGAATTATCGGAGTGGAATTTGATGAACATATATTGTCCGGAGCTGTGCGTTGTCGGAAGACTGCTGCCGCAATATCTCCCTAGTGAGGTGGAGGTGTCATCAGATCCTATGCAAACAAATATATGCACATGATCATGGTGACACAAAGGGTTTAACAATCATATGCAATGATACTTTGGCAAGAACAAACTAACCACGGAAGCCCACACGAATTTATGTCCTTTGGTCTTTCACGAAGGGGCACCAATAACTGGCATCACACAATTCACGAATAAAACAATACTCCTCACTTTACATGCACTTGACAAAGAACACGACAGTTGTTGTGCTTTATTCGTACATACAATACTTTGGATTAATTTTACAAATGCTAACATGCATCTCATATAGATATGTTGTCTCCTTGAAAACTCAAGAATTTGTAACTCATGAAAATAGTTTATTTCTTCCGAGACATTAATTTAAAATAATTTGTTTCCTTCAGTTATTTTATCGAAATACATCGGAGGCTGGTTAGCATTGTCATTAAAGCCTTCATTTAAAACTGTCGAAAATCTCCTCATTCCAGGTTTATCATGGGTGCAGTCCAGAGGCGTGACATTGCTGGATTAGCGTTAAAGAGGAGTAAGATCACACCCTTCAACAAACGCATAATTCTAAGTTGACGGATTAAAATGACAACGTTACATTAAGGTCGTATTCAACTAATTTTACCATCAAACAACTCATAGTAGTCGTAGGAACAACTGGGAGAATATTCTATGTCCGAAGCAATGACGTCAACGTTCACCACGTAGTCAGGATCCTCTGTATTTATTGTCCACGAACAATCAGCATTGCTGCATGAAAATAATAGCTCCATGAAACATAAAACATCATATTGAATAAGACAAGAACAAAGTCGATACCTGGCCTTTTGTCAGAATGATTATAATTACATTCTAAACTATATAGAAATTACTTCTAACGGTTATAATGGCAGTGGCAGTCGAAACTGTGTTCAAATTCCCTTTCACGGTTATGATTGCAGTTGCAACATGTTAAAGTTATATTACTTTTCACGACAGTAACAACTGTGGCAACCAAAACAATACTCAAATTCCTTTTCACAAAAATAATAACAGGGAAAACATTCGCTACTTCAAACTACTTTCTATTTACGGTCGGGAACAGTTTTGCATATATTGGCGAATCACAATGCAATGTGTCAATCTGTGTAACTTACTTTGGGTAATCGGAGGGGTAGTTTGGTGATGTGAGGTCGCTTGAAGAAGACAAGTATGCCACGAGATCTTCTTCACCGCACGCTGAATAAACACGAGAGGCTATATGTTGTGGCATAGTAATTGGCATATAGAATAGTAATATGTCCACGTGAAGTATCTATCGCCAACGAGAAAAGCACTACGTAATGGTTACTAATCGTGTACATATGTGGGTTTTGTGTTATTTTAAGCACTGATGTAGAAACGTGCACGCAATGGCTTACTACCAAATCATACATGTATGCTATTTTGATTTTGCAAAGGAAATGAAAAACTGTGTTAGGAAATGCATCACTTGAACCGTTGTAAATCAACTGTGTCAAATCTAGGAGAGGGTGTCTTAACTTTTTGGCAATAAAATATGTTTAAATCAAATCAAAACATAATTATCCTCAAAATGCAGTGTACCGTTTACTGCATGTTACTAGAAGTGACTAGATATTTATTCCCTTTTGGAACACAACCTATTTTGGCATTTTTTTGTGCACAAAGGTCACGAGAGTCATCAGTACACATACATGATTACTTTGAAATAGTAGCAGTTTGTCATAACCCTTCATAAGAATAAGAATACTCACGAGTGAACGTTCCGCCTGTATAGGAAAGTCTGAAGCCTTTAAATGTGTTAGAGTTGTCTGAATGGAACATAATGGTGACAGCTGTACCAGAACTGACGTAGGTTGGTTTCTGTGTCCCACAGAATGTCCCAAGTACAGTTGAATCCGTGCTGGATCCTAAAACGTATTTAGTTAATATTGTTTCTATCTCAAAGTGTCAGGGGCGATGGGGTAGCCGAGTGGTAGCGTATGCTTCGTTATGCTGAAGACTACGTTATGATCCACACAATGAGCGAAGGCCATGTATGGTGTTCTTGGATATGGGTGGAATCATGTTTAAATGTGCATTCACTCAGATAATCACGTCAAACACATCTGTGCACGTAATTCTGTTTTGACGTATATAAATTAAAATGTACCATTATGTGTTATGTAGGAACTTGCGACTTGTTGCGGAATTGTTGCTCCCAATTTGAAAATATATTGCTATTGACATTTGTTTAGAATAACTTCAGACTAAAAACATTTACCGAATCATAGAAAATACGTTTGTTAAAGAAACTTAAACTGAATGCATGACTAATAAGTATGTCATTGGTCGCAACCTCAGCACGTTATCATAATGTGATACAAACAATGAGAATCACGAATCCACTTCAAACATTGACGAAGCTGGAGATAAACAGCTTACCATCATAGATTGTGACGTAGTCATAGTTGCATGAAGCGCTGTGTTCGATGTCGGAGTCGACGACCTTAATCTTGATGTCTGACATAGTAGTGGTGATGGTCCAGACACAATTCATGTTGCTGCAACAATATAGACATAATTTAAGCATACTGTTGCATATACTGGAACTACAGTTAATATTTGATCTAAATTGCTGCTATTATTGTGCAAAAGATAGATGAAAGATCAATATTTCATCTTATCCAAATTATCTGTGAATAATAGACTCCTACTTTTGATAGTTCTCAGGATACCCTGGCGACTGCAGATACTGGTCATACGACAATGCACTCAGTTGCCCTCCGCAAGAACCTGGAAAATTGATGGACGTACATAGGCCAGATTCAAACTTCTAAGATAAATAGGAAGACCAACCTTTAAATGCGAATTATGATTATTTCAACATTCACGGCCAGGCAAACTACATTCATGGCCATGTATGTATACATGTATCATGGCTGTTAAGATAATAGAACGACAGCCATGTTGTGGTTTGTCTTTCAAAGAGCTTTATATCATTTGCTAAACCGAAAGAGCATTACCTCTACATACGAATCGTCAGATCATTCTATTGTAACACAAGTATCACAATTTCACAATTTTAATCCTAATAACACGATGTTAATATCATTTTGTAAAACTTTAACATTTGTCCGGATACTTTTCGATAACAATATACTTTCACTTACCAGTTGCTTCGACGTACTTGAGTCTGAACCCCTTGAATGTGTTAGAGTTGTCAGTTTTAAACATGAGTGTCATATCCCGACCTGAGCTCTGCACCGTAGGTGTCGTCGTATCACACCAAACTCGTATCATCGGTGAAGAGGTGCTACTACCTAGAAACAAATGGATACACGTGTAACATTTTCCCTTTCTCATTCAAAATGCTTTGAGGTAGAAAATTCAAGGTTTAATTGAAATGCCAAACCGAACTCACTTATTTTACATCTTTTAGGATATATTTAGGAGACGTTGTTTTGTGGCGCGAAAAGCCACTGATATAATCACAATGCACGAGGATGCATATTGTATCTTACAATGTATTTCATATTTACCAACCATCGTATACTTTAACGAAGTCATCCGGACATCCACTTCCTCCCTCTAGAACTGAATCTAGTACAACGATTTTGACGAAGTAGCTTGACGTTGAAGCCGTTATTGTCCAAACACATTGCTCGTTACTGGAACAGAGGTTATACATAATCAACCTTTGTCCTAGCAATTCCGTTGAACCACTTTTGCATGTAACTTTAATAATCACGTCAGAAAGTACTGAACATATGAAAAGATATCATTTAAAATCTTTAATAAGCAGTAAACAAATATAAATATCAAGGAGAATAGATGTGTGAGCGATATCGATATCGATTTACGAATAGCAAAGTTTTGAAGTTGTCTCACAATAATGTTTTACGAAACATGAAACATGGGTCATATGATATTATTAAATGTTTTAAATATATACAAAATAGACACGTCTACTGAGTGTCAAATATGGATGCAGCCAATTGTTATTTAACAAGCCGATATCTGGTGTGACCCACATTTGCGTTGACTTACGACTTCCCACTGAGGACACGAAATGGTTAAAGAATTCAAACTTTTATAGAATAGATTCCAGATCTGAAACAAGGGGTGCTACAGTTTGACCAACGTCACTGGACGTTATACTGGTTTACAGAATTCCTGACAGATCAGTTCCAAAACCGTTTAGCCAAAATATTTCGTGAAACTACAATCGCAGTCGGGTCAATGGTACGTAATCGTTCATTTTCTGATAGATTTTATACCTTGATTTCAAGGCTTAGATGTACATATGTCAATGTTTATTTCAACTGGGAAGTTTCATTGAATTTATATGTCGCAAACTGTACAGAAAAATGTGTATTAACGTGAACAAGTTCATTTAAATGGCTGCTGAGTCGTTCTCAGGTAATTATTATTACAGGTAAACAAAGGCACACTGTCAAGTCACTTTTGCTTTGACACCATCATATTGTTAAGGACCATACAATAATGACATCGTGCAAGTTTAATGGTAGACAGAAACCATTCCCGTCAGTATATAGACATGTATCTATCTCGAAAACAGATAAAACGATACTACAGTAGGCCCGCGAGTCGGGTTGACATGATTATTTGGTTCTAAAATACACGTAATTAGGTTTGACGGTTCACTTTGCCTTCATTTGTTGAGTGTTTTCAAACACTGTCTTCTGTAATAGATCTAAATGAGGATTGTATTATGTAAGAGTAATTCTATTGTCCTTACTTTGGATAAGCGACAGGATATCCTGGGGACTGAAGGTACTGATCGGATATTTGGGCCGTCAGATCTGAGGTGCCGCACTGAGCTACTGTAGGATACGAAAACAGTAATACATGTACTAGTTTATGATGAGCTTATGATAAAATAGCAGTGTAACATTTGGCGCATTCAACGATTCCTAAATTTGAAAATCAACTGTTGACAGTTGTCTTATGACATTTCGTATGTTTTCAACATTGGACGACAAAGTTAACAATATGATTTTTATATCTAAACATTTGATCGGATATTGACACAGACACGTTATCACACTTTTAGATGGATGTTGTTTTATACCCTCGACTGATACATTGGAACTTACCAGCTGTTTCAAAATACTTCAGTTTGAAACCCTTGTTTGTATTGGAGTTATCGGTTTTAAACACGAGTGTCAGATACAGCCCAGAGCTTTGCACTGTTGGAGTCATCGTATCACACCAAACTTGTATCATCCGTGAAGATGTGCTACTACCTAGAAAATAAATGGATATAATATTAGCCACACTACAATCAGAATGCTTTGAGGTTGCACATTCAGTGTTTAATGGAAGAGTCAAACCCCACTCACTCTGATATTCTGATATGTTGCGGAGAGACATGAAAAAACCGTTTAATCGTTAATGTTTGCAATGAATTAATCAATTTTCACCTGATATAATCCCTTTACACGATTATAATATTGCATCTCACAATCAATTCTTGTTTACCAACCATCGTATACTTTAACTGAGTCATAGGGGCATCCACTTCCGCCCTCCAGATCTGAATCTAGAACAACGATTTTGACGAAGTAGCTTGACGTGGAAGCCATTATTCTCCAAACACATTGCTCGTTACTGGAACAGATGTTATACATAATCAACCTTTGTCCCAGCAATTCCGTTGAACCACTTTTGCATGTAACTTTAATTATCCGTCAGAAAGTACTGAACATATGAAAAGATATCATTTAAAATCTTTAATAAGCAGTAAACAAATATAAATATCAAGGAGAATAGATGTGTGAGCGATATCGATATCGATTTACGAATAGCAAAGTTTTGAAGTTGTCTCACAATAATGTTTTACGAAATATGAAACATGGGTCATATGATATTATGAAATGTTTTAAATATATACAAAGAAAAAAATGGACACGTCTTTCGAGTGTCAAATATGGATGCAGCCAATTGTTATTTAACAAGCCGATATCTGGTGTGACCCACATTTGCGTTGACTTACGACTTCCCACTGAAGACACGAAATGGTTAAAGAATTTAAAGCTTTAAGGAATAAATTCCAGATCTGAATCAAGGAGTGCTACAGTTGGACCAACGTCAGTGGACGTTATACTGGTGAACAGAAATCCTGACAGATCAGTTCCAAAACCGTCTAGCGAAAATATTTCGTGACACTAAAATCGCAGTCGGGTCATTGGTACGTAATCGTTCATTTTCTGACAGATTTTATACCTTGATTTCAACGCTTAGATGTACATATGTCAAATGTTTATTTTAACTGGGAAGTTTTACTGAATTTTGATGTCGCAAACTGTACAGAAAAACGTGTATTAACGTGAACAAGTTCATTTGGATGGCTGCTGAGTCGTGACATTCTCAGGTAATTATTATTACAGGTAAACAAAGGCACACTGTCAAGCCACTTGTGCTTTGACACCATCATATTGCTAGGGACCATACAATAATGACATCGTGCAAGTTTAATCGTAGACGGAAACCATTCCCGTCAGTATATAGACATGTATCTATCTCGAAAATAGATATAATGATACCACAGTAGGCCCGCGAGTCGGGTACACATGATTACTTGGTTAAAACATACACATGATTAGGTTTGAGGGTTAACTGTGCCTTCATTTGTGGAGTGTTTTCAAACACTGTCTTCTGTAATAGATCTAAATGAGGATTGTATTAAGTAAGAGTTATTCTATTGTCCTTACTTTGGATAAGCGACAGGATATCCTGGGGACTGAAGGTACTGATCGGATATTTGGGCTGTCAGATCTGAGGTGCCGCACTGAGCTACTGTAGGATACGAAAACAGTAATACATGTACTAGTTTATGATGAGCTTATGATAAAATAGCAGTGTAACATTTGGCGCATTAAAGGATTCCTAAATTTGAATATCAACTGTTGACAGTTGTCTTATGACATTTCGTATGTTTTCAACATTGGACGACAAAGTTAACAATATCATTTTCATATCTAAACATTTGATCGGATATTGACACAGACATGTTATCACACTTTTAGATGGATGTTGTTTTATACCCTCGACTGATACATTGGAACTTACCAGCTGTTTCAAAATACTCCAGTTTGAAACCCTTGTATGTATTGGAGTTATCGGTTTTAAACACGAGTGTCAGATACAGCCCAGAGCTTTGCACTGTTGGAGTCATCGTATCACACCAAACTTGTATCATCCGTGAAGATGTGCTACTACCTAGAAAATAAATGAATATAATATTAGCCACACTACTATCAGAATGCTTTGAGGTTGCACATTCAATGTTTAATGGAAGAGTCAAACCCCACTCACTCTGATATTCTGATATGTTGCGGAGAGACATGAAAAAAACGTTTAATCGTTAATGTTTGCAATGAATTAATCAATTTTCACCTGATATAATCCCTTTACACGATTATAATATTGCATCTCACAATCAATTCTTGTTTACCAACCATCGTATACTTTAACTGAGTCATAGGGGCATCCACTTCCTCCCTCTAAAACTGAATCTTGTACAACGATTTTGACGACGTTGCCTGTCGAGGATGCCCTTATCGTCCAGACACACTGATCATTGCTGGAACAGATGTAGCAATTTTGTATTTAATTCTTATAATGAAATTTGAAACTACTGTTGATAAGAAATGGCATCCTACATTACATATTTGCTATAAATCTTAAATATAAATGACGAAAATTAAATCATCATTGAAAGTAGACGTTGATTGAAACATCGTTGACGAGGTGGGGGTTGATCATGATTTTATACATGAATACTAAAGCTACATGGATACACTGGAACGCTCGGGCATCATAACCTAAACGTCTACTGGTTGGATAGTGAATATTTGATATAATCACACAGGGATTAATTCAGAAGCATGAAACAAAGGTTATACAGTATTTAATGTTTAAAAGGGGCGGTCGGGTAGCCTAGTGGTTAAAGCGTTCGCTCGTCACGCCGAAGACCCGGGTTCGATTCCCGACATGGGGACAATGTGTGAAGCCAATTTCTGGTGTCCCCCGCCGTGATATTGCTGGAATATTGCTAAAAGCTAATTAAACTAATGTTTAAAATGAAGAGAAGCTTCGCTAATAATGTCAACACATGCGTAAATGACAAGTTTACTGGGTTTCAAAGAAGTGTGCGGTTGGTTGTCATTGAACAAGTAAGCGTCTGGTGTAACCATCTTTTGCGTGACACATACCTGGAAACTACATCCGATTGAGAACACAAGATGGTAACACAAGCATTTGAGGGTGTAATTCCAGGTCTGCATTAAGTTGGGCCAACGTCACTGGTTGTTATTTTAGACGACGTAATACTTGATTCTACCATAATTTGGATTACTCGATTCTGATTCGTCAGTCAGAGGCTATAAAGCCCCTCTGATTGAAACAGCTGGTTTGACGCCGCAGAAGCTTATATTCATAGAATTAGTTCTTGTTTTAGTCATTGTCGGTCGGCATATTTAAATAATTATATCTGCTATTATAGGTTACAAATTCAAAGTCGAGGTTATACTAGTACAATATTCAAAGCGTGTTTAGTTTTCTTTAGGGGTGCAAAGTAGTTTTCCAAGTTGCCGAGCTTATATGCTTTCCATGCCTGGCATATGTTCGAGTGAAGTATTACGGTGTAAACAAACTGCATCAGCAATATACAACGCCATATTTTGTTTAAAGGCTGTTGTCGGTGAATCCGTAATTCTCATCAAAACCCACTCAAAACACTGGACTCAACCCACGCCGCTTCACTCAATGTATTTGCTGGCACCAAAGGGTTCACGTTTTATTTACTCCTGGTAGAATGGAGATGTTAAATTTAGCGCGGTTAAATCTACAGGAAACCAAGCTCTACGTATATATACATTGAAAACACAGCATGTTTATCTCCTAAATACAAGATTCCTGATATTTTCCAGTACTTATTAGTTGCAACCATGCAATCCGTGGTAATCCAATTTCAATCATGCCAGTCATCCTTCAGGTTCAGATATGGGCGTGGTATCTTGGTTTCAAGGTCATATTGTGCAATTTTATTGATACACAAAAACCTTTCCGCTTAGGAAATTTATGTAATTGTCTCGAAAATGATTACTGAATACTTATTATGATTAATGGCTGTGCATATTTTTTTCTAAATACAAATGATATGATTATATATTTCTAAAATTCACGCAACGATGTTTGACTGTTGACGTTACCTGTATTTTCGTTCTATTTTGTCCTCGAATTGTGAATAAGGATTATATCAAGAATAATGTGATTGTCATTACTTTGGATAAGCTACAGGATATCCTGGGGACTCAAGGTACTGGTCGGATGTCATGGCCATTAGACTTGAGGTGCCGCATTGAGGTACAGGCGACGGAGAGGCTGAAGAAGAACAATAAGCCATAGTGATACATGTGCCAGTTTATCATGATTTTCAGTGATAAATTCATACGATTTTCACAGGTATTTTGCTTTTACGCACAATGAAATCTGTTTCGTCGGACAATCGAGACTGGCTATTCTTATTTAGAATATCAACATGATGACAGTTGATTTCGATCAACAATTTACGACCAAGTTACATAATAAGAATACGAATTGCATGTCATAGTTTGTTAAAAGAACAAAACATACTATTTCAATAACATGTTTATATCTAACTATTTGATTGGATATTCACACACAAATAAGATTTATATTGAAATTGATGTTCATAAGTGTACGAACGACAAAATTTGACGTTCATACGTTTTTCACGAGACTGTGTTCTTGAAATGACGTAAACACTAACGGACTAGTCCACATTCCTGGGGAAACCCCTGGGAATTCCCTAGCATGAATACACACAGAAGCGTTTTTTTCTGACCATTTTAACCCTTTAATTTTGAATTCAGCGTTTCAGCATACATTGACAAACGTCAGAGCGTTTGACTGCTTGATCGTTCACGGATATCCTCGCTTCGACCCATCACAGAGAACAAAACGAAGAAATGCACTTCCAAACTATCGTAGTATCGACTCGAATTTAGATTGGTATATATCTATTTGAGACATCTCTATAATCACCTTTCAATGATCGGCCAATAATGCATTGATCAATGATGCAACCACCACACATGCAACCACCACAGGTTCATCAACAACTTCGGAAAGTTCTTAAAACACACCTTTCTCTTCCAATCATATTATTTGAATACATTTGTTTTAAACAAACTACAACAGGTGTTCCTGAATTGCAAGTTGAGCAAACATACGCTCATGTCACCTCTCTTCTTGAGAAACTAGTTTATTCCGTGATACAGCTAGTTGTATAGCTGTCAGTGTAAACATAATGTCACAAAAGATACTAAAATTAATTGTATATAGATCTAGACAAACATCCTTCGAGGACAAAAATAGTGATTAAAAAATTATAAGAATTGATTTGCTCCGACGTTCATACAGTTTGGCCCTCACTCCATGAAGTTTCATACTCCATTGAACCCACACAACTTAAAAGCCTATTCTTAAATGTTTTCACATTTTTAGATGGATTTTGTTTTGTACCCTCATCTGATACATTGGAACTTACCAGCTGTTTCAAAATACTTCAGTCTGAAACCCTTGTACGTATTAGAGTTGTCAGTTTTAAACATGAGTGTCAGATACCGCCCAGAGCTCTGCACTGTAGGTTTCGTCGTGTCACACCAAACTCGTATCATCCGTGAAGATGTGCTATTACCTAGAAACAATTGGATATAATAGTGTTCATCATACTATCATAATCCTTTGAGGTTGCATATTCAATGTTTAATAGAAGCGTCAAACCCAAATGACTCTGATATTGTGATATTTTTCGGGGAGATATGAAATAGACCTGAGCGTCATATACCGCACTGTACGTTCCTTTGTATCGCACCGCACGTGTGTCACCTCTGTAAGTATGCTACTACTCGGGAACAAAATATACAGCATTTACCATACATCAAACGTGATCAACACGCAATCTGCAATGATTTCCAAGAAATGCACAAATGTAGTCATAGATCGTGACTTTATCCTAGCGATACATGTCGTCTAATTTATCCTGTACTGACCATCGAAAACCTTTACAAAGTCATATGGGCATCCAGTTCCACCCTCCAAATGGGAATCTTCCACAATGATTTGGATGATGTTGTTTGGTGATGATGTCATCGTCCAAACACATTGCTCATTGCTGAAACAGATGATAAATATAGTCAGCACGTCACTTTGTCATGTATTAAATGTATACTCTTCAAAACAAGAAACCGTTTACGCAAAGCCAGGTTTGTGTGAGGTAGGAAAATACATTTATACGAGGAACCGTGCAAAGTATTGAGACAAAATGTTGTGGAGAGAACACTTGGTGATTGTAGTCATCTCAGTTATCGGTACATACATGTAGGAAAGGTCCAAGGTGAGGGTCAGCTACCATCAATAACGCGTATGTGCCCCGTTGAAATCGATAGCGGCCTGATATCTCCTGCCCATGGAAGAGACAAGTATGCGAATCACATCTTGGGGAATGGTAGCCAACGCAAAAGCTAACCACTGCAACGTCTAAGGGTTCGTGCTGTATGAGGTCGAGCGTTTTCCTGCTGGAATACACCGTTGCCGGAGGCTGCAATTGGGAGGACGTGTGGTAGGAGAAATTCGTCGATGTATCGTTGAGCCGTAAGATTGCCCTTGATATGGACCAAATCTGTCCTGCCATGATGAGAGATAGCCGCCCACATCATAACACTACCCCCACCAAACCTGTCCACTTCCTGTACGCAGTTTCCGGCGTAACGTTCTCCCCGACGTCTGAAGACCCATGCTCTTCCAACCCCACGACGCCAAACCAGACATCTTTCCATCACAGTCGAGGCCATACTCTGTGCTGACGACACCAATGCAGTCGTTGTTGACGATGATGTCAACTCAATATGACGCGTCGAACATGACGTCTTGCTCGTAGACCTGCTGCTCTTAAACGGTTCCGTACGGTCTGGTCGGAGATTCTGCTTTGTCCGGGTATTTGGGATTCGGTTGAGGTGGCTCTAGTCGTCCTTTCATGTAGGTGGCGTAGTTGGATGTAGCGATCTTGGGTGGGGGTGGTTACACTTGGTCGTCCCGACCTTGGCCGATCTCGTGTTGACCCATGCTGTTGAATCCGATCCCACAGCCTTGTGATGGTGCTGGGCGCTGCATTGATAACCCTGGCTACAGCTGATCGGGATTCCTCTGCCTGCAAGCGGCCTATGACGTTGTTACTTTGCACTTCTGTTAATCTTGGCATGGTGTTGAACTGTCACTATTTATGGCCAAAAATATTCGTTTTGCTTTTCTTTTTGTGAAGAGTATATATATCTGTAGACTCATTTATTTATTATTAAAAGTCGACCCATTAAGTTTAAGGCACCGATGGGATTCCGTGGTTATAATGATCACAGAGACACAGAAAAAGATTTAAATGCCAGCTTATTATTGGCCACTCGGTACAACAACCAAGTCATATGCCAAGTGATATTTATCACCAAAAACAATAAGAAATGAAGATGTCAAAGTAGTCAAATAATAAAAATGTTGGCGCACTATATATCACAAGTAATATTTTTATATGGGTCATATTCACAAAATGCAAGGTCGAATCAAATTCCAGGGTAATTACAAGAATTGTTGCTCAGGCAGGGACTTGATAGCAATGTATGTACACTCAAAAGGGTTTTGTTTTTGACTTTTTCACTTGCAAACTTGTATATGCATTTTTGGATTTGCATCAATGAAAAGGCTCGAAGAAACGCAACCAACCTGTTACCTCATGCTTTTTGCATTCGGACAAATGGCTTCAAAAAAGCCAGATATTCCCACTGGAAGTAACCTTCGAAAATGCAGAATTCAGAAACAAAACACCACTTTTCATCGTCTTGGTCATTGCCACACCCACGTGAAACTGATAGATGGCGAGACAAAAGAATACTTGAATCAGGTACCGCTCAAAGTCCACAGGAACACCATGTGGCGATAATGGCGACATTATCAACATAATAATCACGTCAGAGACTGTCCCACTAGTGGCCACCAACCCGTGACAACCTCTAGCCAAGACATATGGATTCGAACCAAGTATCTTCGACACTGGTTCCAGACATCAACTCTCACAGCCCGTCCATGCCTGGCAACAAGGGCGCACCTGCAAGGACAATCCGCCGACGTCGAAGCATCTTCGTATGCGGCATCCGTGCGAGGCGCCCAGTCTGATGGCATTCTTGACGGCAGTTTATCACAATCGACGTACCGGTGGAGTAGGACACACCCTGTGTCAGTACAGATTTTCAGTTTTTTATTCACATATTTCTTATCATTATATTGCCTTTCACGTCAAGTGCAATTTGTTTCGGCAGATACTCGAAACTGATTATGCTCTGGCGTTGACGTTTTGAATATAGCCCGGCCTGCAATCTCCTCTGATCTGTCACCAATCGAATATGTCTGTAATCAAATGAAACGACGTCTTCCAAATCCGGCTTATCCTTCCTCGGATATGAAATAAGATTCCCAAGGTCATTCTTCAATGATTCAATGCACAAGCTGGACACACTCACTACTTATTGTGTTAACAACCCTGAACCACCTCGTGTGACAAGACACCTTACACCGTACCTTACATCTTCCCATGTGATATAATTCCATCCACGGCAGCAAATGATTTTACCAATTCTCATTGTGTACATGTAAGTCTCACTCACTTAAGATATTTATAAATCTCTTACATGTTTTGTGTAACCCTGTGAGGGTAATTGAAATGGTTGAATTCCACCACAGAGCGCATTAGTTTAAATGTAATCCATTGCAAGGGTTACATTCATTGTAAACCCTCCTTTGAGGCGTTACTGATTCTTCTATACTTATAAAGGTGTTCTGATTTGAATCGAACCTGCATTCTCACATATCGTGTTTAGTTTTGTAACCTACTGTTTTCGAGCTGAGCCACCGCGGCAGGTGATGAACGGTTGTTCAAGTTTACATGTCATGAATCCAGTTGGTCCATGCTGCACGTGCTTTTTCTCTCACACACTTTTATACCACGACACAATGTACAGTTTCACTATAAGGTATATCGGTGTTTTCTGATGAGTCTCTTTATATGTTGGACACACCACTACTCCTCGGATTCACTTGAGGTTGTAAACCCTGACCCTCGGTATGTTCCCTCCTGTCAGGGTTTACAGTTGCAAGTAATCCCGAGGAGAAGTGGTTTCCCCTTTACATATAACATACATTTATAACACAAATATTTGCTTAATATGATCATTATATATCATGATTAGATTAGTATCTTAAAAACAGTGAGTGTTGAAGTGAGAATAATGCTTATCTACTTACTTTTGATAAGCTGTCGGGTATCCTGGGGACTGAAGGTACTTGTAAGCTGTTGTGGCAACCAGGGCTGCGGGGCCGCATTGAGGAGAAGGCGTTGGGTAAACTGTAGGAAATATTACATTGTAATAGATGTACTAGTTATTGTTAAAAATAGTTTCCCCATCTTGCAAAATTAATGCTGGCTCTCAGCTCATTGCGTTTCGTTTACTTATACAATGTCTATAGGCTACACAAACGATTATCATCCTGTCAGTGAGGCTGACAAATGGTGTTCCCCCTTTGCACATTGCCCAATGCAACTTATGCCTTGGAACAATCGCTATTGTCAATATGATTTTGTTTATTGTCTACCATTGGTCGGTTTTTGATACAATCACTTCGATGGATTGTTTTATAATCTCGACTATTCCAGCAAACTTACTGTTTGTTTCAAAGTACTTGAGCCGGAAACCCTTGTATGTGTTAGAGGTGTCGGATTTAAACATCAGAGTCATTGCGTGCCCAGAGCTCTGTACTGTAGGCTCCATTATATTGCACCACACTTGTAACACACGTGAATGTATACTGCTTCCTGGAAACAAACGAATGCAGGGTCTGACTACCAGACTACCAAAATGCTTTAAGGATGCATGCTGAAATTATACTTATAATGGAATGACATAAAAGGAAATATATATAAATAATTACATACTACCTCAAATACCTTTGCGTGATAGATTGTCTCAAAATACAAAGACGCAAGCCTTGACGTCTGAGGCGCTGCAATCAACTGTGTAAGGTCTGTTTCATAGTTCCATGCGATCATGGCCATTGGTTCACCTTATAATAAAATTTGACCCAATTATAATACTTGCTTTCTTTAAGTTGCCATGGTAAGCTTCAATGTGGGACTGCGACATTTATAAAACTGATTCGATATGACAGAAATTCTGTCCACATCAGCATAAACCTAAAGCCATTGCCTACATAACTAAGATGCGTAATCGATCTGCATTTTCCCTCTGTGATTATCATTTTCAAATATGATACATAGTATCTTTTACCAACCATCAAAAACCTTAACAAAGTCGTAGGGACATCCACTTCCACCTTCTAGTACGGAATCTAAGACGACGATTCTGACGTAGTAGGTTGACGACATTGCCGTTATTGTCCAAACACATTGTTCGTTGCTGAAACAGATGATGAATTATATCAACATTTTACTTTCGGCTTCTGTTGAACCAAATGTCATTGGAAAAACAGTGAACGTCCATCAGAAGTTAATTCACAGACGCTGATGTCATTATCTGTGACAGTTTTACTATTACACATTTACATGTACCTCCGATGCTAAAGCTAAAATCATTATGGTTCTATAGTTCTGACTGAGAGAGCAATAGATGTGCAATACTTCGAATACCCAGGCTCAATACCAACAGAAGACTAATGTTATCACTAAGAAGAAGAATGAAATCGAATTAGTTTTAAAATAACAAATCATTGCCAAATCATTGCCATACATTAGCATACATTTGTTTGGTTTACGTTACCAATTATCGTGACCGTAAAGAGGCGACTATGCTTGTTGTAAGAGGTTACTAACGGGATCGGGTGGTCAGGCTCGCTGACTTGGTAGATGCATGTCATCGTATCCCATTTGTGTAGATCGCTTCTCATGATCTAAATCAGTTTGCTGGAAAATTGCTGAGTGTGACGTTAAACAACAAGGAAACAAACAAAAATATCGTATTGATCACGATGAGTATTACAAGAAGAATGATAGTTTTACTTACTTTGCATACGAGACAGGATAACCTGGGGACTGCAAGTACTGGTCACGTGGTGCGGCAGACAGAGCCGTGGAACCGCATTGAGGATGAGGTGATGGGGAGACGGTAGTAACTGTTACATTGTACCATATACTAATAATGAATTTGTAATGAAAGCATCACATTAGTTGTTGATAACTACTATTTCACCTAAATCCACATATTTCGTTTCACTTTTGACATTCACGAACAATCCATTGTATGTTGATAGCAGATTGACATGTCATTATTTGTCTGACCAAACGTATTTGACTCTTTACTTTACCAATAGATCTAGATCTATTGCCAGAATTCAGGAAATTCAATTCCGTTTTCACGCTGATAGAAATGTGGATATTTCGAAACAACTGATATACATGTAAATACAGTATCAATGATGCATCAAAGGTATACACCTAATCATACATGTCATTTGTAGACGTGTAAAACGTGGGGATGGGGTGGGGGTGCCAGAAAGTGGCTTCCCATTTCGGATAAAATAACTGTTCTGTATACTAGGCTTTCGGTTTCACATGTAAGGTTTTGAAGACGTATATTTGAACATAGACATGATGAACGAAACGCATATACCTATCAAATGTATCACAGATATTAAATATATATTTCTACATGACAAACTTCCACTTGCAGCAAAATTGACGATAATAAGCCTTTACCTGGAGCATTGACGCTCTTGTATCTAATACGGAAGCCCTTGCCAACATCCACATTATCTGTCGTGAATGAAACCGTCATTGCCCCGTCGTTCGATCTGTATGATGGGGTGGAATTGCCACAAAATGTCCCAAGTTCAAAGGTCTTGAGACCTTTCCCTATAGAATGGACATGACGGGACGTTTAGACTTTAACATAAGTTTTGTAATAATTATGTGAAGCAACATATCGAAATCAGGTAAATGTTTATGTCCCCGTGATTCTGAATGTCACACACACCAGACTGAACCAAAATAGATTCAGGATAAAACCACTGAGTATTGAGATAATGCTAATTCTTTCTTCGCCTTTTCTCTTTATTATCCTTTAAACTTGTTGAGTTTCTAATGTACATACAGTAAACTACGAACTCAAAGGGACTACTACTATTAGTTCGTTATAACCGTTGTTCGTTATAAGTACATATACAGCATGACTACAGCAAGTAGTCGGGACAAAAAAGTAAGTTCGTTATATCCGTCAGTTCGTTATAAGCGTGTTCGTTATAACCGTAGTTTACTGTATTTCTCATTGTCCTTCATGCTGTAACATATTACTGGCTCTTCAATTGATCTTTACTCGGTATTCCAACCAAAGTAGTATTAATAAGTTTATAAAAAGTGTCACTTTGATAAAGCAATTATTTACCTCCATAAACAGTTACTGAGTCATTACCACACAATGGATAGGTTCCTTCAATTTCTGAATCGATGACATCAACCTGAATATACAGCTGATCTGGTGACACCATCTGCCACACGCATTCCAAGTCACTGACAATAGCAGAAAGATTAATATAATAATAAATAAGGTCCAAAGACATGTATGTCTTGATATATGACAATCATAATTTAGGTTATATTTATTTCATTAAAAGTGGCACGAGCATGCTTGTCGTAAGAGGCGACTTACGGGATCAATAAGGTATTCACGTGTACATTAGTGTTACTCTCTCATCAGATATTAATATCTACGTTAGTGTTGTAAGTATATGAATTATGGAGTTATTGTTACCTGCCCATTACGTACACAGATCTATGTTTGTGTTACGGCCCAATCAAATATGGGGTCAATTTAGGTACTACATGGTAATGAATAAGCATTGTCCATCACGTTAAAAAAATTGATAAAATCATTATAACTGAAAAACGTTTTCTTGTCCCATATACAATCAATGCATAAATACCAATATGTACAACATGAACACTTGAACATGAATTAAATATTATTAACTAACAAGAACTCTATTTGTGCTACCCTTAGTTTCACACTTTCTGGATACATGTGTATGTAAACATGCTACTGGTGTTCTCATGAAAGGCGTTAATTCTACAATTAAACGAAATACATTTGTCTACGTTTACATGGAACATACTTTTCATATGCATCTGGGTATCCGGGTGATACGAAGTAGATAGGAGTAGAGTCTACCGGCATTGTCAGATTGCAGTCTCCCGCTAATGAGGAAATATGTACAATTAATGTAATATAAATGAACATTAGTACATACATTATTAATTTCATTAAAGTCAATTGTGTGTATATATACGAGGGGTGTTCATTAAAGATTTCCCCTAAACCACTTAGGGTTATCATATTTGGTTGAAATTTCTCATGTGTAATGATACATGTATCTATGGGTTATGTCTGAATTTGCAGCACCGAACTATTAATCTTACCACTTTTACAGGTGTTATGATCGAGTAGGGTGTGACAATGGAGCCAGTAGAATACCGAGCAGTGATTAGGTTTTTATATTTGAAAGGTCGCACACCAAGAAGAAACTTTCGATGAAATGAAAGCAACTTATGGGGAAGATGCCCCATCATATGACGTTGTTAAACACTGGCATCGCCAGTTCAAGTGTGGTCGGACATCTGTGGAAACAGCTGCCATTCCTGGTCGCCCCGATTCAGCCATTGATGAGGACACTATCCATCAAGTGGAGACCGCCATTTTGGCAGACCGACGTATAACTGTTCGCCAGTTAGCACAAGATGTCAAGATCAGTGTAGGGTCTGTGGAACATATCATCCATGACAATGTGAACATGCATAAGGTGTCTGCACGATGGATTCCCAGGTTGCTCACACCTTTCCAAAAGCAGGAACGAGTCCATTGCTCCAAGGATCTTTTGGACATGTGCCCAAAAAAACCAGGCAAACTTTTTGACAGACTTATCACCCTGGATGAAACATGGGTCCATCACTATGATCCTGAGACTAAAGTTCTGTCGATGCAATAGAAGTCACCACCCCCAAAGAAGGCACGTGTCCAACCCTCTGCAGGAAAGGTCATGCTCAAGGTGTTTTGGGACCAGCACGGAGTAGTGATGATGGATTTCTGGCAAAGGGTACCACAATTACAGGAGCTTATTATGCTTCACTGCTACGGAAATTGCGGGAAGCTATCAGGCTTAAGAGGCGTGGCATGCTGACCAAGGGTGTCCGTCTCCTGCAAGACAATGCTCCACTACACAACTCTCATGTTGCCCAGACAGAAGCGCGGTCCTGTGGCTATGAAATCCTTCCACATCCTCCTTACTCTCCTGACCTTGCACCATCTGACTTCCACCTCTTTCAAACCATGAAGTCATTTTTGAACAGAAAACGTTTCCCAGATGATGAAACACTGATTTCTGAAGTCAAGTCCTGGTTTGAGACGCAAAATGAGGGCTTTTACAAGCGAGGTCTCCATAGTTGCATGAAACGATGGGAGAAGTGTGTAACTCTTGGTGGTTCCTATGCCAAGTTTCATTCCACTAGGTCCATCGGAAGTGGGTCAGGGGAAATCTTTAATGAACACCCCTCGTATATATATATATATATATATATATATATATGATTATCATTTCCAGGTTATATATGTACATAAAAAAAACATAATATATTTGTGACATTAAACATCACATTGATCCAGCGTCAAGATTACGCGACGAAACAGTTATCGGCGAAAGCATGTCCAGATGGCGATGCTACTTTTAATAAAGGACTGTCTATCCTATTTTGATTTGATCTGCCTCAGATTTTTATTTGAGGGATTATATAATTCTTTTTGTAATCGTTTGATAATGTGATATTTTACCACTGATGCAAAACACACAATTTTGTATCCATGAATAAGAAATAAATTCCTTGTATTCATTTGTTACAAAAATAACCATGGTGAACATTTCCATGTTATACATGTACATAAGAAACATAACATGTTTGGAACATAATACACCCCTTTCATCCAACATCAAGACTGTCACTATTAGCATTAACAGGGTTAAATGGCAATCAAAACAAGTCCTACGCACCTTTTATCGTCTTGTAGTACAATGAAAATCCCTTCTCTACCCTGGCTACATCAGTCTTGAAATCGATCCGTAATTTGTTTCTTGAGCTTTGGACGGTAGGTGTAGATGTTCCACAGAACTGACCAAGGAATTGTTCATCTGTCAGAAGGAAGATTAATTACTCATTGAAACCACCTTTAATTTCAAAGACATAAACGGTGTTTCTACTAGCATATGGTATACAACAATACTAATTTTGTGTTAAAGTACACATCACAGACAGAGGCTAGGGAACCCGAAGCAATACGGTGCAATGAGCATGTCACAGTACGTGACAGTAGAGAAAGTCCACTATATGTTGAGTCGTTGTTCGTCGAGTTTTCCGACTGATATTATGGACATGTAGAACACATGTTACTACTGAACTGATACATTGTATTCAAAACATCAATTAACGTGGTGTAGTAAAATGGTTCGAGAAAGGAGATTTATTGCAGTCTTTTGTAGTTTGCGGTGTGTGTTTATCTGGACATACAGGGTCAAGCAGAAATACGATACCGCTGGTGATCAACCATCAGCAGAATGCTAGATTCTTACAATACATGATTAAATATTGCGCATGGATTATGACACAAATAGAAACATTCCATCCACATGTTGATCACATATAACATACCAAAATGAACCAACTGGTGACAGTAAGAGCAACGCCCCCAGGGTGCGATCATGCAGTCTTAGCATTGCAGTTTGGTGCACTTGGCGAGGCAACTGTGTGTGTGTGTGTGTGTGTAATTCTGTCGTACTTACTGTCTTTTTGGTGATCGTTGTAAACGGAAACAGAGTCGAAGGGGCAACCAAGTAGTCCACTTTCCACCTGCAGTTGTTCAAAATCCACTACGATTGTATCATTTTCATTCTCGGCTGTAAGGAACCACGTACAGTCCATATTACTGCAACACAATTAACGCATCATAAACAAACATTAGTGAGTGAGTATGGTTTTACGCCGCTTTTTTAGCAATATTCCAGCAATATCACGGCGGGGGACGCCAGAAATGGGCTTCACACATTGTACCCATGTCGGTAATCGAACCCGGGTCTTCGGCGTGACGAGCGAAGGCTATAAACACTAGACTACCCGACCGCCCCTAAACAAACATTACCTCCGTGTAAATCATAATAATTATCATGCAAACAGTATTTATTCAATGAAAACGCCAGGGAGAGTTTTGCTCATATCTCTGTCGCACAAAAGGAAACGGTAGACAATTGAGTGATTGTTGTTTTATACTGCGGGTCGGGGCCAGTAAACCAATGGTTGATATATTGAGCAACGATATAACCATCGACAGGTTACAATGGCACAATGGTACCAACCGATTTTCACTTTAAGGGGGTCGGTTTTTATAACATCTACAACACTTGTATTTCACAGTTTTGGTTCTGCGGTATCTATTATCTACATTATGTTAGGATCACAATCATCTGACTTCAATCCAAATCCATTTATGCCGATCAGCTGTCCTTACTTCAAGTACTGATAAGGAAAGCCAGGTGAGAGTAAGTTTGTTTTTTCAGGTGTTGCTGTCAGCTCCCCTCCACATCCTGTAAAACAAATATAATGACAATGCCATTTCTAAAATATTTTTCGTTAGGCCAACAAACCCATAAAATAAAAACCTTTACTTATATAATGTAATGTACATACACTCTTATTTATAACAGACCCTTATTTAACCCGCATCGGCAAAGTGCTTTAAGTTAGGTATTGTCATTTTAACGTCATACGTTTGTGTAAACCGTCATTTTATCTCACCTCAAATGATGTGTGTGAGCCCACTGTTGATGTAATTATGACACTGCTCGAAAAATTGCCGTCATGACAATGTGGAAGAGATACAATGCAGAAGATATATTGAGACATTAAATGTTGTGACACATTTTTTTGTGCAGCCTTACCATGTACACTTTTTTCTATAAACGTGAGACAAAACAACTTACTTGTTGTCTCATAAAAATCAAGAAGGAAGCCTTTGAGCTGGTTACTGCCGTCGGTTTTAAACACGACATAGATGGATCTACCAGAACTCATCACGGTGGTGAGGTTCCTCCCACACAGTCGCCCAAGAGGAGTGCCTGTCGAGTCTGGTCCTGGGTAAATATATGACTCGCACATTTAAACTATTCTTCTCAAATGTTAATGGTGGCATTTCAGAGCTAACGACTGTCACATTACAACTGTTAGTTGTTATTAGCTTTATATTTGATGGAATAGTATGAAAATAGAAATGTTTTTTTCACTTCATATCATGATTAATATATGACTCTTTATGATATGAACAGGGTTTTATTCTATTGTAAAATTAGAAAATTAAGGCTCAATTCATCTTTGTAATGACTGTTATTATAATGGAACTAAGATTCGATCCCTTTTAACATCGACCACTGAATGACAAGTCGATTGATACAGGTAGTTCTTTCCTCCTTTAATTCAATAAAATATTTATAGTTTGACGTTTGACTTGATGCAGGACAATCAATCTACGATCTATATGGAACAATAACACACGCAGGGACGAGTAGATATAACATTGACAATGTTTGGGTGTCTTTATTAAATCGACTATTAATACTGACCTATAGGCTAGTATATTATAGCAGTCAACTTTGTATGTAATCTTACCATCATAAAATGACAGACTATCATAAGTGCAATTTGGTGATGTTTCGATGTAAGAATCCGCCACCTTCACAATGACGCTGTTGTCTTTGTTACTAGCATCGATCTTCCACCAGCAATTTAGGTTACTGCAGACAAAACAATTACATTGGAAATATTAACAATGTATATATATTTCTTTGTGTGTGTGTGTGTGTGTGTGTGTGTGGTGTGTGTGTGTGTGTGTGTGTGTGTGTGTGTGTGTGTGTGTGTGTGTGTGTGTGTGTGTGTGTGTGTGCACAGACAATGGCAGTTACCATCTCAAGCGATATCTAATTAAAGTAAATATGAAACGTCAACGCCAGAGAAGAAACAATCACGATTATCCAACGTAACATTTCATTGGCTAGCAGTGACAATTATATGAATGGATGACTGAAAATCAGTGAAAGACATAAGTGAAGTGATGCAGATATTTAGTGGCTTTGAACAGTTTTTAGTTACAACACAACACATCAGCTTAGCACGGTGCTGACGAAGAAAAGGTCATAATCGTGGCGTGACTGAGGGACTGAATTAATTCTAAGGGAGCGAATTGAAGGACCATCGACTGCTGGGTCATCCGTGGCCCTTACTGACATTAGTAGGTTCTTCAAGCTACAGGCTGACTGCTCATGGCGTCGTACCTCGGATAGGCAACAGAAGGATAACCAGGGGACCTGACAGTGGACGGTGTCCTTGTTGTAATTATTTCCACATTGCAAGATTCTGTAACTAAATTAAAAAGATTCAGAAATGTAACAAAGTAACATCAGCATCAGAATACTCATTACATTTAAGAACAGAAATTGTTTTTGAGCCAGTCGCAAGTTTTCGCGTGAGCCTTCCTTACATTATCAAATAAGTTTAACTATAACTGACACAGAAGGGTTTTTAATTGTTTTTGAGACCCCAAAGAAAGCAAAATCATTCAAAAAGTTCAATGACTTGAACATATTTCCATATACACTGACTAAAGGAACATTTATACATAGATTGCCAAATTTACGATACAAATCTACTTGCATATCGTAATCTTGAGATTTTTTACGCATAACAATAAAGACATTATTAACCTGTTGATCAATATTCGATTGATACACTCTCATCTCATTTTCATTTCACTTTTAATAAGAATCGTAGATATATTGTGTCCAACAAAGCAAAACCATTTTTTTAAAATACAGACATATTGCTGACAATGATAAATATGTGGGTGTCAGGAATATATATCATGACAGTAATATTGGTATCACTATGGAGTTGTGTACAAAACAACGCTTACCTGTTCTTGATAACAACACTAAACAGACAACTGCTGAGCAGAAAAAACTTATCCTCATGTTTCAGTCACACTAGTATGTAGTCCGCCTTGTTTGTAGGTACACAGCTCGGTTAGTGTATCAATCTAGTTCAATGTCCTCTTATTGTGAAACGTATCAGGCTAAAGTTTACTTCAGCTGTGATGCTGATGCGTCATGTGACAATCTAAATGTGACCCGCTATCACCTGACCTACATGATAATCGACACACTGCGTGCCGTATTACTGAACATATCAAAACCTGACAACGCCTCCTTACATATTTGTGTTGATATTTGTGTGCAGAATTATTTTTGGAACACTTTCTGTAGGAACAAAAATGCACGATGTTTGAGAACATATTAATAAGCTTTTGTAATTGAATTTACTCCTTTATCAAGGGGTCGACTTTATGGGGGTTGTGCCAACTGTGGAAGTGACGTCACGATAATATGTCAAACTGATTGACTTTTGTGTGATTAGATGGCGCACCTCGATATCACATGTAGAATTTGGATTATCTGACACTGACATATAGGAAGTGTCACTCGGTGTGAAAGTATACCAAAGGCGTAAGTCTCAGGTTATAAAATCCCGCTACTTCTCTTTTTACGTCTAGTTCTGCCTATGAACATGGTGGGTATTGGGGATACTAAAGCACATATTGGCGTACAGTAGTACCATCCTGAAAAAAGAGAGGTAAATGTAAATATGACAAGACATCCCCAGAGTCAATTGTCATGCTTTTAAATAAGAGCATCAAAATCAGTTCAATAATCATACAAAATGTCAGCTAAAGTAAGAGTCGAACCGTGATCCGGGGTCGAAGAGGTCTTCAGAAACCCATGCTTGCCGTAAATGACGACTATGCTTGTCGTTAGAGGCGACTAACGAGATCAGGTGTTCTGACTCGGCGACTTGGTTGATGCTTGTCATTGTATCCCAATTGCGTGGATCGATACTCATGATGTTAATCACTGGATTGTCTGGTCCAGACTCGATTATTTACAGACCGCTTGAATATCGCATAGTGCGGCGTTAAGCAACAAACAAACAAATAAAGTAAGAGTCCATGTTTTGTACAATTCCTACTATATCATACGCATGTGTACTTTCCACACTGCTGGCAGCACATTGCCTTGAAAGGCATAGAAAGTGTTCATGAAAATACGTAACACACAATATTAAAAACGGCCGACGTTACTATTCTGAAATTATCAGTATTATCATAAACAAATATATAAAACATCGTGAAAATCTTGATCTAGTGTCAATGACTTACTCATAGCTAGTTTGTTCTTCTGAATAATTATTTCAGTTGTGAACCGTTACAGAGGGAGACTTCAGCATTAATACAGTAAAAAATAAAATGTTGTACATCGTAGCTATGAGTACGTTATTAATATTATAATCAAATAAAGTTTTCGATTCTCAACTTTGAAGTCCGCCTGATGTCTCATCTAACATGTGATTCGAGTGAAAACCCATGCATGTTGGACATTTGCTCTTCCTTGTTATATAGCTCAACCTTTCATATATTTGCTCATTGCGTATCATCCAATATGTTTGACTGCACTCTATGTGATCTAAACATCAGCAACAGTGTCAATGTTGTCCTTGTTACACGGTTGGCCAATAGTGTTATGTGCTCCTACGGAGTTGTGTCCCTCAGTATTGCCGCGCTTGTATGTATGTTCGTATCTATTTTGGGCCTCTCTCCCCCCTCCCCCCCCCCCCCCCCCTCTCGTTAAAGTATATCGCGTCCTGATAATACTGTCTATATCTTCATGGTTATGGCAGACACTTGATTCACCTTTAACATGTTTGTCGCATCTTGTAATCTGATTATGCTGTTGTATGGCGCACCACAGTATAATCAGATAAACATGTTATTTGAAGACACAATTTTAACCAAACTTGACTTTGAATAAGTTATGTTTGGTTAATGTCGTCAATAAATACGTTTATATAATTATCCTTGGTTTCAGGATAACTTCATGGAACTTCACAAAACGCCGAACTTCTGTGCAACCTCTCCTCACCCGATGGTGCATAATTAAAAACGAGGACCCCGTGTTCAATGTCGTCTTGCTATTATTCTATCTGTTACGTTTCATTTCTTATTTCACTGGAGAACACTTGTTATGATACGATTCAAAGTTCGAGGTATGTCATCGCAAAACTTGTAACATAAAGATTTTTAATCCCTATCAAGGGGGTATTTCTTGCTAGAATCCGGGTCAGACACGTTCCCTGTACTAAAACGCAAATACAAGAAAATCAGTGTGCCCCAGCAGCACTTATGACGTTATATCTGACAGGTGTTGAAACTTTAAATTTGAATTTAACTCCTATCAAGTAAGTGCATGTGGATTTGTCAGAAGGTCAAGTGTGTTCGTCGTGTGTGTCATATGGCATATGGTAAGGGTTATTCCAGGTAATACTCCTGGGCCCTCATTTTTACATCCAGTTTTGTTAATCACGAGCGAGTCGTTGTTACCTGTAACGATGGAAGCAGGTGTTCGCGAATGTGAGTTTTCAAACTGCGGTAAATTTCTGAGATGTAGCTATGGTCGTGCCAGTGGTAAGACTTAGTGCTTTAGTCTAGAGAACGTACATGTCATTGGCAAACTGAAGGCCTATCCTGCATATCTGATATAATAAGGAGAAACCAACTGTTTTCATCGGAGTTCGAAACCTCTAATTTGAAATTACGTTTGTCTCCATTCTGCCACGACAAATGCGAAAATACACGCAGACTCGTAAGCGATTGGATGTGGTGCATCGTTTAAGTCGATTATTTTTTAGGTTCTATGGCCGAGTTCAGGGATTAGTGCGTTCATATACTCAAACCACATTTTCCCCATAAAATGCCACCCAAAAAAATACGGAAACTGATGAAATGACAGTACAGGTGCAATGATAATAAATGTCTGTAAAATTAATTTCGGGCGTGTAGATCAATATCTGGTGTGTCCACCATGTTGGGCGATACATGCACGACACCTTGACAGCATACTGTTGATTAACTTGCGTATGATTGCCCTTGATATATTGCCCGCCATTTTGCCTGTAGAGCTACTCCAAGCTGGGCCACATTGGCGAGTGCTGGGTCTCTTGCGTACAATCTCCCACAGATCTTCTATTTGGGACATGTCCGTATGCCTTCTGGGGCAGTCGGGTAGCCTTGTGGTTAAAGCGTTCGCACGTCAGACCGAAGGCCGGTTCCGATTCCCGACAGGGGTACAATGTGTGCGGCCCATTTCTGGTGTGTCCCGCCGTGACATTGCTGGAATATTGCTAAAAGCGGCGGAAAACCAGACTCACTCACCGTATGCCGTCTCTGTGGAGATAATCGGTGACGAACTGCACAGGAAGTGGACTGGCTTTGTCATGTTGCAACATGTCGTCAACATATCACTGGCCAGTCAAATGTCCATTTACAAGAACCAGATCAGTTTGCCTGGCATATGTGATACCGCCTCACATCATGACACGACCGCCCCGATACAGATCATAGTAAAGAAATGTTGCCCTGGCGTACGGCTCGCAGCTACCTTGCCAACAACGTTTCTGAATTGGAGGCTGTACGCATGGCCATGGTGTAACGCCAATGGCGCACGACCTGTTGCCAGCCGACCCCACGCTTTGCCGCCGTTGGTAAGCTGCTATGGTCACACACTCTTCACAAAAAGGCGGGCTGCATAGGGTTTCATTGGTAGATGTCGAAATTCGCCTTGATAACAGGAGCAGATTTGAATCTATTGCGTAGTGAAATAAGTGCAAGGAGACGATCTTGTCCAGGTGTCGTGTTTTTTTAAATGACACTTTTTGATTTGTCAAACATTCGGAAAACTTGGAGTATTGACGTCCTCCCACTTCTATCGTACCCCAAATCCAACATTCTGTCTGTTCATTAAGATACCGTTCCGGTGGCATTGTTAAGCGCATTCGTGACCAACTCGTGTTATTCCGGGACAAGCCGAATAGCGACTCGTGCCCCTCTCGTGGCAATTTTTGCGACCGGGTTCCGTCTTAGCGCAAACGGGCATACCTAAAACAATTGTCAACTCGTTGTGTTATGGTTCACACATTTTCCCCATATATTATATACATATGTCAGATGCAATTTAAAGCACACCAGGACGTGCGGAATTATACAGTATGATTAAACACATTTAATTGTGTCTTTGGTATATTTTAGAGGCAAGACATATGTAAAATCAATAATTATTTCTGAGGGATTCTTTGACGAAGAACTTGAAATCATACGCACATTCTAATTGGTTTGTCGTATTTTCGCACATAACATTCATCGATAGGGGGACGAGTCTTCTTGCGGGTTACGGAAAGGGGCGAGTGGTGACGAATGTGTTAAGCGTAGCTTAATTGCGTCCGTGAGGTCCCCTAATAGGCGCACACACTATGGCTTCATTGCACACGTGCATCACGTTCTTTTCATGCATGGTGTGAAATTGCATTATGATTAGATGTTGCGTTCCGATGCAACGCCATGATAAATGAACACCTCATCAAAAAACACATTTAATTCACAGGTTCCCTTATTTTTTGTCGATAGTTTACTTATCCGTTGACAATGAAATAATAACATCATGCAACATATACCCTGTAAAGCACTACTTTAATGTAATTCATGTAATTTAATTTAATTTAATTTGATTCATGTATGTGTATGTCAACTCCAAAGAACAACCAGCTTCGATAATCTGACGACCCCATTGGGCATAAGGCACACTAGCGGTGACATTTATTTGAATATCTCACTGAAAATCGGTATTCGCGAAAAGGGTTAGGAAGTACTGTCCCAACGGTAGCAATCGCCACTCACATGATTTGCAAAAGAACATTCTTCAATATGTGGTTGTATATGTGATCTTACGATTAAAATCAGTGTCAAGTTGTCCTAAATAGTTAATACTATAAGTATAAATGTATTATATACAATTAGCATAGTGACATTAGTGTGTAGCTACACCGCCAAACATCCCGTTCAGTATTATGTATGGTGAGATACATGTTTATGCCGACATGGCCTATTTGTATCATCGACAGTGTTGACCTTTGCTCATACTACCATACATTGCTGATTATTTGCTCAGACAGTGTCAGTAGGTTCACCATGATAAAGCAGAAGAAACTCAATGTCACAAGTACATACATGTGCATTCTGTTTAGGAACTCACGACATCTGGTCTCACGTTGTGTCCAAATGCTTATCTCATTACACAAGAGACGTATTCCATGGCCAGATGACTGCAACAGTTATTTATTCAAGTATAGTAATAACAATAATAAGGCTATGTCACGTGTGAGCTGGTTTCAATGCCTCTTTAACAGTATTTCATGGCGAGCAAGCTTAATGTTTGAGGAAAGCCTTAATTAATGCAATGTTTACCTCGTTGGTGAAGGCTACCGTGATCTCTATTGGAACAATTTCTTGCACTTGGCCTTGATATTGCAATAATATCAGCAACTATTTACAAAACCATGCGCATGTATTTCGTTCTCAATATTATGCACATCTTATGAATGAGTTGTCCTCTTGTGTACATAGTGCATGGGTTTGGCGCTTTGTTTGTTTGTTTAACGCCGCACTCAGCAATATTCCAGCTATATGACGGAGGTCTGTAAATAATCCAGTCTGGACCAGACAATCCAGTGATCGACATCATGAACATCGATACACACACTTGGGATGCGATGACATGCATCAAACAAGTCAGCGAGCCTGACCAACCGATCCCGTTAGTCGCCTCTTACGACAAGCATTGCTTGCTGAAGACCTATTCCAACCCGGATCTTGACGGGTCTGGCGCTTTGAAAAACGACATATGTATGGTACATCTTTTAACCCTTTGATCAATATAGTTAACGTTTTACTTGATAATATGTCAAAAAGGAAACAATACGATTAGTGAGGTACGTTGGTCACAAAAGGGAGGGTTGTTTAAGCGGACTACCATCTGATATTAATGGTACTGAAAAAGATTCGCGTTAAAGGTGTGAACATTTTTAAAAGGAAGGTGTGCAATGAAGTTGGGACACAAACGCAATACATGGTACTGCTCACGAATCTATCCTGCCTGTGAATATGAGTGGGGGTTAGTTACGCCTCTTTGAAATAGAAACATACTCTGGTCGAACCGGGATTCGAACGAAGGTAATGATCTGTATTTTGCGGTTCATTGTTAAAATAAATTTCGAAAGATTGTCGTTAGATGGTGTATACACCAATTTGTCGTTTTTGGTTTGTTAAGCGAGTTAAAGAAATACACATTTTTAACCTCAATTGGAAGCAACAATATCTGCAAAATAGAGATAGAAACAATTGAGAAACAAAATAGACTAGACAAAACTAGGCCAGTGGCCCAAAATACCACCAACAGAGGTTACATTTCAACACGCTTCATTTTATATACAAACGTATACATATAGCACAGACATACATATCATATGAAGTATTCTTGAAAAATAATTATTTAAAGTGGTATTGAGCATATTTATAATTTTTTGCACATAAAATATGTATCAATAGAGATAATTTACTTTTTTTGTGTCTTGAGTGTTCATTATATTTATGAATATGTTTACTGCACTGTCATTTCTGTTATTTTTACTGATATATATTTTTTCTGACAGAGATATATGCATCACATGCAAATAAGACATGAATTTCATCTTCTGAATACATTTTGTCCTTAAGCCAACAGTGAGTACATAGTGAGAAACAAAATAACAAGATGTACGTGTATATAGATTTATATAGAATTTAAAAGTTATAGATTAAAAAATATTTCATACTTATATAGCCTTTAGGAGTTAAACTAAGGCGGAATAACGTATTCTTAATTGCACATCCCATTAGAATAATATATTATGTAATATACATGTATAAACAGAAAACTGTCAATCAATCGATATGTATTTGTTTTTCTCATAAGGCAGCAAACTTGAAAAAACGAGCATATAAAATGGATTCGGAATCAAACATGTATCTTCATAAAACATATTATTTCTAAATTACAAATTCGAAAAGGTGGTGTTTATCATGTCAACGTAAACAAGGAATTGTCACATCAAGTTTGATATATAAATTAATATTTGACAGTTGAATTATCTCTGCTGTTACTAAAATGACAGTTCGGTTTTCATGGAAGCACATGGCGTAATTCCTAATTTTGATCACGTTTCATTAAAATATTGAAAAATATTTCTTTTCTATTTTCGGGTGTTACTCAGTAATTGATGCCGGGAATATGCTAGCATTGTCCGGTCCATGGCGTCCAATGGACGTGTTAGAATAAATCCTCGATGAACCCATGTTTCAGACACATACACTGTACATGTGCATGTACGTGAAGAGATTTTATAACAGAATTTTGATTTCGGCTCGAATATATTGCTGATGATTAAGTGTCTCATATCTCAGTCACGTACTTGGGTTACGATTGGTGCGCTGTCACTCGCAGCAACAGGCTGGGGGTAGGGAGGGGGGCTGACCACCTGCGCATATGGAGGGGGTGGCTGAAAGGTGGCTGGAGCAACTGTAGTTTCATAGGGACCCTGACTGATACTGTGTATGTTGTTTTCTCGGACTTGAGTGGTCGTTGGTCGTTGATTCCTTTTGTTGGCTGCTCCTATTAGGACGCAGATAATAACGATGAGGACGAACCCACCGATGGAACCTCCGATAATGGCACCGAAATTGACGGGGTCAAGATCTGGAACTGTTAAAAAAACAACGTTGTCATTCAGCGAACGTACTTTTACGTGTGTTGTTAATGTCTTTTCCTTTCTCAAAGAAAAAATGTAACTGTAACTGTACAATCGAAATGCACTAGATTTGTACTGACTGTTTCGGCAACTAGTCTCTGTAAACCAAAAAACCTATGTAACCCTCCTCGTTATGCATAAGTTTCAAAACAAATACTCACAGCTGTCGCGCTCCTTGGCTTGGTACGACAGTTTAAAACCTGTGCCTGTGTTGGAGCCATCAGAGTGGAATTTTATTAACATGTATTGTCCGGAGCTGTGCTTTGTGGGGAGACTGCTGCCGCAATATTTTCCCAGTAATGTGTCGGTGTCAAAAGAACCTATACAAACCAATGAGAACAAATGTTTAATTCTACACACGTGGTGCACTGATCGTTTATTCAGTGTCACTTGGAGAAAGTCCAGTATGTCCACAAAAAGAATCAATGTCGTATCGTGATGTTTGGTCACGTCTGTTTGTCTATCAACGCCGCAATCAACACTATTCCAGCTATATGACGGCGGTCTGTAAATATTCGAGTCGGGACCAGGCAATCCAGAAGCAATCCACTCATTTGGGATATGATGCCATGCATCAATCAAGTCAGCGAGCCTGACAACCCGATCACGTCGGTCGCCTCTTGGCTGCTAAAGATCACTTCTAACATGGATCTTCACGGGTGTTTATGGCCACAAAGGGGGTGCGGCGGTGGTGTCAGGAGGGGTGAATGAGTACGGTGATTTGACAAACAATCGAGACACTTATTTTGATGTGCTCTTACGAGGTTTTATGTCGTAAACTAGTCTCGAGTGCAGGTGGATCAAATATGTAGACGTATAGGGTGAGTGAGTAGTACTGCAGCAATATTCGACAAATCATTGAACTGGGTACGCTTATTGCATTCATAATGGGTGCTTGGCAATCGCGTCAACAACCCCATTATGAACATAACCCTGTAACCGTTGTAGTTTAGTCTGCATTGGCTAGTTGCATCGCCGACTTGAAATGTTAAGCACATTGTTGATGGTCCTCCATTCTCATTCACTCACTCATTCTACCAAAAAGCCGAATCTTAACGTTTATAAAGTTGCGTATACAATTCATCTACATTCGTTTTACCGTCAAAAAATTCATAGTAGTCGTAAGAACAAGAGTAAGAGAACTCCACGTCCGAAGCAATGACATCAACATACACCACGAGGTCAGAGTCACCAGTGTCGATTGACCATGAACAGCCAGCGTTGCTGAAAGAAAACGCGCACTTTTAAATATAAACATTATAGTTTATTAGTTTATTACGGGTCAGCTGAAGCTGTTTCGGAAGATCACATAATCAACCCGATATTTTCCTTTTCAGATATTAATCTCTTTAAATGGCCTATTTTGTAATGCCATTTGTCACAAATAGAAGTGATATGTCAAGGATACACTAATGCAGTTTCAGGTACAACATCTACTATGTCCTATCACATTCCGTTATATGTTCTATTTACAGTAGCGTCCTTATGTGACTGTGAGCATTGTTGATTTAATACGTGTCAGCTAAATGTAAGACAACAGCCCAAAGTGAACCCGCAGACGTTTAGCTCTTTGATGACAACCACGAGACGGGTATAACCCAAAGAAAAATAGTCAGAGCATTACCCAGCTTGACAGAGGGAAGTAACACTGACCACCATTTTGCGTGGAGAAGATAACTGTTCCACCTGTGCCTCACCAAATAAGCCCAAGTACCTGTTCTAGTTTAGTTACAATGTGCTAAAATGAAAGTCTGAGACACAGCAGGAAGCACGGGATATTCACACATCCCTGTGCAGAAACTGATGATCATGACACTGTACTAGACACTATATTTAAGGAACACCCGAATTTATTCCAAAATTATATGTAAAGAAGTGACGTTGTGGAATTCAATCTTCATAGTAAAGTCAATATCTGGTCCATGCCCCGAGGCACGACAACTTCTGAGCATACTGGAAATTAAACACCCGGTTGTCTCCCCTCGTATCCTTCGCCATTCGTCTTCTAAGGTCTGTCCAAGCTGTTGCAAATTCTGGGAACACAGAGCTCGGTTGCGAACCAGCCTAGAACATCCTAAAGGTTTTCAATCGGTGACATGTCTTGAGATCTGGCTTGCCACGGATATGTTATGACACCCTGCTTACTCAGACAGTAAATTGCAACACGAACTTCTGACCCTTCGCGCTTGGCAGATGGGATGACCACTTAACGATGACCGGTCTTGTCCCCTTGCAGGTTCATTAGACCCGTCGTCTATCGTGTTCTTGGCCTGCTGCCTGATAGCACCTCTCTCCGCGCCAAGGCTCGCTAAATACAATGTTTATTCCTAATGCAGGATATTTACCATCCCCCAAACACTCGCGTGATAACCTCTATTGACCATATGTAAATGACATAGTGACACTTTTAACATGTTAGTCAGTTCAACTTACTTTGGGTAGTTGTACGGGTAGTTTGGCGAGTTAAGGTAGCTTGGCGCATACGTGTATGCAGTGAGATCACTTGAACCACATGCTGAAAAACCAACAGAGGATATATGTTGTGTGTCAAACGAAAACATGTGACTTAAGGAATGATCGTTGAACGTCACTAGGAACTGTTACACATATACATACACCGCGAGTCATATATCAACATGACGATCAGTCACATTTCAACATTAGATCATAGTTTATCTTTTGTGAACAAAATTAAGTTTTGTGACATTTTATGCGCAGATGTCGAGACAAGTGCACGCAGAGTTCAGTGGATTCTTTCTGTTTACTGTATACTATCATCAATGAGGTATACTTTACCAAACATCAAGACATTACATAGCATCATACTCACGTCTGAAATCATCTCCCCCTGTATATGCTAACTTGAAGCCTTTGCCAGTCTGTGAGCTGTCTGAGTGGAACATTATGGTGACAACCGAACCTGAACTGTAGAAGGTAGGTGTCTGAGTCCCGCAGAACTTCCCTATTAATGACGACCTTTGTCCTGAACAAAACATATAGAGAACAATCCGTACACCTTCACATATCCATGCACATATTAATTATTCGACGTCAAAGGCGAGAGCAGTCCAGCGTGCCGTTGTCCAAAGCGATCTTACCTTACCATGGACTTACGACAGTCGTAGCCCTAAGGTTGTTTTGTACAACGGCACCCTGGTATTATAACTGTAACCAACCCACATTGTAAGATTTGTGTGTGTGTGTGTGTGTGTGTGTGTGTGTGTGTGTGTGTGTGTGTGTGTGTGTGTGTGTGTGTGTGCTTGTACTAATCCGGAGTGATTATGTTTTATAGTGCTAGCCCACTGAGATACCATGCCGCAGTTTAACATGAATACCCCACTCAGACACAGTTCACTGACTCCAAGCCGACAAGTCCTTGTTTTAGCCTCTTAATGCCGAGAGCCAGACAGGGTGACAACAAGTACCATCTTTTAACGTCGTTTGGTATGACGCGGCCGGGGACGGAACTCAGGACCTTCCGCTCTCCGGGCGGACGCTTTACCCCTAGACCACGGAGGCGGTCGGTTTACAAGTGGTCGGTGATTGCAGAATGGATACAATAGTAAATAACACATGCTCCGCCACAGCTATTTGTATCCAGAACAACTGTTGCTATATGTAAACACTACATGTACCTGTTCTGTTATATTCTGTTAATGTATTCTTACTTGTGACAACGAAAGGTACCCTATTGAGATAGTAGATCCTGCGCATGGGAGAGTGTAACCACAAGTGGACAGCCCTTAGATACATGTGTTTTCCACTCGGCTATAGTTGACATCATTGCTCGTTAAAGATGTGCAACGGTTTATCTTTATGTGACTTTACAGTTGACCATATGTGCCTTAAAACTGCATAAAGTTTTTCCGATATGTCTTGACAAGTGGTTACTTTAGTAAATAGCTCGGACGACGATCCATCTAGTTCACACACTCAGTGGCATTCATAACATTAGGTCATTTATTGATACGATCATAATGATTTTGAATATTACTATTCGTGTATTTTATTGTGATTTCATATCGTCAGAAGCTCTTAACACTAAACGTATAGACATACATGTATATATACTTATTAATAACACAGGACTGATCATTAACAGTTACATAACACACACGTTTGGGATTTTCATACTTTCAAAATAAGAATAAAATCATACTTATATCAATATTTGTTTTTTCATCTGGCATAATGATTATTGTGTCGGTCGATTTAGTGGGAAAATATATATGTCTGTTCTATTTGAAGTGCAGGATTTTAATTTCAGCAAAATACGTGCACGGATTAAATCTCTATCGAAGAAGGCATTGTTCTCTTTATTTCATCAATCAATTTTCAATATGTGTCAACGTTTTGTTGGATCTTTGTACAATAAGTTGTAGCTTTTACATTTTCTCATGGATCAAATATAGAGCGGTTGGTGGGACAAGTAGAACAAATTTAAATTATCTTGATTGTACATCAAGATTGTGGCTTTAGGCTCTGGGCCCAGTTCCACAAAGCGATGGGGGCGCTAAGACGATCGTAACTCCCATACTTCAACATAGATTTACGACAGTCGTGGCGCTAAGATGGCTTTGTGTAACGGGGCCCTGGAATGTAACTGGAAATATTCAAAAGTGTCGCCTTACCATCATAGACCTTAACATAGTCATATGTACATGTGGAGGAGTATTCAATGTCAGTTTCAATGACATTAATCTTGATCCTTGTATAATCTGTAGTGATGCTCCATGTGCAGTCCTTGTTCCTGTAGCCACATAACACATTATGTGATATGAATTACTTTAATACATTCAGTATATTGATGTAATGAATATAACAGTTACTATCTGAGGTATACCTCTTCTATATCATATCAACAGACGTATGTACATCAAATAACGGTTTGGCAAATGTATACTATCCGTAAAATTACACAAATGAAGTGATATATGATATAAATGTGTTCTCAATTCTATAATGTTAAACGAATATGTGCCTACGGTGGATAGTCCATTGGATAGCCTGGGGATGTTAGATACTGGTCGTATGAAAGGGCACTCAGATCATCTCCGCAGGATAACTGAGCTGAAATAGATTGGAATGATTATATATAAATATCACAATTCTAGCATGATAATTAAAGAGATAAATTTTAAAATTCAAATAATGACTTCTACCTTAATCATAACAAATTCTTTTCATTACTAACATCCATACATGTTAAGTAAAACCCATGTATGGCTATGGCCTACACGGGCGAATGGAAGTATTATACAAAATGCTACATGTGCATTGCATTTAGGGGTTGAAAACTGTTTTATTAAAAGTTCCTCGGACTTGAAACTCTTGTGATTCTCGTGTGACCTTTTAATTAGTAACAATGCCAAAGCCGATAGCAATTGTATCTATGAAGCCTGTACAAACGGATGTCATGTAATTTATTGTAATAATATTCCCACCTTTTGCTAAATTTATAGGTTATATATCTTATTCCTTGCACACAAAACGTCATTCCAAATATACAACACAAATATATGTAAATATCATTGTATATCTTGTCTCATATACTCTGCGTATACTCCAAATGTTTTAGTGGTTAGTGTACAGCACCGATGGTATCACTGGAACTTACCACTTGTTTGAAAGTACTTGAGTCTGAAGCCCCTGAATGTATTGGAGCTGTCTGTTTGAAACTCGAGTGTCATTGCCTGTCCAGAGCTCTGTAGTGTAGGTTCCATTGTATTGCACCATATTGCTATCACACGTGAACTTATGTCAGTGCCTAGAACAAATGGATGCAACATTTACTGTCGTCAGTTTTCATAACATACTTATTAGAAGACAACAAATACTAATATAGAGGAGGCACGGGTAGCTCAGTCATCTAAGGCGCATCAATTCGTTGAGCAGAGTTGCGTCCCTTGGGCACGGCAGAAACATATGATCGTGGGTTTGAATCCCGGTTCGCTTCGATCCTGTTTCTAGGTTTGTCAGCACCATGCCTTTGCTCGTTTCACTAATTGATAAACTTCACAACTCGCACAGCAGTAATTGTTAAGGTGACATTGATTGAAGAAAATAGATCGTGTGATAACCTATGCAAGGTCTTGTGCATGTAAAATAACAGAATGTTAAAATTGAAGTAACTGATTACCGATGCGAGAACTCGAAAGGTACAATATTAGTTCACTGAAATATTTCGTCGTCAAATACTTGCATCACCATCGATTATATTATAGATTAACACTAATAACATGTTGCATCTTATCTATCTTATACCAACCATCGTAAACTTTCACGAAGTCATAGGGACAACCCTGTCCACCTTCAAGAATGGAATCAAGTACGACGATTCTGACCATGTAACTTGACGAAACTGCCGTCATCGTCCAAATACATTGCTCATTACTGAAACAGGAGATATATTGAGGTAATTATATATTCATATGTGAGCAGTGAAAGCTTAAAATATGCTTTTTGATGGAGAAGTGGACAGTGTATATCTATCAGCAGTACCGCAATAATACAAATGCATAAAATTGAAAATCACTGGAAGGCAAATTTTAGAGAGCAATATGTGAAATGCTGGACTTCCTGAATGATATCACCTGTATATGAAATTATTAGATATGACATTTTGGAAAGAGGGCGGCATCCCAACGGGCACCAAATGTGCTCCTCTCTTTGTGGATATGTTGTTTTATGCCTATGAATAGGTTTTCTGCTCGTATTTACAAAATATAAAAGCAGGAATTGGGCCAAGAAGTCAAACCTAAGCTTGATATAGATGATCTGAAATCGTTCAGAAATGCAAAATCTCGAATTCCGTTCCACTCATGTACCCTCGAGAACTAGAAATAAATGAAACCAGTGAAACCGCCCAATCTTTTTCATATTTAGATCTTCGTGTATGTATACAGTTTCAGAGTGACGAAAACGTATCCACAGAATTGTATGACAAGAGGGGTGAATTCAACAGAAGGCCAGAAGGTTACGTGAACACCACATAATGCTATTGTTAAGAAACACATGTTCATTAGCCGATCGTGATTTGCTTGCACATCCAGTAAGTTGAAGCGTTCGGGGGTAAAGTTGATAACCATCAAATCTAGCTATTAAAACTTTGGTGTGCCGCCTGCTTCTACTCTGACATAACTTGAAGACGTATCCCTCATAACTTCTCCATTTGTTTATGTTGCATCATGTCTATCAATGTGACAAGACACCGTCCTTAAGTGCCACTTTGGCCAAGATAAGCCACCAAAACACGGCGGCCAGGTTTATGCGAATTAATAGTTCATAGAAATGTTACCGATTATAGCACATCAGATCGAACTTAGATAGACAGACAAGAAATGCGAAAAAGCTACCCCAAGGATGAAGTGCATTTTTAGGGTTATCATCTTCTTGCTCAAACTGAAGTTTGATCATTTAACATATCCATGATCATGCTATGCAAAAAGTTGTACTAAACTAAGTAATTTATCATTAATTGAAGGCCATATATGCACATAGTGATACTGTGTGAGTTTTTAAGCAGAAGATGTAACAGTAAATGTCACAAATTAGAAGTTGAAAGCTGTCAGCACATATCCTTTAAAATCGTGGCTTGTAACAGAATCCTGCGGTAAAATGATTTAATCTGTTCATGACTTTTGATGGACAAAGTAAATACATGTATACAGCGAGCGCATACCACATGTTTTAAATTGGTTTTGCAAAACATTTGTTTTGATGGCAAGGTCATCCGTCTCAATTACCAGCTAAACTAGCAATAAAACGTCTATGTCTTCTCTGTCTTTGATATCTCTGATATCTAGTGGAAATTATGATTCGTCTGAAGGTTAATGGAGACATCTACAAAATTATAGTGCGGTCCCTTCATGATTAACTACATTATAACAAGTTTTGCATGTCAATGTCAGCAACATTTGAGAAAGGAGAACCCTATTCAAGACTGTGCTTAGTTCCGTGATCGTCCGTTCTTGCATCAATTTCAGAGACGTATGTTACCATGATTACTGCGTTTGAAGGTTGTCAATATTCTAAAATATTTATCATTATATATACAGAGGAACATGCCTAGAAATGATAACTTCCGTTTATAATACCACGTCAAAACCACAGTGACAGTCAGGATCGGGATTTGTATCTTAAATTATTTAAAATTTGTTCATTTCAATCTATATACTTCGTACATGTACTTTGAATTTGAATTTCATTTTGAAATACATGCATATGTTTGAAAATAATTCTGGTTTTTAGATGCTGAAATATTTATAAAGAAAATGCTATCCAGTGTTTACATCTACTTTTCAGTTTGAGAGTCTGAAAATCTTATCACAAGTTATCTGGAAAAAGAACATTGGAACAATTGAATTGGTTCAGAAATTTGTTGGTTCTGAATGAAATTCTTTTTTTAATCCGAGGTTAAATTGACACGCAAACATGCATGTGTTGTGATTGATTGTGAGTACATTTTGTACTTATTAGTATTGTAATAAGTGAGTGAGTGAGTAAGTATGGTTTTACGCCGCTTTTAGCAGTATTCCAGCAATATCACGGCGGGGGACACCAGAAATGGGCGTCACACATTGTGCCCATGTCGGGAATCGAACCCGGGTCTTCGGCATGACGAACGAACGCTTTAACCACTAGGCTACCCAACCGCCCCAGTATTGTAATAAGAGTTGATGTTGAATATCAACACAAAGTCTTGGTATTGATATATTTAAGAGCCACTGTCCTTTCATTGTTACAAACTATTTACGTTTTTGTTTTGTTTCTGTGTGTAATGAGGCGGGAGTAGTAAGAAACTGAAACACAAATTCAAATAATGCACCAACGGTCGTTTAAAGGTTACAGTACTGTGGCATCTTGTGAACGTATACAATATTGTGGAGCTGGTTCATCAAGCTGTTATTAATGTAATAGAAATAGAATCACAATAAGACAGTCGCAATACGGTTCATTACGCAAAAACAACATATGCAGAAATTACATAGTCTTTAAAACTAGTGTTTGATGAGACGGACAAGGCAAATCACATACATTTATTGTGATATCAAATTGTCCAGTTAAACCATATAAAAGGTTTTACTATTGCCAACCTGAATGTATTTTAAATACCAAATTTTCAAACAAACATCTTTCACATTTGAAATAGGAAACACGTAATACATTCAATGCGCAATGTACACATACATATAATATGTTTCGAATGCAATTCAGGATTAGCCGTACCTTTGTGTTCTTTGGGATCACGCAGCATAGAAAAGTATGAAAACATGAGTTATTTAATATACAGAATGTATTTTATCACTAAGGCATTTCAGTAAGGCGGTCTAAAAATATGTAATGACGGATTGAGTCAAATGTGATATTGTTCGCTGGTTTACATTCTAGGATATATTTCGGGTCAGTTTTCAAACGCTCAAATGTTACCATGTGTCGAAATAGAAATGATTGATGTACTTACTTTGCATAAGAGACAGGATATCCGGGGGATTGAAGGTACTGGGGCCCTGTAAGGGCGGACAGAGATGCAGGACCACACTTCACTGGAAAATGAAATTTTAACAGTTTTATAGGCTCTGCAGTTATACAGATCAATTGGATCATTCAGCGGTCAAAGGCTATACGTGTTTTGCACCAGATAACCCTGATAAGAGTATTTGAGGTGAGGTGAGGTGAAATGGGGTTTAACGTCGCGTCCAAGATTATTGCACTTATATAGCGACGTGCATGTACATGTGTGTGTGTGGCTGCTTGTACTAGTCCGGACTGATGCCGATTTATAGTGCTAGCTCACTGAGATACCATGCCGCAGTTTAACATGAATACCCCACTCAGACACAGTATACTGACTCCGAGCCGACCAGTCCTTGTTTTAGCCCCTTAATGCCGAGCGCCAGGCAGGGTAACAACAAGTACCATCTTTTAACGTCGTTTGGTATGACGCGGCCGGGGATCGAACCCGGGACCTTCCGCTCTCCGGGCGGACGCTCTACCACTAGACCACGGAGGCGGTTCTATAAGTGATGAAGTCGTAGATGTTTACTTCGGAGGTGAAAAAGAATGAGCAGTGCTGACAAATTAAGGAATGTAATCGGGGTATCTGAACGTAACTTTTTGTATATCGAGTTTCGCCACCGTAGAACACAATGCCACTTGTGCACACAAACTTGCCTTTCAGCAACGTGTAGATTATCGTTATGAGATTTTATTATTCGCTCGTGCTGACTGATGTTTTATTTTCAGGACTCACTTCAGATACTTCATTTACAATCAGAATTGTAAAACAGTGTGCAGACGATTATGATCATTGACCTTGGATGTTTTTAAGCCCATCAAGCTCTCAAAATGACCTAATATCTTGGGCACAATAAACAATGCACAATGCGTCTGGTGACAAAAAATATTGCGCGTTTATTTCAACATGACAGAGAATTTCTCTTTTGACGCAAGACAAATATATATCAAGCTTTACCTGGAGTTTGGACACTCATGTACTTGATACGGAAGCCCCTGTCTACAATCACATCATCTGTCTTAAATTCCACTGTCATCGGGCCTGCTGATCGGTATGTTGGTGTCTTATTGCCACAAAACCTTCCCAGTTCATCGTTGTTAACAACTGGTGCCGTAACAAAATATTACACTCGTACAGATACAAACATAAATATATAGATAAGTCATTGAACAATGTGATACCTATGCACTTTCATAATTTGTTTTCCTTAAGTAACGATTTTATGTTAAAATGCTCAGATTTATCATACGTAAGTAAATGGTATTTTTTTTCTTCATGTAAGTACAATATAACTAGAGGATTTCTCCTTGTAGATCTCTTTACTCGCCTTGCATACATGGCAGTGTGTATCCAATAATTCTCCATAGACCATCGTGACACTATATGTTTAAATGGGATGAAAATTGACATGGTCATATTCATTTTCCAGAAAACTCATACAACTCAAATATTCTAGCAACGTAAAAGGCCAAAGGTAATACCGTCATAAGCAGTCACTGAGTCATTGCTGCATGACGGGTAGGTGCCCTCAATTTCTGAGTCGATGACGTCAAGTTGAACAGACTTGCCACCATATGCCACGATTACCCACGCACATTCCAAGTCACTGGTAACAGCAACAAAAAGGTTATGCTGAAATCCAAACCATAATTGCAGTCTCTATTCCCCAAATACAGGTATATATAAATACCAACCTGCATGCTTATCATACATACATATGCGTGTAGGTGTTGCATGTCCCAAATGAGGCATGAGTGACACAGTCGTCAGGGGAGCCGAGTTTCATGATTGCGGATCTTTTCCTCTTAGTTCGTGTTACCCATGTATATCGGCATCTGTCAGTGTTTTGTGGCCATCACAATACATATATGTGCGTTGTCCTATTGCTGTGGTTATTTTCAAGCATGTATGTTAACATTGCGTTGTCCTATGTGTATGGATACATACATAAACGTTGTGTGCGTGGTTTCCTGTGTGTATCGAATAGACAAAGGCATGTATCTATGTGCGTTAATAATTTGTACAGCGCATTTTCCAATTAGCAACTGCTCAAATGCGCTCAGACCAGACGTGATCAAGATGCTGGTCAATATTTGAAGGGTTACACATATTCAAGAGAAATGAGATTGGTTCGATGCATGAAAGAACATGCTGGTATGTTGTGTGAACCGATGCTCATGAACACATCACATGACTCGAGATTTGTCTCGTGCAGAATCAGCGTGTGAAGTTTGGAAATCACGTGCAGCATATCGTGATAAAAATAAAGTCACTGTGGTAATACATGTCTGATTGTCAGTTTTGTCATTAATTGGTACCCATTGGAAACATCTCTTCTTAACGAAGATACGTCTCTATATATTTCTATGGTTCGCATTTCGTTTGTCGGTGAGTATATATATGTACCTATCCCCATGTGTATGGATTATCTTTATATAAACAAGCATGTATATATGTGCACCATCATAATTATACATGCATGTATGGAGATCTATAAAACAAGCGCGTATATATGCGCGTCAAGCACGCATAAAGACGTGCAGGTATGAAATTGTTATTCTTGAGCATGTGAGCATGTGTACAGAAGAGATATAGATGAATTGCATGTCGGGGATTCTTGTCCGTTATGTATAAAAGGTCTGAGTAAGTTTAACATGTACAAGTCATGTATTATACAATCTATGTCAATGATATTTTGTTCGACCAAGAGACGTTAAAAGATGGTACTTGTTGTTATCCTGTCTGGCGCTCTGCATTAAGGGGCTAAACACACACACACACACACACACACACACACACACACACACACACACACACACACACACACACACACACACACACACACACAAACACACAGTGTGGGGTATTCATGTTAAACTGCGGCATGGTATCTCAGTGAGCTAGCACTATAAATCGGCATCAGTCCGGACTAGTACAAGCAGCCACACACACACACATGTACATGCAAGTCGCTATATAAGTGCAATAATCTTGGACGCGACGTTAAACCCCATTTCACCTCACGACCTCACCATTTGTGTTCGTCATGTTTGACAATCCATGTAAATGTTGTCTGTTCAATGCATAATTATCTATTTATTGGTGGAAGGCGTAAATGATCGACAAAGGGTAAGCTAATGAAGAGGTCAGGAAATAGCACTGAATGGTTGTACTACACTTGAAACGTACTTATCATATGCATCCGGGTATCCAGGTGATACGAAATACAGCGGGGTTGTGTCAGTTAGCATTGTCAGGTTGCAAACGCCAGCTATTGATGAAGAAAGATGCTTCAGTACACGTAACAGGATATTGATAAGCTTTAGCAAACAATGCAACATACATACATTGCACTTGAGAGGATAATTTAAAAAAGCCGTTAAGGTAAATGCATAATTATGATAATTTCATTTGTAATACAATACAAAGAGAGAGAGTTGTCTAAGGCGCTGCAATTATGGAATTCGAATCCAAGATTTGCCCTGTTTATGATCGTCGGTATATTAGCGTCAGCATCGTCAGAAGTACATAGGAAACTAGAATACGGGCAATCATTTTCCATGTTCAAGTTACTCTCAGTGTTTAACAGGATTATATGGCTTCGACACAAACTCCAACATACCTTCAACCGTCTTGAATTTTAGAGAAAATCCTTTCCCGACTGTGGCAGTATCACTCTTGAAATCAATCCTCATTTTGTTTTTGGAACTCTGAAGAAAAGGTATGGTAGTGCCACAGACGTGTCCGAGCAGCTGTTCGTCTAAAGGAAGTAAAAATAATTAACAGTACTGTTGTCATAAGCTCAGCATACAGTGGAATCAATGCATTGTCAATACTTTTGTTTGTTTGTTGTTTAACGCCGCACTCAGCAATATTCCAGCTATATGACGGCGGTCTGTAAATAATCGAGTCTGGACCAGACAATCCATTGATTGACATCACGAGCATCGATCCACGCAATTGGGATATATGACATGCATCAACCAAGTCAGCGAGACTGACCACCCGATCCCGTTAGTCGCCTCTTACGACAAGCAAAGTCGCATTTTACGGCAAGCATGGGCTGCTGAAGACCTATTCTACCCCGGATCTTCACGGGTATGTCAATATGTACATATATCAATATAAGATTTGTCATTAAAACTAACACTTTATTTATCCGTATGATCCATTTCGGAGAAAGTTAATTAAGAATTGACTTTCACTTTGTCTGAGTTCATTGAAGTATGAACCTTTATAGTGAGGGCCAAACGGTATGAACGTCGGAACTTGCTGTTGTCATAAGCTCAGCATACAATTGACTGTCAATTAATGAATTGTCGAGATGTACATGTATCAATATAAGATTTGTCATTAAAACTGACACTTTTTTATCCGTATGACCTCTTCCGGAGAAAGTTAATTAAGAATTGACTTTCACTTTGTCTGAGTTCATTGAAGTATGAACCTTCATAGTGAGGGCCAAACGGTATGAACGTCGGAACTTGCTGTTGTCATAAGCTCAGCATACAATTGACTGTCAATCAATGAATTGTCGAGATGTACATAAATCAATTTGTCATTAAAACTGACACTTTTTTATCCGTATGACCTCTTCCGAAGAAAGTTATAATATGATAAATTAAGAATTGACTTTCACTTTGTCTGAGTTCATTGAAGTATGAAGTATGGGCCAAACGGTATGAACGTCGGAACTTGCAATTTGTTTACACTGACTGCCATACAACAACCAGCTGCGTAAAGTAGTTCTTCAAAACGAGAAGTAACATGAGAGTATGTATGCACAAATTGCTCTTCAGCAATATCACCATTAGATGAGAAAGGTCTGTTAAGAACTACCTCAGTAAGTCAGTCACAATGACAGCGCGTCGTTATACATTAACATCAAGTACAACCGCCGTTATATAGCCGGGATATTGATGTGTGCGGCGTTAAACAACAAACAAAATAACATCAAGTACAAGACGTCAAAATGACCGATACGATAAACGTGACGGGATAGATTTCGGAAGTTGTTTATGAACCTGTGGCGGTTACATGTTTCAGTCATCATTGATCAACTGACCGGTCATTGAAAGGTGATGAAATATGTGCCAAATAGACACTAAGGTAAATTAATAGATTGCTGTAGACTGTCACTGACAGCCTGGACACGGATCGAGTCGAAACTACGATAGTTCGGAAGTGCATTTCTTCATTGTTCATTAGGATGAGTCGTAGCGTGGATATTCGTGAACAATAATGCAGTCAAACTCTCTAACGTTTAACAATGTATGCTGAAACGCTGCATTCGAGATGAAAGGGTCTAAATGTTCAGAAAGAACGCCTCTGTATGTATTCGTGCTGGAGATATTCCCAGGGGTTTCCCCAGGAATGTGGAAGTAGTCCGTCAGTGTTTACGCCATTACAAGAACACGGTCTCGAGAAAAACGTATGAACGTCAAATTGTGTCAAAGTCGACCTTCCGCACCACATAACGGATGCTGTCCACGGCCTCGGAGAAAGGATCATCACCCGGATGGCTTATATCGTACTCACTGTCGTTTGTGTGGTCGTTGTAGACGGAAACTGAGTCATAGCCACAACCTTCCCCTGTCTCCACATCCATTTCGTGAAACGTCATAACTATTGTATCATTTTCATTCTCGGCCGAGAAGTTCCACGTGCACATCATATTACTGCAACACATTTACAAAACCCATGTACTGCTGGCATGTAAACTCAATATCTACTCGGGTCTCATTTTTGAAAAAATTCAAACCTTTATCCAATATCAGCAAGGGTCTAGAAATATTAAAAGATCTTAGTTAAAAATATGATTATCAACTTACGTTCAAAGCTAAGCTATCTTAAGTTTACGATCGCGATAAGATTTAGTTTCGAAACCATTTTAAATTTGTTGCATGTCGTAACTATGACAGAGAACTAATTTGTGTTGGAGATTTAAAATGTGGGTTGTTGTCCTAGCTCAGGCGACAACATGGAAGATGAAGTTACACGGATATAACGATCGGCTGATGGTCGCCACCAGGTCATCAATTTAACAAAGTCATCTTTTTGTGGTGATATTCCGCACAATCAGAGAATTCATTTTCCGCACAATCCTACACATGTCCGTCATGCAGACATTTTGTTGTTATTTTAAAAAAAACCATGACTACCTTAACAGTACCGAAAGTACCGAAGTTGCTATGTGGTAAACCAGTGGAATAATCATACAACAGATGACTGCATACTATAACCGCTCTCGTGTCTGAGGGCCTATCACACCTAGCCTATTTGAGTCGCCAGAGCCATACCGGAGCACACATTTGGCGATACTCGGGCATCGGTACTAGTACGGCAGCGCAACGGTATCATATCGCTAAGAACGGTAGTACATCGTAAGGACTTCGTCAGAACATCGGCGATAAATTTGGCAACGGCAGGCGACGGTAGAAATTTTTGAACATGCTAAAATAATTCCGCCGTCGTGCTGCCGGAGTGAGCAACGGGGCTACAACGGCAGTACAACGTGTACTCCGGTATGACTTCGTTAATGTCCGTAGAGCACCGGTAGCGCCCCGGAATGGATCGGCGGCTCTCCGGGGGCCTCAATGTGTACCGTACTGGTGATCAGGAATACCACCGAAGTAGTTCCGATGCGCCGCCGATGTGATACCGGAGCTCCACCGTCACATCGGCAGCACAACGGTATTAATCCGCTACAGCTCCGGTCAACGGTGGTACATCAGCATAATATCGGCGCACAAAGGTGACAGAAAAGTGGTATTCGGTAGCACATCGGCTCTTTCATCGGTAGGACAACGGTATCGCAACGGGAACGCCGGTACTACATCGGTGTTGCTACGCTCAATTTTGATTTTTCAAGTGCTTTCTCGCCGGAACTCCGCCGATTTTCTCGCCCTTGTGTATTTTTTGCTCCGGTTTAGTCCCGGCAAGGTACATCGGTAGTGTGTGACAGGCCCTAACGTGTAATGCATCTGTGCAACGTAATTCGTTTTCACACTAAAGTAAGTACGCAAACATAATCGGGGCGGACCGGGAATGGAACCCACAATCATACGGTCAACATGTGAATATTCATGATTGGATCTCACTCATAAGCCATATGGATGTATAAACATGTATGTTAAAGAAAACGTGTATAATCAGATATAATGTATAATACCTAATGCTCTCAGAGAATGTACAAAATCCCTGAAATGTTCAAGCGTAGACACATTTTTTAACAATAAATATTCCCTGAAGTGAAAGTTCATCAGTTTATGCTGAGCCTGTCTCACCCCAATGTCTTTCACCCACCATCATGTCACTTATGTCGGACACAAGCGTAAAGCTTAGTTTAATATACACTTCAAGGCACACACAATCAAATTGTCAGATATACTCACTTGACGTACTGATAAGGAAAGCCAGGTGACAGAAATGTTGTTTCGTCAGGTGTTGCTGTCAGCTCCCCTCCGCATCCTTAGAAAAGAATTATCGCCAAAAATCTCAACTGACATCGGGAAATTATTGAATCCTAGAAGGGAAATTGTCGCGTTAGATCGCATTGTTGCCCTTACAAAAACAAGCAAAACCAGTCAAAATCTTGGCCATTTGTCGCATTGTCGCGCTTTCAATTCTCTTTTTTTTAATGTTACCAAAGGTCGACAACGCGACATTTTTCAAGGACAAAATATGTCGCATTGTCGCATTGTCGTGCCTTTATCACTGTTTATTTTTTAAATTTTAATAAAACTATAAAAAATTATAAAACGAAAACTGGCCATTGTCGCATTGTCGCGCTTTGGTTAATTTTGACACATTTTGCTCATTTGTGTATGGGCGATAATACGACAATGTCTCTTCTAGGATTCCACAGGTAATGCTTATATTATCACTAAGTTACTTTTCAACGCTTTTCCAAACCGACTTCTGTGAGTCCTTGGTTTCAATCGATGCTGGTTTTGACATCCACTGTTGAGCGCATTAATGAATTTTGTGGTCAAGCAATATCAATGAGACATAATCGGACTTTCACAGGAATTTTACCATCAGATTTGAATGAATTTACTTATGAAGCGTCAACGATAACCAATCTCCATTGTCATAGATCAAATTCTAAATAATACACAAAACTACAGTTGAAGAGATCACATATAGATGGTTGGTGGAGAAATGCTTGACTGTCCTGTTTCGGAACTTTCGAAATGCCATTTTTTAAACTCTACATGTACATATTTATGTGAATATAAACTGATTCGACCTTTTGCGAGGTAATTGTGACTAAATAACCTACTTGTTGTTTCAGAAAACTCAAGAAGGAAGCCTTTGAGCTGGTCACTGCCGTCGGTTTTAAACACGATAAAGATGGATCTACCAGAACTCATCACGGTGGTGAGCTTCCGCCCACACAGTCGCCCAAGAGGAGAGCCTGTAGAGTCTGTCCCTGTTAAGAAATACGACACGAACGTTCAAACTATTCTACTAAATGTTTGACAGGGGGACTGATAAATGGAGCTTCTTGGTATCAATACTGATATGCTTGTGAGTGTGGTTTCCATGAAATGATAGCGATTTCCTTGCCAAACGCTGAGAACATAATTGTGCAAGAGGAATGTTACTAAAATTGCTATTTTCAAAGACAAATTAAATCGACAATTGTACATTGTTAGAACGAAATCAATGCCGGTTTTAAATTATTATGTTTGGTCTTGACAAAACAATTCAAATTTCTTATAATTTAAAATAATAAACTAGCATTAGCGAGCAGTGGCAGTGCTTTATTAACATTCGAATACTAAACCTCATCAGTTCTTTTATATGGATAATAACATGTTATGAAGGTAACACATTATTCGGATAGACGTTAGGCATACCATCTTACCATCATTAAGCGACAGTCAATCGGTATGTGTCAACTATGTATTTTTTAGATCGACAACTAAAACTTACCAATCAACTAAAGGTTATATTATTTATAATCGTAATTTTTCATCGATGTTAGGTATTTAATCTTACCATCATAAAATGACAGACTATCGTAAGTGCAATTTGTTGATTGTTCGATAGAAGAATCCAGGACCCTCACAATAACGCTGTTGGCTTCGTTACTGGCATCAATCCTCCACCAGCAATTGAGTTGACTGCAGGTAAACAAATAATGCAATACTTGTTAGCAATAGTAACTTTGATTGGCCAGGTGTATCGTGACATTGAGCATTAGATCCCTATTTACTAGTATGAAATCTAGGTATACGGGTGGCCCAGTCATCTGAGGCGAAGCAATTCGCTGTGCAGAAGTGCGTACCTAATATCTATGATTGTGGGTTCGAATCCCGGTTCGCCTCGATTATGTTTCTAGGTTTGTCAGCACCATACCTGTGCTCGTTGGTTTCACCAAAGTGGTAAATGTCTGAGATCTGCATCACTTCAAGGCTTCCTCACACATCAAACTGACAGGCCTTGATATAACTGGAGTACTGTTCAAAGCGGCGTTAACCCCTACTCACTCACACTAGACAATGAAATCTGATTACATGTATACAAAGCAATAATCCTTCTCACACACGGTACGACCATATATCTGAGACTCCGTTTTACTGTACAAATAATGCTTGTTGTCTTATATTGAATGACACAACCCTAAGCTGTGGCAATCTAAACATATTGGCATTATTTTTTTATTATTAATATTATTATCATCATCATCTAATAAGGACCCTTGATAAGGGCCCTCTCTGGCACGCAAAACTTAACTTAACTTAATAAAACAATACTCAGTGAACGTTGTAAACATTTTAAGAAGTATATAATTTGTTCTTTCAAACTTTGCATCTGCAGTTGCGATAGGTTAAAATGTTTCAAATTAGCTTATTTTAGAGGTTTGCCGGAAGTATTCTTCTCTTATTTGATCATAAAAGTGAACATGTCTAATGTGATTTTCGTAGACGGTGCTGGAAATTTAAAGCGTCTGGAGAAGACAAATCATCTAGGGTCTGCGACGTGTTATTGGTACAGGTAGCTCCGATTGTCTCTTCGGACATTTTGCCATACCCAGAAAAAAATCTTTTTCATAACGTTTGATATGTTTTCCAGCCCGCAAAGGGTCCTTATCATGACCAGTAATTTGATTTCACTTCGTTTCTTAATACTTGTGTGCCACAGAATCAACTTGTATTCTGTTGGCATCTTTACAACAATACACTCTTACCTCGGATAGTTGTTATAGGGGTAGCCGGGGGAACTGACATTGGTGGGTGATCTTGTGGTAATTATTTCCACATTGCATGAGTCTGAAAGTACAGTATATTATGATAACGGATAAGTGATTAGGCAGAGTAGCATATGTCCTCATTAGTAATATCTATATCAAATAAAATATATATTTATGTAATAATTATATGTTAAGATATAGGGATAAATAAATTACGTCGTAGTGACGTGGCTGAGTTAATAAAAGTCTTCATCAGTGAAACCGACAGCGTCATGTATATCCCCAATACACTGGGATACAAAACTCCTTCTGTAAGTAGTTAAATGAACTAAAATGTATTAATGTGTTTTACACGTGTATACAGAAATTACAAATTTTAGCCTGTTCTATAACCTGTCTCGAGAAAAAACTAATTTCTGTTTCTCTGTTGACAATTTTTCTTTTGATGATCATCCCCCATTTATTACATAGTGACACTAACAACATCATGGAATTATAAAATATAACGACATTTTGTTTCTAAAATAGACAGCGACAGCAAACAATGATATGTTGGTGACTAATGAAAAAAACGCGTCGATAGTGGTAGCTATCATATTTCAATGTGCAAACAAAACAACGCCTACCTGATCTTGAGAACAAAAGTAAACAGACAGCTGCTGAGCAGAAAACACTTATCCTCATGATTCAGTCACACTTGGATGTAGTCCTCCTTGTTTGTAGGAACACTTCCCTTATTATATCAATATATATGTATGAAATCTACTGGTATTGTGAAGGGTATGAAGGCTAAGCTTTACTGCTGCTGTGGTGACGGTATGTCCTGTGACTGGGATAGGGAAATATGGCCCGTTATCACCTCACATGAACAATGATCAAGACCCACTGTGGACAAAGTACGCTGCGTTTTGAAGCTATCATATTCACTGACTAGGAACCAACGTTTTACTACCTTATGGGTGAGTGGCGGGTGCTACCTGTACGGCAGAGCATGCTTACCCTTTTGCGAAAACCTGGTCTCATGACTGATTTTCAGTGATGAATTCATATAATTTGTCACTGCTATTTTGCATTTTGTGCCTAATGGGGTTTGTTTCGATAAATAATACTAAACTACTGGTCTTTTCTGGCGTTGACGTTTTACAGTTACATCATTATAACTGAAAGATCTGTTGCAGACGCAAAGCCTAATTTGAGCATTTATAAAACAAAATAACTGTCGGTACAAAAGCAAAATTAAACTTCTTCATTAACATTTTATTTGAGTTATGCAAAATATGTTTTCATCTGGGGCAGGAAAACCTTTCCTTTTAACAAACACATGGTATCATCACTATCTGATTCATAAACACATGCTCATAATTTTGTCAGAATCGTACAATGTATATGCTTACGAACAGGGTTTAGTCACTTTTATTCATTTCAAAAACTCCGTAACAACCAATTGGAACAATTGACAAAACAAGCATTTCTACTTGCCATGCAACAATCTAATACACTGTAAACTATTTTTGTTTTTTGTTTTTAAAATGAATAGGGAATCGTCCGTTCATTGTTCGATTAGTAGCTGTTCTAGGATCTAGGATCGACTCACAAGAACGCAACAATGAAATTGATCGGACCAGGCTGACGCTATGTTGTCACCCTTTGTAAACAATTGTGAAATAAATACACTTTACCGTCAACGACTTAAGATACTTTCACAACCGTTAGTCACTGATAGAGTCGCTGGCTCTAATTCCAGGCTCGTGATTGACTACTCCATGCTGATGACCTAAGGTCAGATTATGACGGACTACTTTCCTGATCGCAAGTCATTGATAAAAAAAAGATAAAATTGATAAAATTAGATGCATCGTACATTTCGCTATTTTCTTACACGGTGTTAATCATTTCTGTATGTTTAGAAATAAAATATCGGATATTTACCTTAGGTTTTTAATTTAAAGAATATCATATTAGTGACCACGGTCAGATATCTCTGTTTTTCATCAAATCACCAATGATAATTCTAAAACGTCCCCCATAAGACAAGAATCATTCAGAATGTTTTGGAAAGCCGCAGTGTATTTTCCGCCATATTGGTGTTGTTTCAATACGTATATCTGACGAGCGAAAGTAGTCTCTATATATACTATGCAACTACGTATACTATGCAATAACTATATCATATTGCAATGTCGAATAGGCTTGGTAGGCTTGCATACTATATGGAATATTTTGCTCAAAAGAGAGCAAGGCGGTTTACTTTGAAATCTGCAGGACCGCATTCCACTGCCTCGACCAAGGCAGTCGGTGATTAATAGCTGGTGATTGTTACCAGATGACTCTCGTTTGACCCGCAGGCGACCTGCTACGCTTTGAAAAACAATTAAAAGCTTGGTTATAAGCATAGGGACTAGACCTTTTTTTATTACTTTATCATAATGCCAATTTACTAATACAAACTAAATTCAATTTTGTGCATCTTGTTATGTCAATTAAAAACTGTATTAACGACGACAATGGTAGAGATAATCTTCATATATCTCCATGCATCTCTCGTTTAATATGAAATAATAATCAAACGTTTATTTGTAATAATATAAAGGGATAATAATGACAATAATAAACCTCTTGATTTATCATATGTTTTATTTTCAGTTGAAAATACAATGTATCTTAAGTTAGCGATATTATATTAAAAAATGAACGCTTAGTCAGGACTCAAAGAATACTTCTACTTGTTTTTAATTTTTAGAACATAACTTGATTCAAAACCTTTGAAAATAATAAAAAAATGTTTTCGCTAAATACACTACTGATGGGTATCTGAGCCATCTTATCGTAGGAAATCAACAACTTTTGCAAACTATCAGGCATAAATTTACATTTCAAACATAGTGTGTGTGTGTGTGTGTGTGTGTGTGTTGGGGGGGGGGGGGGGGGGGGGGGGAGGGGGTCATGTGGTTGCAAATGTATTTCTTACCGAGGTCTTCATTGAACCAATTTATTGTTACACTAAATTACCCAGTCATACATTGCTTATTACATGCTGTTGCAGCAATGGATGATCGTTAAATAGACGTCATCAGAATTAACAACAGTTCTTTCAATTTTCAATTTCATAAAACACAAACTCGGTACACTTTCTTTTGCTCTTCGGTGTATCATAATTAAAAGTATATTACTAATCCCAAAGTGAAGTAGTCCTCTGCACTTTACATTTAATGAGGAAATACTTGAACATATTAACTTTTTGAACATTCCAACAACTCATTATCAACCTGATTCAAGTTGACTGCAGACTCCATTCATGCTTCAATCACTGAAAATAATAAATATTGAACTGTTACAAACTGTGCTTTTCATCAACACTTGGAACATATACAATCTTTTGCTTGGACTTTCCTGCTTTTGATTTCGTGGAAGTTCAATCAAGAGTCTACGTTAAGTTTGTTAAGATATCTAATAATATTCTTTCAGCCAATACAAAATCACGGAGTTCTGTATCTGCAGCTTAGTGTTATCGTTTGCCGTTTAGCTTTGGTAGTTAAAAGACAGGGCAACTAGCAGTAATTTAATGACCCATTAGGCAAGGGGTTAACACTCACATCAATTTGGTGATTTTCAGTATTCATGAAGAACATTTCATGTAAGACCAACCTTGTGGTGGGATAGAGGGAATTATGATCATATGCTTTCTAAGTATTTTATGATATCTATAAATTCTCATATTTCTAAATGACTCAGATAGGTACCATAATACATTTTCGGTAATAAAAGCACAGCTGATATTCCAAGACAATGGTAGTAAGCAAATAAGTAAGTGAGTGGTTTAATGACACTTTCAACAATATTTCAATTATGTCACATAAATCACGAGGTGTCAGCTTTCTTGTTGGGGAGGAAGAGCCTAAGCTGGCGCAAGGGGTAAAAGTATACCACATGAAATCCATGAGCAGGGCATATATACTGACAAACCAAGGATAAAAAAAATAGATATAAAAGATGTTTCCATATTATTAAATCAAATTATGAACATTAACATTTATTGTTTGAAATATACATTTCCTCGTAAGTAAATATATAAATGTGCGTCATGAGAAGAAATAAGACTACGGCATATACTTTGAGTCAACAAACTATCATTTATTAACACCAAACGAAAGGCACACTGGTTCTAGAGAAGGATTAAAGATTATGACCTAATGTCACAATTCCAGATATCCCTTATTGTGTTAGTCACTGTCTCTGACAGAGGTGGCGTTCCCACACACATTTGTGACTGAAAAACAGACTCAGAGTTTCACCTCCACAAACATAAACCATACGCACATTCGTTGCAATAATTGAGCCACTCCCACACGGATTTATGATACCATTTGACAGTAAAACATATGCGTAGGATGCCAACATAAACGTGCTGCCCTGGCCGTCTAGAACTCGTTCTAGCGGTAGTATATATATAACAACTAAAGATCTCGACGGCCAATATATATATATAAATTATATACTCCTGACATTTTGAGAAAATAATCGAAATAACGTACTACAAATCGACATTTCAAGTTTTTGAATTAGACTTGAAATAAAGAGAAAATATACGTTAGCTCGAGAATTAATTGGAATAACGAGAAAATAATTAGAGTAATGAGAAAGAACTCGCAATTTCGAGAATAAAATTGAAATCACGAGAAGTGGCACCATTACGCTTTCTTACGTCACTGCGAAAATATAACGTCGTGTTGAAATGTGTTTCCAAGGGTTTGGGATGATAATGCAAGATACGCTCAAGTTTTCGAGAGCACCTAGTGTCCTCACTATTTTATAGTGATTCAGAAACAATGCTATATTGAATTGGACTCTGCTTTCAGAAGAGATTTCTTATCATTATGAAAACAGCTTTGGTGTTTTTATTATCAACGTTTACTGTGGAATCATGAAACACGATGGTACATGACTGCGTCCTTGTATTCAAGATTAACAGTGAAACGCTGAGACGTTCGAGTAGTCATATGATAATGTTATGTCTCTAGTCAAATAACAAGTGTGCCTTCGTTTGACTGCTGACCCCGCGACAGTCAACCACCAAAGACTACAAAGGTTAAATACAATATCCGCCGAAGCATTCCAATGGAATGGAAAAGACAAAATATGTAAATCAGTGATGTTCCCGAAAAGGGGTAAAAAATCAACAACAAAAAATATCTGTTACCTGGCGCCGCACTGCAGCCCGTCCGCCGAGCAACGACAGTTTTTAATTTCATCTGCTATGTGCAGAGTTCCTGCTACATACAGGTAAAGAAATGTGCCCTCTTTGCAACAAAGTAGTGCCTCGGCCGAAACATTGTATTGTAGTTGACCCAGTTTCCCAGGACATCGACCCAGTTCAACCCACTTGTCTGGTCTTAATTATACCCCGAATCAAATTCAAGGACAAAATAGCTGTGAAAATTATAAGAATGGATCGTTGAAACTTAGTATTAACGCCAGATTTTCGCCCCACCGCCAGCACCCGCCACTCACACAATTTTGCTTAAAAAAGAAGGTGTGTGATGCCCGGGCCGCACAGAAGCACCCCCGCGCCATGTTGTGAGCGATGGTAACCGAGGGTAAATATTAACTTGTCGTTGAAGTATAGGATCTTTAAATCATAGCAAAGGAGTGTCTGAGCCCGACATACCAGCTATTGCGAAATGCGTATTCACCGTGCGTGTTGGGGCTACATACAATGATGTCCCACACACCCGGGACATATCCCGATGAACATGTTGCAATCGCGGCGGAGTTTTTTCGCCTATTTCCAGTAGATGCGGAAACAAGGTTTCCCAAGATATTTTGCTAATCCACATTATTTGATTTACAAATTTTTACTTCATGATATTAATATTGTATTTAACCTTCATAAGAAGATACATTTGAAGATACAACCCCGTTTAAATCCGACAATTATATTTATAGATAAACCTTTGATAGGCATTAAGAAGCTGGTTGGAGACAATATATGAATCATTTTATGGACCTCAAAAGCAACACCAAATATTCCTTAGTCATAAGAAGCAGAGTCCAGTGTGCGATTCCGACAATATCATAAGAATGTATTTCTGAATCACTATCATATAGTGGTGGGCCAAGGTGCTCGCGGAAAGGTGGGCGCGCCCTGCCCCACCGGTGGCACCCGTCACAAACACATGTTAGGGCAAAAATGATTCATATGCGTACAGAAAAGATCAGCAAGACGGGGAACAATGAGTAATGAAAACAGAGCTGTTACAGCTGTCGAGTTTACCACATTGTAGGACAGAGGGTTGTGCTCTCACGGCTGTTTGATAGACGACACTTAGATTCGAATCACTCCATGTTGCACGAAACAACTGCACACAGTTTTAACAAGAAATAACGGAATATCAACTATGGCCATCATTTTGAACAGTGGCTTTGAAATCAAGTATCATCCATCAAGTATATATCGATATATTAAGAACAAGCAAATAGTCGACGAAGTCATCTATATCACCCGCCCATTTTAACAGGCTATGGTCCCAAACCAGGTAACTGGCCCAACATTTCTCTTAGCCCATGTCAAAATAGCTGCAATGGAAATCCTAAAATAAAAATTTCTAAAACTCCTTAATATCAAATGGCACCAGTTCATTATGTGCTTTATATACAGACATGCAATGTTTGGCAAGGAAATATTTAACAGTTTATTTGTTATTCTCCATAAGTGAGCCCACCCTATATTAAAACTTAAATCCAACTTGTTGCCATGGAAACATAACAAATTTTTTTTTTTATAATTCCTAAATAGCAAAAGGCACCAGATCAGTATGTGCCTGGTAGACATGCAAAGTTTTGTAAGAATGTATTTAACAGTTTTTGAGTTATGCTCCGGAAATGAACACCACCCTTATATAACCTAGTCCAACTTGTTGCCATGGAAACGTAAAAAATAAAAATGTCTAAAACGAAAACAATTTTTTTAATAAAATTCCTTAATAGCAAAATAAACTCGTTCAGCATGAGTCTGATAGACATGCAAAGATTCGTAGAGAAATATTTATCGGTTTCTGAGTTATGCTCCGGAAACGATTTCGGGACACCCGCACGCACGCACATGCGGACGGACGGAAGCCATTTCAATATCCCCCGCCAACTTCGTTGGGGCGGGGGGTAATTAAAGCCAATCGAATGCGGATAACATACCGTAGAACGACATTACTTCAAGGGTTTGTTGTACCTAAGAGTTAACCAAGTAACCTAATAATGATGCAGTGTATTCAATTGAAAATATTAGATCGATATCTCACTCGCGGTAAATAACGACATTTTGTTGCGTCTGTCGTGTTGACAAAATAATATCAATATAAGATCATGGAATATCACTACGAAAATACTTAATAAATAAAATAATTGTATTTCAAATAATATGATGTTTATCTTTACTCATTATCTGCGCCACTAAGGAAAATGTCAATTGTGTCACTCGGTGACCCCTCTGCGTACAGTATCGTAAAGCTCAGCAATATCCAAGACAATAGTCATCATCTAATGGCGACAAATAGTTAGCTTTTAGTCTTATCTGATTAATCACTTAATGATAAAAAAGATCATGCCGAGACCATGAAATAACACCGTTTATTGCTATGACGAGATAGAACTACGTTTCCGTTTTCTAGCAATTTGCGGATCGCTCAAACGCCCCTTACCTGTGACCTGAGCAAATAAACGTGGTTGTCAATTGATATCGCACCCCTTACGTCACAACCTGTCCTTTTTATACGGAGCGCACCCGAGCTTGTAGGATGTACAGCTAGCTGGCGTTGGGATTAATACAGATGTTGGGGATGTACAAAACTGTAGCCGTCCTTCTCGGTATCCTGTCGTCATTACTAGCCGCAAGTACAGGTAAATTTGCAGGTATTTGTGTATGTAGAGAGTGACACTACCTTGCCAAGAACAGACGTTTATGTTATAGAAAATCGTTATTCTGTGTGACTAAGATAGATCCTTATATTGAGATAACCTGAAATTGGTACCGTCCAGATAACATGATTTCCCTGTTCAAACGCACTCAGTAGCAGTACACAGGTGTGTATATGTAAATGTCGATGTGTAAAATGACTGAACATTTCATTTGAGACCAGATGTTAGCGAAAAGTTGACTATATCCTGCCCACCGGAGATACCCTTCACATACACGTACAAAGGAATCGATAATTGATCAATGACTCAGCAAACTGCTTGTCACGTTTTATCTGTGTACGCAGAATTCTTACTGGAGTAAAACAAGGTCAACATTTCCTTCCCTGTAATTTCCTCGCTCATTGGTATTTGAAAAACCATAGGTTTAGAGAGTGTGAACAGAACACCAGGGTTTCCATGGAGAATGAGAAGTGAAAGTGTGGAAGGAGGATGTATAGCAAGGGCCCTTTTCGGCCCACAGGATCCACATAATTTTCATAAAATACAAAAAAAGAAACAGTACAAACGCATATGTATAAGTTAAAAACCGTCAACTTGGGCCACAGACTTGCTAATTATTTAGACATTTCCAGTGGGTCAAAAATGGTCCCTTGTCCTATCCCGTCCTTTATATACCAGCAAAGGGTTAACAAGGATCGCCCCAAGCCCCACTAAATGACTGCAATTTTATTTTAATATAACAATATAATAACTAATCACATATAAATGGTTACTTATCTCCGGTTGTACTAAGTTCATGTACAAACATAAGCGACAAAACTCATTACATGACCATACGAAATGTCTCTTGTACGATTCCGTCAATATCATGATCATAAGCTTGTGTTTTATTCCTTTGGAAATATCAGCCATTTCAAATGCATGTATATATGTGTAATTAAATATCTTTACAGACAGATGTTTCGAGGAAATCGCTCTTACCGGCGATGCTGTCAACATAACATCGCCCGGATATCCAAACCACTATGGCGCGTAAGCATCAAATGTTTAGATCATATGTTTCTACCTCGTTTGTCAGACACCTCAGCTGTCGGACAGGTAGGTCAACATGAACGGGCAGTGCAGATAAGCTTAGTTACAAATGATCAACCCAGAATCATTTCAAACTTTTCTAAAATATAACGGCATGTTTAGAAATATATTTTAGTCATGTTTAACACATTCAGATGGAAATATATGTATACATTTTTAATAAAGCTGACTATAAATAAATAATTTTTAACTAAACGTACATGAACGATAAAAATAATTCAGTGGTTAAAATATTAAGAGAATAATCAACAAGTAAAAAAAAAAATCATAATATTTAATGTTTGTTCTTACAAATGTATATCAAATATGTTTTCATTCGATCAAAGAGGTTGTATTTACCAAAGAGCCTGCTCGTGGACTTCTGACTCCACTCAAGAAATTGTGTTAAAATTGTGTCCTGTAAATATTGACAATGTAATTTTTCTTTTACATATCTGACTTGTCTAATAAAAACACTACACCGAATCGCACCATATTTTTCACAACTTAAATAATATTTAACAATTGACAATTATGACACGTGCCACCACTTACTTTGTTTATACCTTTTGAGTTTGAGAATCAGTTTCCTGTAGTATTAAACATATACTTGGGTTGTCGTCACATTTTTTCGGGTATTTTGTTAAAGGTGAGTACTCCTAGTTTTGTTGTTGTCATGAAATCTTTGATTAAAAACAATTCACTTCTCATGTTAAAAACAGTGCTGACATCCAAATACTATCTTTTTTTCAATCTTCACACTGTTCACAATAGTGACCTGCTTTGTTTTGAGATCGTTAATCTCCAGGTACTGATCCGTCGAATGTGCTTTTATATACGGTGATCGGTCGACCACTATTTTCTCATTCTTAACTCAATATTCGACCAATCAGGTTTACACCCCCACTGGGTTAGTTCTTTAGTATGTATTGTGTTTCTGATGCAATATGAGATGTTCTGTTAACTTGGAGACAATCAATAGGGTGACAACATGTTCATAGAAAGGCCTTAGGCAGAGTTAAGACATTTCCATCATGAACACTGCAGAGACACTACATCTGTTATCATCCATGTAACTCCAAGTGGAATAGTCATTTCTTGTCCAATAAACTAACAATGGCTAGATAACTGTCGCACATACTATCCGTAACTAACATATCCGTTAATGCAAATATATATTCTATATCACGATGTCATATGGATCAGATGCATGGTGTTTCTTGAGTCCTAGGCAATTCACTTCGTCCAATGTACGACTGTAAACTATTTCTTTGTGTCAAACTCAAACACAATGCTTTATGAAGAATTTATGCGAGCACCATTTGAAATATTAGTCTATATTAGATCTCTTAAGTACTGATAAAAGATCCCTCCTCGCCGTATCTGGAAACACGGTGTAAGCTGTATTTTTGTCAACTTGTTCTTTTGTTACTGAGCAGTCTAATGTCTTTATCTGACACATCCGAACACAGGCAGAGTCACTGTTGTCACAAAATAACAGAGGGCCCGTCTTATCTATGTTAATGTCTTCGTCGAGGACGGCGAGGTCAAGCTGTTCTAACCCTCGATGTCCCAACACAGCCAGCTTGATCCACTATGACGTTAAGTCGTATCACTTAAAGTCAGAATACAGTTTAGATTAAACATATTTATTCAACAATATGAAAAGGATTGGGCACAAGTTATCGCATCTTAGAACGCCCTCTTCCATAGATTTACATGTATGCCTATTTACAATTAATAAATTAAATGACAGAAAGGAAAGGAAAGAAATAGAGAAACGTATGTACATTCACACTGCTCACTCAAACCTTTTTGTATGTATGTATGTACATTCCTAAAAATGCTTTCTTTCCCATGATTAAGTAAAATTGTATTGCCGACTAGCATCAGGTCAATATTTACATCACAAGTATCTTTTACAATTAACAATAGTGAAAGCATCTAGCTGATTTAAATAAAGGACATTCAATAAAAAAAATGATGTGAATTTTCACATGGGCTGCCACATCGGTATCTTTTATCTTCGTTTAAACCTTTTCTAAATAAGTCATTTTTTTAATTCACTATCACCATGTCTTAATTTTGTATGTATTGTGTTAATTGTCCTTAGACCATAAGAGAAATATGATGGAACTGTAGATTCATCACTTCTTAAACTGGATTTAAATCGAGGGAAGGTTTCAATATCCCTTTGCTGAATGTATTCCACAATTTAATAGCGCATGGTATAGACAATGATTCAGATAACGTTGTACGTAATATACGCATAGTTGTATTGTGAGCAGTTTTAAGGTTGTGTGTTACGTTTGTCCCGACAGAGTGAGGTACTAGAGCTTTAAGGTATGAAGGTGTCATATTGTTATATGTTTTATAAAGTAAACATAAGTTACGTTTTCTCCTACGCTCTGATAAGGGCTCCCAGGAAGTTTCGAAATATATGTTTTTGACGGAAGTATAGCTAGGTAAACCAATTACATTTCTTGCTGCTTCCAGTTTGAGCCTTTCTAATCTGTCACTCTGCTCTTTGGTACAACCAAAGTTGATTGAATAAGGTTGTTTAATCTATCATATTTACCTCTTCCTTAACAGCATATATCTCCAGTAAATGATGATTTAGTTGATGAATGTGTTTTCACTGATACATACGTGCCCCTATAATCACTAATCACATTATGAAAACCAATCACTCCAGATTATCTTCACTTACAATTATCGGATCTAGTAAAGTACTCGTTGTTTTAGAAATCTGTGTGGGTTCACTTATCAAATTGCGCAATTCTATCTGTCTAACAAATCATTAACATGAAGTGTTTACGCAGAAGTTTTCAAGATTTTCATTAATATCCCCCCCAACAGTCACTAAATTGCATGTAATATCGAACGCGTTTTCAATTATGTAGTCAAGGCGATTCCAGAAATAATTGTTATTATACTCTGGTCTGTACACAAGTACACAACACACAGAATTTAGGGGTTTTGTGGTAGAAATAGCTGTATCCATATTGTTTCATTAAGAACATTTTCTAATACATTCCATCTTTTATACGTTAACGTTTCATTCATGTACATTGACTATGACACCTCCAGCCTCCAGCCTCCAGCTCCCCCCCTCCCCCCCCCCCCCTCCCCCCCCCCACACACACACAATATCATGGCAGGTGTGCCATCGTAAGGCATCCTCTAGGTGAGTTTCAGTGAAACAAACGTCTTGAAAGTTGAACAATACTCACTTAGAAAATTTAACTTATTGCGTACACTTCTTGTGTTGAGGTGAAATATTGACACAGATTTCTCGTGCTGGTCATTTTCGCTGTTCAGCAGGCCCGGATGGAGCTCCACGTCCCCGACAAGCTGTTGATAAAACAATAGCAATAAAACAATGTTCGTATAACCTGCATGCGTTTGAAAAATTCGGAAACATAGAATAAATGCACATGCTTTCCATTCGGAGATTGGTATAACACCCATTGTGCGTAATTGGTTCAAAAGCGTTTTTGATCGAATTTGCTTTACAAATAGACTATTAATAGAATTGTAGCTAGCTTTGCTAGTATAGGATCGCGATTTAACATGAAAAACCCCAATCGCCACACGAGTTGTACAATGTAATGGCAGATCATTTTTGAAGTAGGTGATTTTTGTGACATAACTGACGGGTGGTATAATTGTCATGTGAACTGGCATATACAAGGGTATATAAAATGTACACGTGGAAAATGATAAAATGGTTGCGTGAGCAGAAACAAAGATACACCCTAGTGTTGCTTGATGATTATAGTTTGTGCATGATGATGGTACAAAGGAACAATACAACTAATATACACGATGGTGCTAATTCACACAGGTGTAATACACCATACGGTATGTAGTCGTGGCGTAGATGGAGATACCAGTGTTATAAGTACAAAATATTCCTTACTAGCTGTACATGTTTGAGATTGGGTTTATATAATATTAACGAGTGTGATTCATATGCACATCAAATGTATGATTCAAATATGAGTTTGTCAGTGAAGAGCCTTGGGCTTTCAATATCATATACAGTAGAATTCAAACCATATACTCTAAGTGACTTGTCAATTGTATTTGATTAGGTCTGATTCATAATCAATGACATGAGTTGTACACTCTGGCTGTTCACATATTTGAATCCTGCCGTCATATGTCCACGCTGCGTGGATCTTCTTCTGTGTCACGAGCCTTCTTAGATAATTTGCTTCTGTAGTGTGTCAGGTCCTCGTTGAGATAGACAGATTGTTTCGTATGTTTGAGTAATTTTCGATTTCTCATGACCTTATTTCTGTCCTAGTTATTTCACAATTATCTGTCTCTTGGTCCCTGTATTCTTCTCTCCCACCCGATGACATCAGTCGATGCCACTAATGCTGATATTTGGATGGACGTCTTTCAACACGTCCAGGATGACGTCCTCGACATTTTCATAGCGGGTCTCAACACCACTTATGCTGATTGATTTTCTTTCGGTGTATTGCTCGAGATCGTCAGTTCTCTTATCTTTGATATGTCACTGACAATTTCTGTGGCAACAAGCATGAAGGACTGTTGGAATTTATCATGAACCTGAGGTAAGATTAGAGCATTTGCCAACTTAGTGGTTATCACATCTATCGATACACGGATCAAATTAGTGCTGACGGATAGGGTTGATCTTTCATACCTGGTATTGTTGATGTTGAGTCTTCATGACTTGTCTTCATGAATTCAGTTCAGGTTCACAGCCAGTTGTCAACAACGATTAACCTTCTTCAAGAGAGATGTGTACAATCATTTACATTAGTACCTCTTCCATGTAGCATGCAGTAATTTGCATTATAAATACCATGGGTATTAATCGTGTTGTCTGAAACCTCATACCACTGTTATGGTAAAATGCCAATATCATCTACTAGGTCCAAGAAACTTACACATCCTTTGTTAAAGTCCCGAAGTATAAATATAAATGCCAATGCCAATATCATCTACTAGGTCCAAGAAACTTACACATCCTTTGTTAAAGTCCCGAAGTATAAATATAAAATCAGTTTGGTGGTTTTTATGAATTTGAAACAGAAGCGCACCTAAAAACTTTATTGCATCGACTTGTCTTGATGAATTCTCTGGTGGTACATGTCACATCACAAAACAACAATCTGTTCAAGTTTAAACTTAAGCCATAAAGTATCTTCTGGTGAGTTATCTAAAGTCTCCACACTAAACCCTTCTTGTAAAGAAGCTCCTACTGATCATGAATAAGTACACCTCCAGGTCCACATTTAGCATTTATAACATGGAGCAAAGTTCTATTGTGGTCATACCAAGTATAACCATTAATTATTAGTTTATTGTCCGCCTTAAGATGTGTCACATAATATCGAAGTTCAGCAAATGTAAACAAGTTCCACGTCACACATGCATGTCTGTAAATGGGTCAGTGGACCAGCGGCAGTGTTCTATATCCCGCATGTACCATAACGACGGCGTTGATTGGTTCTCCTATCTTGACTTGTCTGTTCTTGTGCTCGGCCGCCGACCACTTCTGTCCCTGTCTCTGTTTGCGTGTCTTCTCAGCATCTTGTGATCTGTGTTGATAAACATTCCCATGTGGGAACACATGACATAACAAACTTCAACAACACTGTTTTCTTGTGTTTTCTAATGTAAACCCGAACCCTACACTGAATGTATGTCTACCATGACACTTTTCGAAAGGTTTATCTATTATATGGTCTCTGGTTTACTGAATCCTTGCATACTACCTTGAACAAACAACTTTCGAAAGACCAGCCACTACCCAGCTCCACTCAACCTCCCCACCCCACTTCCCAATCTTGTCGGGAAGAGTTATCTTATCGGTACATGATTAACTGTCTGTTGTACCGCGAGGTTTGATGTGGGCTCAGCGTCGAAGGATTTTGAATTATGTCCGTCACTAGCAACATGCATCCTCAAAGTATATTAACGTTCTGCAATGTCAGTGTAATTCAAATAGCCCAGTGATGCATGCAGGGCTAGTCGACTATCAATCTGGCACAGCTACCTTACAATCCTCTGTGTCACAACTGTCGTGTAACTCTGTCTTGCGGCAACAATTATTTGTAAGACTGACACATATGGTATGTTTATTATTAACTGTCTTAACATAAATAACTAGACTTTCATTACAAATAATGAGCCATCGAAGCTGTACATGTCTTGTATGATTTTCAGTAACGAATTTCCAGTTACTGTTGAGTTACCTTAGTTAAAATACAGCTTCAAATTTATTATTTTAAATAACTCAATAAATACATGAAATATATGCAACACAAATATGCTGTACGGAAATGTCACGCAGTACATTCATAACATACAAGAATCTTTAACTTCGTGCTCAATATCCATCCTACATTTGAATTAGCTCTTATATTCGTACAGCAGATTGTGCGATTTGATCGTTGTATACAGTACATTAGTAATGCACGTGCATAGAAATAATGCATGAGCTTAAACTTCAGCATTGAAGAAAGTGTGTCAGTAAATTGTCAATTCGTTACAGATAAGCTGCAGTTGAAACAATAGAGTGACGTCATAGTTGTTACACAGTTTGTGAATATTTGATAATACCAAGTAAGTTTTACTGGACGATCCATTGGTTGTTGTTAGATCCTTAAATCGACTAAAGACCAATAAAATCAAATAATTACTCCATTCAATAGAGTTAAGACCTTGTTGTAGTGCAAACATCGTGACACTTTACAGGTTGAGGGCATTACTAATGGACAAAGTATTATGTTGATAAGCATTACAACATTCGCCGCCCACACGACTATGAACTTCGTGTTGTAAATGAGAGTAGCACACCTTGAACCAAGTGGACAGTCGTTAACTTATGTAAGCCCTTGTCGCGAATCCCTGTTCTGTGTACTTGATCAGCTGCTGTTAGTTTAACGGTAACGACAACAAAGACCATTTGTCATTTGATTCAAAATGGCAATATTTAATGTGATGGCAGTGGTCAATATCAAATTAAAAAATACAGCGGTATTAGCAAAAATCAGTGATAATAAAGCGAATCAGGGATGATGCTCACATAAAAGCTAGTCCCGAAGCGTTGAAATGCGGGCGATATCTAAACATGCTCGATGTATATAGTCTAACGTGCTACACGTTGCCCTCAACACTCAAGCGACATTAGAAGATAACAGACTATTCTGCATGAGTCCAAGGTATATCATAAGTTTACATATCACACAATCACCTAAATATAGTAACTTCCTAACGACTGCGTACATTAAATAGTACTACATTCCTGAAGACTAATCGCTGCCCAAATACATTGCAATGAGCTTCCACCGAATGTCAACAGCAACAATGTTACACAGTTAAAATCATTCATTGTTCAACAATAAAATACACTGCCATATAACAATATATGAAGGCAATGACAAGGAAGCTTTAAAATGCAAAGAGAATGGCCAATGTCCGTTTTCCAAGGTAAAACATTTCCATTAGTGATGTTGAGTTATCATACTATAATTTATTTTTAAGCAACTAACAGTCATAATGCCTTACATGATGTGCAACCATTTCAATAATATTGACAACATGATTATTTCAGTGACTTAACATGCGGCTGGAAGATAAACGCGTCGTCACCAGATCGTCGAGTAGGCGTTCATACGGCAAACTTGAACTTGGAATCGTCAGCTGATTGTCTTTCCTTCTACGATGGTAAGCACAACATTTGAAAATATTTTAACAATACACCCTGATTTGACACCTATGATTGAGATCGTAAGATAGAAATAATAACAATAGCAGAACTCTAATGCATTATCCCAAAGAAAATATAATGCTCTAGATTTGTAAATTCTTGATGGACATAGGATATATAACGACGGCCTGTAACCCTCGAGCCTTTGTCTTGCGAACTAGAGGTTGATAGCATAAGCAGTGATCAGTATATGATATCTCACTATCAGCACACGATCCTCACTGTAGTTGGCTCTCATAAGCATGGTCCTTGGTCCTTATTCTGATCGAAATCCCCTTCGGTGTCTAAGTTGGTGATTGCTGACTTTGTGCGCTGGTGATTAGGCGCCTCACTCTGGCAGTGTGGACTTAACTCTGGACGGGACTCAACCCCCAAACAGTACTAGAATTTGTACTTTACTAGCAAAGTGTTATTCCAAAATTAACATTCGTTATATCTGACCATTTTCTAAAATGGTATTGTGTGTCAAAAGATGTGTGTATGCGTGTGATTGTCTGACAGAATCGGTCATCTTTTCATGTTATCATTGAGATATTTTTGTCACCAGGACCAGACAATTCATCAAGATCCCTGTTCCAATTTTGTGGCACAAACACAGACAGAGGCACAGGCAGTTTCCTCAGTAGCAGAGATAGCATGTACATACAGTTTACCTCTGATTCCTCCGTGAATGCAGGAGGGTTTCGAATCGTCGTCATTGACTCTGAAAGTGAGTATACTGTCATGCGACACTATATTCGGTTCACGAATTCTATCCAAAAGATAAAAATGCCACAATAAGAAAATGAAATATAAATAAATAAAATGTATTTTCTTTGCCTCGACGCTTTTTAGGTGGTTGAGAAGAATGTAGAAAAATAATATTATAAATCATGAGAAAATTATGTTATATATCATGTAGTTTCGATCACGAACCTTGATACAACTTAAGTTTGTTTATCCGATATTTATAGTAACTTAGTAGTTATTTAGGTATTGATTATGATCTTCGACTTTGTGAAATATGTATTCCTGGCTTCACTGGCGATGAAATACATACCTTACTTAAATGTGCTACATATTTAGATTTTGAGCCTTATGTTCATCCCCGATATATATAATAACAGGAAGAGTGTCATGTCATAAAGAGGTCTATTGAATTGTATTTGTGTATGAATGTAGCCAAATAACTGAAAAAGGCCATAAGTATACGATTATTAAAATTGTCACTGTCCAATCAATAATGATCACAATTGCGCTTGCCTCCTATGTATATCACTCATCTCTTTCATATTTACATGGGCCTATTACCTCCAAAGTTAAATATTAGTTTAGTAAATACAAGATTTATTTCCTTGTCTAAACCGACTCACGCAAACAACTTTATTTAGTTTTTTAACACAAAATGCTCCTCAATGCTTATTTCATTTTTAAATACTTTTCAAAGGGTAAGAAAAATACGTACAGCATAAAATGTCGTTTTAGACGTACATGGATATTTATTGCAGTACAATAGAATTTTACTTTCGTTATATAGCACACCCGTTTCAAAGTCAATGTCTTTGTGATCTTTTTAGCTTTACGAACAGCAATGCCTCGTAATATTGAAACCTAAAACATGTTTTCCTTTGGTGTCCACCCAATCTACCTTTATGTTGAAAACTCTTGTCTTTGCAGAATGTGGCGGAACGCTGACAGCAACATCAGAAGTGGCGAATCTCCCCTCCCCGGGGTATCCTTACATGTATTTTAAGTAAGTTCTAGATATAGCTCAACTACAAACTGTTTGTGAAATTTCATCATATGTTACCAACTAAATTCATCTATTCAGTAGATTAATTTTGTCAACTGTACACTTGCGACCTGGCGTCACCGAAGTAAACATAAAATGAGATGGCTTTATTCATGGCAGTTGTCTAATTTCTCCCTATTGCCTAAATTCATGAACACTACCATGAACACGCTTTTTGTCCCATCCATTAAACTAAACGTTTATTGACATACGAATTATTATACTCGTAACATGTAAAAATAACATAAGAAATTAGCTGTATATGAACTACAGTCAATTCTTAATAATATAAAGTTGAGCAAAGCAACTTTACAAGAGATCATTGGAAACTTTTCATCATACATCATAACTTGGAAGGCAATGTAGAACACTCAACATACAAGAATGTTTTTATGTTGTCAGTGATCTTAGGTGCACGTGGATCATTACAGCAGAAAATGAAAACGAAACAGTTGGACTGACAACTCTCAATTCAGATATCGAGGGATCTGGAGCCTCCTGCCGCTATGACGTTCTTCGTGTTTATACCGGAAACACAATTGAAGGTACTTACATGCATGGATATGTACAACAATATACCCAATCATATTTACACCACAATAATCTCTTGGGGATTAAGGACCAGACTACATCTCTTTGGGTCCTGTGCCTGTCGTCAGAATCTACTGAAGGCAGAATGTGCCTTCACTGTTTGTGTACTCATAATACCAACAGCTGAGTTATCGGTCCAAGATATGATTATTAACATCTGGGAATATGGTTAGTGGGGCGCCATTGTGTATGGAATCGAACTGATAATAATTCATGTTTTGTCCCAAAAATAATTGATACAAAAATTATGATAAATACACGCAAGCATAATCTATTTACATAGATCCAAACCGAACTAATTTAAAATCTGCACATAATGAAACAAAATAGGAAATGTTTCAAAGACTGGGTAGGAACGGAACCCACTCTTAATGAAGGGTGTATGTACGTGGACAATAGCAGCATGCATTCTTTCCCAGGGTACCATTTTTGTTTCATGTCTGTGCATGCTCGGAGCTTACTACCTTCTAATAACCTTGGACTCTTTGAAGTACCTTTGAACTACACATCAACATATCTATATAGTGCATCTGGTTACATCGCTAAGTAATCATACTTTTGCGGATGACCAGGTAAAATTGGTTCCTAGCAACCTATGCTTGTCGTCGGAGATGCCTCAATGAATAGGTTTATTGCATGTCATCGTACCCAGACGGTGGGTCGTTCTTCCTAAAAGCGTAAACTGGTTTGTCTGGCCCAGCCTTGACTACTTACAGGTCGTCGTCTAACTAGACTTTTGCTGAGTGCATCGTTAAAAAAACAAACAACAACAAACGTAATTACAATCTAAGACATATCTTTGTCGTTATCAATAACTGTAACTGTTCTATGCTAACTTCAGTGGCATACGTGTATGTGAGAGTGACTACGAAAACAGTTATGCGCTGCAGGTTGCTTATAGCAAATGTATGTTTACTGTACTACCGTCTGAGGTATCAGATCACCGTTTTATATAATTATAATGATTAATTTATAAGCATTGACTAAATTTGAAATGGTTTGTGTTTCAGATGATCAATATCTTGGGGAATCCTGTTCAAAGCAACTACCAACATACCAAAGTTCAAAGAATTCGCTGTTGGTTCATTTCACCACCGATGTGAGCACAACTAAGCAAGGCTTCGTGCTACAATATGTTGCACGTAAAGGTATGTGGCTTACAGCTACATCTGAAGTTAAATACTGAATGTAGATCGTAATTTGGTACAGTAAAACATTGTTAACGCGAACACAATTGCCTTCGTGTAACTGATATCGACACATCACTGAAGTATCCACATTGAGTATTCGCGTATGTCAAACAACGGATAATGCGAAACATTCGATGGTCCCAAGGCCTTCGACTTGCAATGTATCTTTTATGTCAACCTTTCGATCCAGGCAATTTAAACAACTATAGAAGATTAAGATTTTGTTATCAAGAAGACTGTCTGGTATTCGAAAGTACATTCACGGTTTGTGATTGTAGACGACTCTTATGGTTAATATTAAGAATTGGGGAACTTCAATTAATCACACATGTTGGAGGGCGATGTAGTGTTGCTCGTTGTAATCTGTAATCTCGTATTGGTACAATGTGTGAAGCCCATTTCTGGTGTTATTGCTGGAATATTGCTAAAAGCGGCGTAAAACTATACTCACTGTAATCTCTTAAATTGTGTATTCTAGGAATAATTGAAATGAACGCCACTTATGTTGGCATGCCCACATTTCACTGCCTTAAGATAAAAATATATGCATAGTTTTATTTCAATAAAACGAACGTGTGTAAATTCAAAATATTTTAAGAATATTAGTTTTATTAATTGTATGAAAACGTACCCGTTTACCACTGAAAAATGAATCTTGCTGAATTTGTGAACATGGACCTGGGACCTTTATACTGAATAAATTGCGTGAACATTGTCAGGATGACATACAATACTGTTATGTGTATTTTGTTTAATGGGTTGTGATGCAACAGAATGAAAAGTTGAAATTAATCAAAATGCATTTGACATTGCTACAGCGGGCGACTGCAACAATACGTATGCGGTGAAGGCCACAGACAAGTACATTATGTCACCCGGATACCCCGATATTTATGACAGGTATGTTACATAACTTATTCTCGCTCTATACCTTTTCAGTCAAAAGCATGTATATCCGTGCGACACCGTTGCAAATTAAACCGTCGAGAGTTTCGGATTAAGGATCAATACATGTACTATTGAATCTATAATCATGTAGACAGTTATCAACAAACAATGTGGATCCAAATTAACAGGACTTCACTGTGTAATACAATTGCATGGATGTCTAGTTTAATTGAAGTAATAGCTGCTCATTCGCAAAGTATTCAAGGAGAAAACCCTATTCTTATTTGACTGGCTTGTCATTGAGGAAATGCTGTATGGCATATGGGCCAAATATCACCGCATTATCCTAAGAAAAAAGCGCAACAGGTTATTTGCAATACGTTATTAAGAGTGAACATATAACTCTTACGACCTACGAATATTGTAATATCTGTCCCGAGAAGATTAATTTTGCAAATACGTTCCTTTCCGAGGGAGAGATAATTCCAGCGTACGTTACTTTATGTATTACGGTAGTTTTTTCCTCACTTTTGGGGGCTTTTCTCCCTCATTAAACTGTCACTACGTGATAGAACTGAAAACAGCCCTAAGACCAAATAATTTTAATCACTGTCAGGACGTTATTTATAAGCATATCTTATAGTGAGTGAGTGACCATATAGTGAGTGAGTGAGTTGGGTTTAACGCCGCTTTTAACAGTATTCCAGTTATATCACGGCGTGTCAGCTTAATGTAGGAGGAAAGCCCAAAGTGATGCAGGTCTTGGACGTTTACCACTTCGGTGAAACCCACGAGCACGGGTATGGTGCTGACAAACCTAGAAACATAATCGGGGCAAACCGGGATTCGAACCCACAATCATTACTTATAAGCACTGAAGAGCGACATAAAAAAAACCCACAGGATTTGTTTGAACTTTCACCTTTTACAGAAAAGAATCAAGTTCATTTATGTCATTTAAGTTTTCAACTTCAACCACGATCCTAAATGTAAAACTTAATGGAAACTGCATTCCTTTATCCATACATGTGGTGACCATATATGTAGTTAGATCTCTATCTTAAACGGTTCAGGAAACTTTGTCCAAAATTGAAAGCAAAAGCCATCTGATGTTAACTGTTGAAAACAATTTGTAAAATGCCTGACTTGCTCATATACAACATCCATGTGGAATTTTGGGATGTGACATTTAGGCACATGGTAGACATCCCAATGGGCAGAAATTGAGTTCTCTTCAATGATTCGTAATGCTCTATATCTGCTCGGTTAGGCAAAATAAAAACAAGGAACTTTGGCCGATAAGTTTTGTACATTTAATATGCAAACAAATGAAACCGGATATTGATTGTGACCGTTCTGTAATTTTTATTCACCATATTCCTGTCAAGTCACGCTGTATTAAATTGACAATCTGTGAGACACATGCCTATCTGCAAACCTCTTCTTATAATTGTGTAATGTTTAGTCTTGCTCAGACGTTAAAAATCGTTTCAGTAACTTGGAATGCTTCATAACATTCGCCGATGTAACATTAACATCAAGCAACTTGAAGCTGGACATTGTCAGCTTGGATGTAGATGGTGACTTCCCCAACTGCGGGGATGACTCGGTTACTCTTTATCAAGGTATGTGACTGAATTTCACAAACAGAGAAAAGGACCTGGGTGTTGTTTATTCAATGCAAAACATTAAAGCTAGCGGTTAGTTGAGTACACTTCGATACTTTGATAAATACTTCACTAAATGTATATGATCACAGCTACGTTTGATTTTGAGTATACACCATTGTTAGTGGTGAACACGGTATGACAGTGGGTGTGAGTTGTTCGAATCACACTCATCTTATCGTTTTCGATCATTTAGTACCTGTGCTCATTGGTTTCGAAGTGATTAAAAACATTCCAGGTTAATTGCACCCTGCTCACTCCTGCCACTCCATTAAATAACTGAAATTACTGTTCAAAATGTCGTTAATTTAATTCACCCACTCACGCATTTTAGTTTATGCATAAATGAACCGTGACAGAGATACTAGTAAATATGGACTTTTTTAAGTTTTGTGAATTTTGTAGCAATACAAAACAAAATAGCAAAACAAATTACTTTCATGACAACCTAATCATCAAAGCAATTTGGACCTAATTATCCCAAGAGCACTGTATAATTAACGTGCGAGGAATGACGAAGCTATCAACAACAAAATCTTTGTTGTGTATTATTTTGTGAGGAGTATATATGTTCTGGTTCTAGGTGTGAGTGGGCAACTCATTGGAAAGTTTTGTGGTGATTCTTCAAATACCCCATTTGGGCCGTTCTACTCCAACGGAATATTTATGACAATGGTATTCAAAACCAACGGTGTCTCAAATGGTCGGGGCTTCCGAATCCGCGTTTCACACAGTGAACGAAAAGGTAGGTAAACCCTAAAAAAAAACAGACATAGAGGTTTACATCAGCACAAGAGTGTCTCAACAGATTCTGTTTTGTATTTTCGAAATTGTTTGGCTTTGTGGCATAATGTTGTTTGTTTGTTTGTTGTTTAACGCTGCACTCAGCAATATCCAGCTAAATGACAGCGGTCTATAAATAATCGAGCATGGACTTGACATCATGAGCATCGATCCACGTAATTGGGATACGATGGCATGCATCAACCAAGTCAGCGAGCCTGACCACCCGATCCCATTTAGTCGCCTCTTACGAGAAGCATAATCGCCTTTTACAGCAAGCATGGTGGCATGATGTGATTAAATACGTCAATGTTTCAGTTGTACCACCCCAGTCAAAGGATTGTGGCTCTCAGTTCCTTAATGCAACCATACATCCACAATATTTACAGTCCCCTGGATACCCTGTAGAATTGTCAAGGTAAGTAATCACCTTGAGCATGTATATTTATATGTGTATTTAGAGATAATTATACGAGCATGTGTGTCATACTATTGTTCCGAAACTCGTGTCAGTATTCTTGAATTTTCCGAGCGAAAGTGATTGTCATCGTGAATTCTTAAATACACGAGTTTGGTAAAAACAGTATGACACACGTGCGAGTGTAAAAATTTCTTTATTAACCGTGATTAATCCTTTGAAATCCCATTTAGAAAAAAAACACAGATCACCACAACCGTCTTAGAAAACCACAATTGTGACGTCAACTTCGACAATCTTCAGCTATGACCTCGTTTATAGTATGACGTCTTTCCGACCTTAAGTCACAATAACTTTCGAATAACGTAAACAATTCACTGTTGAGCGTGAAATGATATTTTCACAAGTGCACATACGATTTTTATGAATTCGGTTATTTCTAACCCTATGGTTAATAAACGTGCGTAAGTTCATGAGTGCATGCTTGAAGAAATACGATTCATGCAGTCTCGATTTGACAAAAAGCCTCTACACCATCGACACATTATTTATTTGATGTTTATTTTTACCTAGTCTTTAAAATCACGTACATGTAAATAACATATCATTCAGTGTCATTTTAGTTATGTTTCCTTATTCTGTTATGAGGATAAAACGTGGAAAAACGTCAACTCCGTCTTTACGTGCATGTCGATGATAATACTACTTAACTAAATTCTTGTTGCAGCCATAAAGACTGTGTGTGGACAATAACGGCTTCAAATCCTAACATGATGGTGCGCATTGATGTCATTGACTCGGATATATACTCTACAGATACAAGTTACGTATATTGCAGAAATGACCGTGTTTGGGCTTACGACGGTGAGTGATTGTAATTTCTACTCCGTTACACGCATTGCGGGGCATAGATTCAAGTACAATATGTGAACCCATTGCCTTTATATTTTAAACAAAAAAGTAAGGGCCATGGACTGTTTTGTTCAGTATATATGTATGTGTATCGCTTTCAAGAAAACACTTTTATGGTTCGATATGTCAAACATTTGAAATACTGGGTTCACGTTGCTTTATTTTCACACCTTTGCCGTCAAGGCTCGTATGACCTCATATACGTTATGACTACGCAAAACACTATTATGCAAGCTGATACGTTCTCATTAGGTCACCAGCTTAATCACCCCCCTTAATCACCCCGCCAGTTCTTTAGACGTTAGTGAGAGTGTGGGACACCTGGGTTTCCAATAAATTTTAAGCGTTTACTCACATGTTATCATTCACATTGGGTATTGATTGTTTGTTGGGTATTCAGTGTATTATTACTCTTTCAGTCTATTGGGGTTTGTAAACCCATGAGAGGACCTTTTCGAAATAATTATTCTTCTGTGCTGTTTTATATGTTTAAGCTTCTAATTAGCATGTGTTTATGTTGCGTAACTTCATTACAGTGATACAAGTTACAATAAGCGAGATGTACATTTATGCATTAATCACTGGTGTGAATTTCTTGTATTCACGATGCCTGCATTCAGTCAGTAAGACACGATCTGTAAAAGTAGTTGTGTACGCAAGGTGAATAAAACGGTATTGGGTAATTACGAACAGTATTGTTCTATTATAAGGTTATCTAATTAAAGCATGCGATTTTTTTCGCAAGCAACTCAATTGGATTATGGTTATTTTCAAATGTAGTTTGCGCATTTAACGCAACAACGTAGCTCATTTAGTGCTCTGAAAAAGTATGAAAATATTACCATCTTGTACAGATCCCTCCCCTTCTTCCCCTCTTCCTCTGCCCCGTGGATTATTGGATAATATATCACACGAGCAGATCGCAAATACAAATACACATGCACACATGCTCGCTCACGGTTCATAAAGTGTAACGAAATCCAATGAGTGGTACTTGCCGTCCTTCGCACTTGTCTGGTCACCATACTATGGCCATGACCGCATGTTTGCATACCCATGCTAAATGCATACGTATGTAAAATATGCAAACAGGTGTAAATATTTCATGCGAACGCTATTGCATACGTGTGCAAATGTGCACCAGAGGTATATTCACATCAAGTCGAGAGGTTGTACAGATGTATAATTAGGTATATTTACATATGTGCAGATTTCACAATGATTTGTTCTCACCCCTGTAGAATATTTCAGTGTTGGTAAAAAGTCTGGCATCGTGGAAAACATACCCGATAATAATATGTTTCTAAAAATAAACCGATGATCGCAAACACCCTCCATTATTAATGAATACCACGCCTGGCGATTTAGGCATGTGCCTCTGTTTGTCCACTTTTAGAGATATAAGGCCCATCCATATCATCTGGCAAAGTTGACTACTGCCGAACTTTGCTCACTTGGCAAGGAGACGAAGTCGTCCATGAGATATTAACTTAAAACTCACAAACATGGATTCTATCGAACACTGTAATTTTGCGAACACCCAAAGGTTACCCACAGTTCTGTATTCCGCTGTATGATTCTAACCGTTTTCTCTACTGGCATTAGGTTCAGGTGCTCCTTAACTTCAGCAAACGAGTGTGCGTATCACAATTAGCATACCATTCATTGTCAATACCATTATGGTTCATACTTTCGCACCAAACCGTATCTCTGTCAATCTGCCATACATTTTGTCTTAGGCCAGCCAGTATTGTCAAAAACAATTATAAATGGAAAAGATTATTTTATATATATATTACCCTTTCAAGTGCTTGTATATATTAAGTTGATAATATGTGTGAAAGGTACATGATCCCTGTATAAATACTCAGTCTGTTATTGCGTTCTGCATGTTCACTCATGAACATATCTAGAATTGACCATTTGAACATAATACCCTTCGGATTCAAGTTAACAGTATAATCATATTCCTATCACCTTCAGATCTAGTATATTATATTAATATAAAGTACGCTGTATTTTGCTCTGCTGTCAGCTACAATACTAAATCTTATATGGGACATGTACGTAGGATATTACATTTATACCTTGTAAAAATGTGTTAATGTTTAAAACAGGTGCTTTGGATTTACGATTATTACGATTAAGTCCCTAAAGGAACAGAGGCTCTGTAGGTTTTAGCTGAACACGTTATGCAACATACAACACATGCCGGGAGCTCAACATCAACATAAACATGTTTATGAAACTGTGGAATGTAGTTAATGGTGTCCTTCCTGTGTGACCGCATCCCTTGCCCGGGTCATTACGTTCACAGCAAATCTACTGTGACAATCGTTGTATCAAACTCAAAATTTAATCACAGTGCAATTAAATGAAGCATGTCAGAAGAGAAATGTCGATCATTGTGTGAGACCCTTTAAGTGATCAATCACGTATTCTTATTTGATAATATCGTCCAACCAAACACATTTAAATACTCCATTGCACTTGCTGTTTCCTACTTTGCTTGTGCTATATTGCCTTAATAATTCCTTCCAGGACCTTCGATCTTTAATGACACGATATCTTTCTGGTGCGGCCCATCACGACCTACTCTTCTAAGCACTGGATCAGCTATAACAATTCAGTACCATTCAACAGGCAGCAGCGGTTTCAAGTTGGCATATTTTGAAACGAATGGTATTTACGTGTTTAGAATTTCAATTCCCTTAGGCCTGTCGGCAATGAATGAAATGTCTGTAAATATACATAACTCAACACAGAGAGAGATATGTTAAGCGGAGTATGGGTAGAGTTGCGGTCTGAGGCACCACGTGTGTCTGGCAAAATGACGCTCCTTAATCATGACAAACTCTGGTGGTCACGGTTTTGAATTCAAGATTTGTTTGAACTTTGGTTTGTCAGCACCACAACCGAATGTTTATTGTCTGCTTTGGCTTTCTCAAAACAAGCTGACATACCGTGATATTACGAACACCTAATGGCGCCACTTGGTAGCATATATATAAAATACATTTTTTTAATCGAAATTTCTCGTTATTTCAAATATTTGTTTATTTTCTCGATATTTCGATATTTTTATTGTTTGTTCGATAATATAGTCGTAATTTAAATAATTTTCTCGTTACTTCGATTTTTTTCTGAATTCATTTCTAAATTTTGAATTTTTTCTCGCTGCTTCATTCATTTACTCGTTATTTCAATTAGATTCTTGTTTCAATTATTTCGAAAAAATAATATGAATTAACACCGAGAAAAAAATTGAAGTTCGAGATTTCGAAATAAACTTGACATAATGAGAAAATAATCGAACCTAAGAGAACATAATCGAAATAACGAGAAAACACTCGAAACAACGAGAAGAACAAAATCGAAATTTCGAGTTTGTTGGATAAATTGAAATAACGAGAAAATATTCGAAGATACGAAATACAACTTGTTATTTCGAGAAAATAATTGAAATTACGAGCAATTTCGATAAAAAAAACCCGTAATGCTACCAAAGTGGGACCATTAGGCTTTTGTATGATACTGATGAAATTAACTGTCGTAAGCTCATAACATTAATGAACTCACTCACCATTTTTCAGAACAATATCATTGTGGAGGGACATTGAATATTACTACAGCTGACTATACAACCGTGACATCGCCTAACTACCCTGGACCGTACCCAAAGTAAGAACATGTATACAAAATTGCACGTTATGACAAGTAATGCATTTGTGTACATGATATAATACTCAATACTCGTGAGTAATGTGCACTGAATATGATTAAATGTAGGGCATTTCGCGAATTTAAAATATGTAGTTGTTATTCAAGATAAACACATCAGTACACAACCAGAACTATCCTGAACCTGATGCATCCGAGAAATAGTTAAAATTGTTTTTCCGCTACCCATGCTTGTCTTAAGAGGCGACTAACGGGATCGATCAGGCCCGTTGAAATTGGTGGATGCATTACATCGTATCACGATGTCAGACTGGCTTGTCTGATCCAGACACGATTACTGACATACCGCCGTCATATAGCTGGACTAAGTGCGGCGTTAAACAACAAACAAACAAGCCAAATAATAAACAAAATAGAGTCTGTAACTATTTTAGCAAAAGTGACAAAACCCTTTTCATAATTAAAAGTAATCGTCGTCTTGTTTACGAGTCTGCTCATATCATAAGTGTATGTTTACGAGTCACTATCATGGGATGATACTAGATAATAAGTTGAGCGTATCCTGCACCAGTGGTGGCACCTGTCACAAAGACATTCCAAGACACGTCAAGTGTTCATCTGAAGAACAAGGTGACATGTTACCATGGTACAGGTTAAATAATTGCATAATACAATATTTGGTCCATATCAATCATAAACCATACATGGAATTGAAAGCTTTGAAATTACAACGTCCTTGAATGTCCCTCATCAAAACACTTTTGAGTAAGTCATGCGGATCAGTAATCAGGTGAGCACAATTGCTGCCCAGTTGTTATGTCTTATCCCCAAAATTCAATTACAATTATTGTAGATGTTGTCTCAGAGAAAGACGAGCGTTTCAATTATCTTAGATGTAGTTGTTGTGGACACAGAGCACCCATGAACTGGTACATGTACAATTCTTTCACCTTTATATATTCCGGAGTGCCCTGATGAGGATTTAAAATACCAGTCTGAAATGATTGTTATTTCAGCCGCCAGAATTGCGTCTGGATCATATATGCTCCAGCAAACACGAATATTGAAGCTAAAGTCAGAAACACAAAGATTGAGTCAACAACACCATGTCGTTACGATTACCTGCAAATTTACGATGGTAATTATTATTATAATTTTATATAAAATGACATTTACTTATACTAGCACTACAGTGTAAAAATGTAATTGAAACGAACAGATGTGAACATAATATGCTGAACAAAAGGCAACGCCTCCGATGTCTGGAGATAGAGCGTCCGCCCGGAGAGCGGAAGGTCCGAGTTTCCATCCGCGGCCGCGTCATACCAAAAGACGTTAAATCCTGGTACTTGTTGTTACCCTGTCTGGCATTCAGGGGCAAAAACAAGGACTGGTCGGCTCGGAGTCAGTATACTGTGTCTGAGTAGGGTATTCATGTTAAACTGCGGCATGGAATCTCAGGGGGCTAGCACTATAAATCGGCATCAGTCCGGATTAGTACAAGCAGCCACACACACACACGCACATGTGCCTGCTACAAGCTCGGACGCGACGTTAAACCCCATTTCACATCACCTCACCTAAAATATAGGCGCTAGCAAATTACACAACACATCCGTTTTCATGATTCCGACGGATTTCCAGGTGGTTCCATATGGTTTTATTATTCCCCGAGAAGAGTACTGTCGTTTACAATTCTGTCTTAGCTGTATCAGGATCCGCGGCTCGAGCGTTTGCATCCGCGATTCGGCCGATAATATTTTTCTTGGATATTAACCATTGAAACCGTTCTCATGGGTTTCACCAACATTGCAAACGTCTACGACGTCTTTTTGGCTCTTTCCACTGAAATACAGTTCGGAGCAGCGTTATATTATACATATTCATAAATAAAATATGAATAATGATATTACTCATTTGGTTGGTATTGTAAATATCTAATTCGCGTTAACACGTTTATGTGCTCAGGTCTGGTGTTCAGTTCATCAATTGCAAGCACCGGGAAGTTATGTGGGGATGACAACACTAGCAGCATTAAATATTATCCATTATGATATTATTCAGATGATTGGTATTGCAAATAGCTGACTTAACACGTTTGTATGCACAGGCATGAGATCCAGTGTATCGGACCCAGGGAGGTACTGTGGGAATGACAACATTGACTACATCAGTTCCGGTCACATCATCACCGTGAGCTTCTATTCTGACTCTTCGATGAGACACAAAGGATTTCAAATGCTTCTCAAGGCGGGACACTTCAGAGGTGCGAAACATGGATGCGCAATTCCAACACGGGAAACAAATGATTTTGTATATACGTTTTGCAGTACATGTGACAGGGCAGTATTCGACCCTGGCGAGTACTGACACTTTCCTGCACATATATACTCTGAGGCAAAGTAACCGCGTTCTTGTATAGTACATTCTGCGTTTTAGAACATGTTAAATACGACTCTCTTTTTCAAAAAGAGCGCTTTCTCAAGGCGGGACACTTTAGTGGTTCGAAACGTGGATGTGCAATTCCAACATTGGAAACACATGATGTTATATATATGTTCTGTAGCAGAGGGGACATAGACAGTATTTCTTCCTCAAGAATAGTGGCTCTTTCTTGTGTGTATATATACTCTAAGGAAGATGTAACCGTGGCCATGTTTTGGTTTATTGCATTGTGATTTTCAGAAGCACATACTCAAAACCATTGACCACATAGCCATTGCAACATGGTTCCACGGACCTTTGTTCGTGAAATATGGAGATTTCAAAACATTATTGAAAATATTTGAATATTACTTTTGTGTGCATTGCATAAGGTACGATGAATTTTCTAGTCTTTTGCATATTTGGATATATACAGCAATTTGAAAGGGACAGGAAAATGAGATTTTCCTTTCCTTCTTATCTCAATATGAATCAAGATACCCTGGTATCGCAACCTCGGCCTTTCCACCCACATCAAGCTGACCACAAGCTAACGGTGAAATTGGCGTCAAACTCACTCACTCATTCCGGAGGTGGCTTTATTGCTTCCGTCCGTCCTGGCATGTTTTCGCTGTTCACTAGCTGAAAGATTGTGATGGAATGTAAACGAGAACTCATCGTTTGTATAGCCCAGCGAGGGATGTTGAACGTGCATGTTGGTGCGTTTCGTCGCCAGGCTCCCTACACCAATCCTTTTCGGCAACACTCTGAAATATTTACAATGTTACGAATTTTGCGGGTTTTTTTTGCAGATTATCTATTATATATATATAAAATTAGACATCATTCTATCATTTTAGCCCATGAGACGATGGAGCTGTCAGCTTCCTATTTCACCGCCTACATACTTTCTCCGAATTACCCATTTAATTACCCGAGGTAAGAAATACACACTCGACGATGCATGTTTTTATACAATTCCGACCATTAATGCCCTTTATAGACTTCGACCATGACTACCATGCCATACTTAAAGAAGGAAATAAATATTTGGTCAAAAACTCCTTCCTTGGCGGGTGTGACAATATAGGCGTGAAAATTAAATACTGATCCCTGCAACACTAAATAGAAGAAAAACAACAACGACGACGACGAAGGCAAAATAATGATAATGATAAGACTGTACTTTCGATTAATAAAATACGTAGTGGGAACAACCACCAATCATAAGTCAGAACAATAAGTAGAACAAGCCAAGGTTCATCATTTGACATATTAAAAAATAACAATACGTGTATGTTCTTTATTAAAGTAACACTGAGTCCAGCTGGAAGATCACTGCGGGTCGAGACTACACTGTCATGATCGAGGTTAAGGAATCAAGCCTCGAAAGGTCTTTTGGTTGTCTCAGTGACTTCGTGGAGGCGTTTGATGGTGAGGGATTTACCATGTGATATTCTGGGGTTCCATGTTTAGTTGGTATACCAGCATACCCCTAATATATAATGGCTGGTCCCTATATTGAATTCCATTGGTTCACTGCAGTCTTTGTCTTGGAAATTGAGAAAATGTTAAATGATGTTTCGTGCGTATATGCGCTCGTGTGTGTATACTTTCCAGGGATGTTTGTACCAGTTTTCTGTTCCACTGACTCCTGCTCTATTTGAGGCTATGATCTACGTGACTGCAATGCAAGTCTCCGATATGAATGGAGGACTTGGAAAACACTTGCCTGAATTTGCTTGATATATATGCTAAACGAGTGAAAGCGAGTCAGATACCAGACCTATTCACGAGTTTCCTAAAATTGGTATTACACGGAGTGAGTTTTGAATTTTTTTTATTATTTGCCATTTATAATTTTTTTTAGAATTTCACTGTCGTGTATGAGTAGGCAGACACCTACACGATCCACAACGTAATCCAATTGAGTTTAAAAGAATCATACTTCAAATACGTCAAATGTTGACACATATTAATTAATACCACAGCACGGCCCACCTTTAGAATTCAGGCGTCCGTTCCACAAAGTCATCGAAGCGCTAAGGTTATCGTAGCTCACATACTTTAACAGAAACTTGCGACGACTGTCGTTGCGTTACAATACGATCGCCTTGTGGAACGGGACCTGCACCACAAAGTTTACAATGACGTCACAATACTCTATGACGTCATTTGTTGAATAGTGTTGCAAGATCCAACGGCGAAACAATGCCATGTGACGTCAGCCAAACAACTGGAGTCATTAAAAATGTACATAAGCTCCTCTCAGTGATCTATCATCTCCTCATGCAATGTCGTTAAATAAGCCAAGTGATGCTGAGAGCTTGCAATGTTTGTTCGTGTAAATTGTTCCCGCAGTACATAAGCACGCGCTTTGGTATTACACAATGTGTAACACAGCTGTATGTTTATTAAACAGGTGATCTATTCACGGGCAAGTAATATAAGAAAATATGACATATTTGTTCTTTTAAAGGTTCGGACTCTAACGCCCCCTCACTTGGTCGCTGGTGTGGAAAAAGTGAACCATTGAAAACAAGTTCTGGATCTGTCATGTTCCTGAAATTCAAGTCAGATTCATCTGGTGTTGATCGTGGGTTCAAGATCAAGTATACCAAAGAATTTAATCCATCATTTGGTAGGTGTTTGACACGGTGGGACACGCTGAATGTATTACCCCATTAAACTTGTTATCAATTGACAAGAAATTGGAGACATACATTTACAAGAAGTGTGCAAATACGGTGGGGTGTGACTAGGACGAGGGGTTAAGTTACAAAAATATCTCGTGCCCACGCAATACGACCATTGTCCGGTGTTCAAAGGGTTTTAGCTGTCTTCTGTCCTCGAAAGGTCCTCTGTATAGGCTTGTGACATATGTTCCGGGTTCTTTTTCGGGAGAACACTTGACTTGCCTCGCATGTGTTTTGTCATAGTAGGCACCGATGGGGCAGGATACGCTCAGCTTCACACGAATGCCATCGCTGTGTGATGTTGATTCATGGCCTCATGCTCATAATGGTGAAGGAGGCGTACAGGGGACTCTGGTTTCAGGACGGATTTCTTATGATTAAGGACGGAGTTGGGTCGGTCTTCTGTGAATCGTTGCATGACAGAGTCCTTCAAATAATCCATTTTTTTTAATTCATATAAGCATAAGAATAAGAGTTTAGTGACTCATTGTATTTGTGCCCTTCGCGCTCCCATCTGTTGCCTGCAAAACTCTACTCATGTCTACTCTATAACATTCCATAGATAAAGAAAGACAAGTTCTATGGATGAACAACTTCTTTATTACAGTTAGTGCGACGTTTCAGTGTAGATCCTACACCTTTATCAAGCAAGGTGTTAGGATCTACACCGAAACGTCGCACTAATTGTAATAAAGAAGTTGTTTATCCATAGTACTTGTCTTTCTTCATCACACCAACTTCTAAATGCCACTGAAAGGAGTTATTCCATAGATAGCCTAATTGCAAAAATAGATGCCAATTAAAATGGGCTCAACTGGACTTTATTGGTAGAATTGGTATTTGAAACTTCCTCCGAATGACATTTTCCAGTTGTTTTGTTTATGCAATTGTATCCTTTCTGGCAATACGTGTAGAGTAACTACGGGACTGTCAGGGTCAAACATAGTCTGATGATATGCTGGCCAATGGAAAATTTAATATGACAATACACAGAACCACAGTAAGAACATTGAACCATTTAGAAACAAACTCTGGGAATTGCTTTTGAAAGAAGAAAGATTTTGTACTGTCACGTCAACCTTGGTTGAACAGATATTGAGAATAAGCTTCAGACATTTTACTGCCTGCTAATTGTATAAACGTGAGAGAAAGACTGAAAGTAGTAAGATAGAACCTGACATGTTATTTATCTGATACCGTTAAGGGGAGACAACTTCATCAATGTTTTCGGTCTACTTGTCAGTTGTTCCCTGAATACTGAAGTGTGATGAGGGAGATGAAGACTATATTTTACAAATTGTTTGTTTTATTATTTAAGTAAGTGCATGTGCAAATACATTGAAGGAATCAATTACTTTGGTACCAAATATGTGAATTATGTTATCCATTTAATTTGTACTATAAAAAATAAATACATAAAGATCTTATTACTACTCGAAGTTACTTCGAACTTTTGTTCGTTAAAATATGTGAAATATGTTATCAATTTCATTTGTACTCTATGAAATAAGTACATAAAGATCTTATTTCTACTCGAAGTTCCTTACTTGGACGTTTTGCTTGTTAAAATATGTGAATTATGTTATCAACTTAATTCAGGTGGTCGAAGTTCTTTACTTCGTCGTTTTGCTTGTTAAAATATGTGAATAATGTAATCAATTTATTTTGTACTCCATGAAGTAAGTACATAAAGGTCTTATAACTTCTCGAAGTTCTTTGCTTCGACGTTTTGCTTGTTAAAATATATTTTGTCTGTTAACAATATGTTACATAGGAGGAAAGTCCAATATGACAATTATATTAATAATAGAGAGAAATGCCCGTGATACTAAAGGTCTGCTTTGTACACGTGTACATATATGAATCGTTTCAACCATTGTACAATCGAGAGCTGTAACCAGTTGAAACCATTGTATAAAATTGATAAAACCTAATCACCGAACTATCAGCAATTTGTTGCTTTCATAAAACTTAATGTAGCGACATACGGGAACTATATTGGTGAGGTGAAGTGAAATGGTGTTTAACGTCGCGTTCAAAGTTATATGGCGACTTGTACTTATATGGTCAAACTGAGAATAACACAATGGCAAATATGAGATTTGAAACAACACTCATTGGAAGGGATGATATGTACAATATATGGCATGACTTTGGACATGAACTTAACAATGCTTTATCCAGTATGATATAATGTGAGTTTATCATCTTATTTTACAGATACTAAATCACATGTTGGAGCAATTGTTGGGGGTTCAATTGGTGGCTCGGTTCTGATGCTACTCATAATCAGCGGAATCGCCATATTCATCTACAAAAAGAATCAACGCATTCCCACCAATGTACCAATGTATTATACCGTAGGCCAGGTACCAACGGTAAGCAACTTTGGCCAAGGACCGATGACCAACACTATGCCCCCAACAAACTTCACTGGACCTCCTTCCTACTTAACGTCAAACCAGCCGGTTGCCACGCCTTCTTCAACGCACCTCAATTCGGAAACGTTGCCCCCAAAATTTTAAAGTACTATGTGTACAATCATCATCGATTAGCAGAAGTATTAATTTATATTTCCATTCTGTTATGAATACAATATGGACCGATTCCGTGCCATATTTTCGTCATGACCCCAATGTGAATAACATCCCATAGACGTCCAATGGCATAACTCCTGGTTCAGGTAAGAGATGGAGCGATGAAGATGAAGCTGTGGCGAATAGCTCCAGGGTCTTAACTTAATAGAATGAAAATATACACAAGGTAATCGATGATAGTATACGGCATAATGTTATAAATAAAGATCTGAATCTGTTATCTCAATAAATGTTCATGTTTTTGTTCAGGAGAAATGAAATTATATTATTTGTAGCAGTTACGAGAATGTACTGTAGTTATTTGATGTTTACTTTGGTGTACTTAAACGTTGTAAAGAACTGTATAATGTCAATATTCAGTGCTCGTGTGAACGCATCTGCATTTTTCAAACCTCAGAGCCGGATGCTTATGTTTGAAGTGTGTTACATATTCGTACTCGAAACAGATCGGAAATAATTTGTATTATTTTTAATGAATCTCTGTAAAAGCAGGGGAGTTTATCGGCTTTTTGATTTGTGTTATATATTTTACTTTAACATTCCAATAAAGCGACCATTGAAGACTTGCACAGTTGTGTCTGTTTTTGTTCTGTCTGTTTTATGAAAACTATGAACGAGTGGATTGCTTCAGGTTCCATAGTTATCCCCCGCCCAATTAAGTTGGCGGGGATATAGATACGGGCTCCGTCCGTCCGTCCGTCCGACCGTCCATACGTACGTCCGTACGTCACGTTTCGTTTCCGGAGCATAACTCATAAATCGTTCAATATTTTTTCATCAAACTTTGCAGGTCTGTCAGGTACATGCTGAACTGGTGCCTTTTGCTATTTAGAAATTTTAGAAAAAAATTGTTTTTACGTTTCCATGGCAACAAGATTGACTTAGGTTCCAAACTCTTCTTTCTTTTACAATTTCCATGAAAAGTTCCACCTCGGTTAAAAAAGGTTAGGGTTTGTTTAAATTTAATTATGTCATAAATTCTGCAACAGGGGCGGGGGATATAGCCACGTTAGTGGCAAACTCTTGTTATGTTCTGAGGCAATGCTGGCGACTGCAAAAAATTCAAAACGTAGAAAATGTCTTATATTCTATATAGAACGCTTGAGTTTAATATTAGAGATATATAAACTAGCGGGCAAAGGAAACGCCACCAAATAAATAATGGTCGTGAGTTGTAAACAAATTGGCCAAACAGCACGAAAACAGTTGGGAACACATAGCTGGAAAGCAACTTACCCATTCCCTGTGGACATGTGCACATGTTTCACATGATTAGCGAGAAAAGCGAATTTAATCCCTAAAAAATGCAAAATGTGCACAAAGTTACCCATTTGAGCTGCTTCAAGTGCACCATCGCCTGACTTGTCACACGCAACAGGCAAACTGGCAGTACTGCAAACAGGCCGAGGAGTGGAAGACCCAAGGTCACGACCCCACAGGAAGACTGGTATTTACGGGTGCTTCACCTAAGGTTAAGATTCCTAACTCTGACGTCATCATCCGCAAACAGCCTTGGACATCCAGTCAGCAGGAGGACCGATGCTATTCGACTCCGCCTGTATGGCCCCCGTGCCTATCGACTTTTGCCAGGGCACGATGTTAACGTTTCTACACTGACGTCACAGACGGAGATGGGCTAGGACTTTTTGGCAAAGAGTGCTCTTCAGCGACGAGAGTAGGTGCCAGCTCTTCAAGTCTGATGGACGTTTTCGAATCTACCGACGACGTGGTAAACGGACGACACGTTGTTGCGTCCAAGAAGTGGAGCCTTAAGGAGGATGTAGTGTCATGGTCAGGAGTGGCATCTGCGGTGACCAGAAGACAGATCTGGTCATCATCGACGGAAATCTCACTGCACGTCGTTACGTTGATGAGGTTTTGCGCCTGTGGTACTGCCTTTCCTGAAGCGACACCCACGGACGCTGTTTCAGCAGGACAAGGCCACCCGTCACACAGCTCGAGTCACAAGCGACTTTCTGACCGTATTACAGTGACCAGCCGGACCTCTGAGACCAACGTGGACGCAGGATTGGACGGAAACGTCAACAGCCGCCATTGGCGAGGGTTGCCTTGGCAATTGAACAGGATGTCAGGAGACTCGTGTACTCAGTTCGACGTCGTGTTGCATCGTTGCATCGTTGCTGGAGGGGGTCACATCCGATACTGAGCCATGTGTGTAGCACGAGATATTAAACGAGATCAACGTTGATTCTGCGGGTGTCATCGAATACTGGACAGTGCACCCAGCATGATAAACGTTTCTGCAGGACTTTAAGTACATGTTGTTTTTTAGCTTGTCATTTTCAAATACCGTTTTCGAATAAATTGTCTTTTTATAATAAAACATCAACTGTTACTAAATTTTGCGTCTTTTTTGTTTTAGACCAGAAAATGTTTTGGTGGCGTTTCATTTGCCCGTTTCCATGTCTGTATTATTATAATGATCATAAGCTGAAACCATGGATGTGTGTCGTAAGCACACAGACTAGCACAACACTCCGCCTGCAACACAAACATCTGAGGCTGAATCAATGAACAAATGCAATTCCTAGTTCGTAAATATTTAATGACAAAAATGGAATCTAAGTAAAATTGACCATGGTACAAGAACTGTAAATCACGTGGGACTTATGGAAACTGATGGGTTCACTAATATGTTGAAGGAATTAAGTAATCGATGGTTACATTCATATTGATTTTGAAAATTTTCATCATTTATGACCGACCGAGTTGTGTTTTAGATCGCTATCAGCTTTCAACAGACACGTAAGAAAGAGGGTGACACCACGAATGGTCTTCACACATTACATCCAAATGGGGATTTGAACATGGGCCTTTGGCCTGCCGAGCGAATAATAGTCAACCAGAGTACAATCTCAACATACTTACTTTGTTTTAGAAACAAAACGCCTTCGTGGTACGACACGGGCGGTCGGGTATCCTAGTGGTTAAAGCGTTCGCTCGTCACGCCGAAGACCCGGGTACAATGTGTGAAGCCCATTTCTGGTGTCCCCCGCCGTGATATTGCTGGAATTTTGCTAAAAGCGGCGTAAAACCGTACTCACTCACTCACTCGTGGTACGACACGCAATCAACAGGGTAATATTATTGTAATCGGGTTCATATATCCTAGTATGCGATGCAGGTTCATTCTGCTCAATGACAGTTGGCAAGGTATTAGCTCATGAATGTAGACAAATGGATATGAAGAGAAGGTGGACCGAAGAGAACAAGGATTAGAAACAACCTTTAGGTTTCATCAACCGCCACGTGTTCAGGCCAAGTTTACATGTATCATCTTTGATGAACTGACAAAAATATGAAATTGATACACATTCAGGATTTCTACTGGTCTATGTTAAATATATTTAATTTCTTTCTAAGATAGGTATTTCTAAACTCTGTATTAATCTAATACCCATCATATGAAAAAAAGGATTAGTGTTATTGCGATAGGCACATTTGTTAACTACCTCGTCAAACTTTTACTTTACTCTGACTTAACATTTTCCTATAGAAAGTATCGTATAGTTTCTGAAATATTTCAAAGCAAATATGGGTAAATCTTCCTCAGTAGTTCTCAGCAAATGTATAGTACTTGTATTTAGCTATTTCTCGAAAATTCCTACGCGTATTAACAGACAGACAGTCAGTGTAATTCGTATATGAGGCCAAATATCCAAATTAAGGCGTAAATGTTTCAATGAGCGCACGTTAAAATATGCTACACAGGTAACGAAAAACGTTAGTTCACAAACGGACTATTCTCTTACGAATTATATTATACAATAATAGAGATAGCATAAATTATCGTCATTAGGCTTTGTTAGTATTAGCCACTTGGGAAATTAGAAATATTTCATTCCTATGTAACTGTATTCCGGGCAACACATGATATTCGTCTTCTGTAACATGGATGTAGTAAAACATGTAAAACAAGTAAACCCTGGTAGCTTTGATATGCAAATCATGACAATTACATCCTAAGTGTGTTAAAACTCGGCGCAAGGTTAATGCTTTTGTTACTGCCAGATATCTCTCTGGCGTGATTTGAAGCTTGAAATCTGAATCGTAATTGACATTGCATTGGTGACTTCATCTCAGGCCATCACACCATGGAACGAGGTTACTTTGAATTGGCGACAATAACGTGGCGGTGCTTCTCATTATGCCGTAAGCAATGTGCGATCTGTGGTAAAATGATAACAGATTTTATTCTATGTTTTGAAGTTTTGAATCGATTTAAGTTGGCGATAACTGATTTAGAATATTTAGTTATAAGACTCCCAATACATGACAGTACAAGTGGAGAACAAAACCACCATTATCAGACATACTTACAAGTGTCAGAATTACGAGTACTATTATTTTGCCCGTGCATTGCCTGTCGTCTAACCTCACACTTTGGATTACATAAATGTTATTTTATACCCCATGCCGAAGCACATGTTTTCAAGTCCTCCTGATAGCGTTGGTACTTATAAAACCTTAACGCCAGGTGGAGAATATCAAATCTCGATTATCTACCGAAAAAGATTCCACTTGGCTTAAAGGCAAAATAGTGGTGGGAATTATATGAATAGATCACTGAAAGTCAATTATGACACCAGGTATTCACGAAAGGGTAAGCAAAGTTAATGCATTGATACAGTAATTCAATGACATATTATATGCAAAGTACAAATAAATAATATAAACAACCCACATAGATCACTGAAAGTCAATTATGACACCAGGTATTCACGAAAAGGGTAGGCAAAGTTAATGCATTGAGTAATTCATTGACATATAATATGCAAAGTACAAATAAATAATTTAAACAGCACACATTTCTAAGGATTTGATGAATAAAAGCGATATATCTCTGTCCTAAGCCACACGAAATCTCTGCCAAAAGCAGAGTCCAAGAAGCACTATCACATTGTGATGATACCAGGTGTGCGCGAAAAGGTGAGAGTACGCTACCCCACCGCAGGCTACCGTTATTAAAACATGCAGTGGCAAGTCAATCGTTCACCTGAAAAACACGGGAACATATCGCACAGGCCAAAATAAAATTGGTATCGGACATCATTTGTGTCACTTATTTTGGAATTTCCTCAACAAAGCTGCCATAAAACCTTTGAAGGGTTTACTGAGGCCTTGGTTGCTGTAACCATGAACAAACAACTTTTGACCGAGAGCCTAATGAGGCTTTTTGAAATATTACTAGAAAGAACAAGCTCGATTCCACGTACCTTACAAGTTGTGAAGTGTAGACACCAAATGCTGGAGCGGTTGGAATATTGCTCGACATAAACGGAATGTTGACTATTGGAATGTTGAAGTTATCTATCTTGTCGCACAGTCTTTTGTGAAGAGGTTTTTTTCACGCATTGCATATTCCCAAAGGTATAATTATTTTGGAAGTGTTTGTTTTCTACTTGTTATGCAATTGTATGTATGCGTTTGGTACGAAGCATGAACCACACAAATGTTGCCACACAAACGTGTACATATTTCCAGTCACTAAACATATCGCTCAAACACAACATACCTAGACTAAGTGTTCCCAGGGACACTGATTAAC